TGAGTTATTTGTAGGAAGACGTAGAAAAAATACATAGAAAATTGATGGTTAAAATATAACGGGGAATAATGCACTACGAGTTTTGATATGACATGATTTTTGTGCCTGATTTTTTTTCATGAAATTGCATGGCAAGAATTTATGTACATAAATTGATCGAAATTCTTAAAATTTCAAGAATTATTTTGTCATTTTAGGAACTCCACAAAAATTCAAAATACTGTTATTAGCTTTTTCGTCCGAGTCTTTTTCTTATCAAAATTCACGTATCGATCCAATTCGAAAAATACTCCGTCATTCGGAACTGCATTACAGTGAGTAAATAAATTGATTGATAACACAAAAACATGGTTCACTGAATGCTTGTCTGCTGCATGTCATCGTATGAAACTAATGTATTAAAATATGGATAAGGAGCACCAACCGCACAAACCAGTAGTAAAATAGCAATATATTATTGACGTCAACTTCAGCCTCGTACATACATTCGAGCGAAGTGAGGAATATAATACGTTATGTGATGATGTGATCTGATATCGTCTTATCATCTCGAGGAAGAAAAATTGAGCAGTAGGGATGAGAGAAGGACGTCTTTTGAACCCATTTTTTATCCACTGGGACGCATTTGGTGACCCAATTCCAGGTCAAACCGAGGAACAGATGGATTGACGTCATTAATTTCGAAACTTGCTCAATAATGTGGAAAATGAGACTCGAAAGACAAAGTACTTATTAATAGTACGATCCTACGCTTGCCACAGTTGGTTGCATTGTGTGGCTTGGCCGTGTATGTAAAAGTTGGGCAACTTTTTTGAGGGATCGCATCATTCTGACATTGTGTGCGACATTATTCAGTGATGACTTTGCATTTCATTTTAGTTTTAGAGCTTACTTTTAGCAAGAAATTACTACAATTTTTGGAATAGGAATAGAGATTCGCAAGGATTTTGTCATCGTTTCTTTTAATGCAAGTTACTTTTTAACTTTTCCTCGAGGGGATTGATTTTCCAGTAAAAAAATCTGATCCGCATTATTCCCCTTGCAATCTCGCATTCTAGAAAACTTAGCGTGGCACTAATAAATCTACCAAAATTTAGCCAGACTCAGCAATTCTAAAGAAATATCTAAATGGAATCAGGTTACATTACCCAGGAACAAAGCTAAAACTCTGTCCTATTTTTTATTCATTGTAACAAAACGCATACCAAAAAGTTAAGCCGTCATCACCTAGTGAAAGAAATGATGATGATGATGATTATGCAGGCTGGCTATAGCCATATAAAAAAGGAGAATTGTGTGCATATAAGTATATATGCATTCTCAAATTTCTGTTCATAATTTGAATTCCTGTGTTTTGTAGCACACAAAAGCCATTTAATACACCACCCCGGGCAAACACTAACCAAACGATTTAACCAAAAGAAGAGAAAGAACAAAGTTTTTTTTCCTGTGGAAAAAAATTGGAAATGTTAACTTGCCGTTTTAAACGATCATGTCTGCTTTTGTTTCAAATTTTACATAGATAAATATTTTTTGCTTCAACTTTTTTAAGCCAGGAGAGAAAAATTAGCCCACTTCCCTATGCATATTTTGTGTTGAGAAATTGTTTCAAAGGAGGCAATCCCCTCTCCATACAAACTATTCGGTATATCGCTTTTCGGAACCAACTTTGTTTTGTTTGTTGTCACAAACACAGCAAAACACTCGGCGTTAAAGGGAGGATTGGATTGAGTGGTTTGGCTTAATACTAGAAAGCTAAGAAATGAAATGAAAGTGAGTCGAAACACTGTGTGCAAAAGGTGATGAAGTTTAGTTGGTTGGGTTTGCATTTAGTCGCAAGTAAAAGCTGGCACCATATAAAACTCTGTTGGTTTGGTTGGTTTGGTGGTGGAGAAAGTGGAGAGAGATCGGTACAAATATTCGCTGCTGCCGAGTTATCGATCCATCTCCGTATAAAAGAGAAGTGCAGACTCTGCCAGGATAGCAGACCGTGTCAGACCGCGTCTTAACCACGACGGACCACTTTTCGCAGCCTGCATGCTTACCACTTACCATACAGTGTGTTACATGGTAGTAGAACAACAAGGAAAATATTACATGTGAGCAGAAATAAGGATTCCCTAAAACCAGGCTAAAAGTTCAAGTAGTGACGAGGATTACGGGAAAAGTAAAAAGTCACTTTTTTCCCAAAGATCAGTGCACTCGGGAGGAAATCAAGTCTTATTCAGTTTCTTTCCACTTTTTTCCGAGAACTCCAAGAAGAACTGAGGACGAGGACAAAGGGACAAATAACGGATCAAAGAAGGAGAGGGAGGGAGACAAATCCTTAAAAGATATCAGGCTTTGATGGTTTGATTGCATCTGTGGGGAAAAACAAGTTGAGATTTTTTTTCCTTCTACTTTTTGACTCTCTTTGTGGGGACACTTATAACCAAATTAAGGATTAAGTCGGTATAGATGGAGAAAAGTGAGGTGAGGTGAGACTTGGAGACGTGGACGTGACATGTTTTAATAAAAGTGAGTGAATGAATTTGGGGAAAGGAAAGACTTCCACTTTACGAAACGACACACACACACACTTTCACCAACTTTGTAGTAGAGCAACAACACCTAACCTTTTAAAAAGAGACGTGTATTCATACACGGCGACAAGATCAAGATCGAGGAAGTACATAAGTAAGTTTCTTTTTTCAAGGGGGGTGAAGTATTTTCTATGAATGATGAATGCATGCATGAGGACGCGTTTACTTACATTTACCTGGTTTTAGAGTTGAAAAGTAAGTAAAAGTTTTGCGAGACGTTTTTGTTTCCGAGAGATAAAAAAATATCATCTTGTCGCTTCTAAAAGTGAGAAAATGTTGCATCTTTGTCTGTCTTGAAGAAAGGATGTGGCTTACTTTTTCTTTTACTTCCTCATGTTTAATAGACTTTGTTTCGTACCGGACTTTAGCTTTGTCGGGATCCAAGTTCAAAGCAGTTTTTTTGTCTTTGTCTTTAACGACGAACGTGCTAAATCGTGCCGTGTGTGTTGTCCTGGGACATGCAGTTATGCCTTACTCGGACCATATTTTTGTAGAAACAGTAAATCCCACGATTGCATTCTTCTTCGTCTATACATCTTCATAATAAGGTCTGCTGATTTTTTTTTGTTCGAGATGATGATGTTTGTGGAGGATCGGTCGGTAAATCAATGAAAAGAAAGAATCTCTCTGAGAGAAAAAGTCAGTAAAGTCCGGGAAAAGAGAGAAAGTCGGCACGGTTTTCGTACTATATTATGAATCTGTCCGCCTATCATAAGTACGTCGTATGTACGGAGAAAGTATTCCAACAGAATAATTCCCCACGGCTTTGAATCTTCTGTAAACCCTTGAAACTGAAATAGTTCTTGGCTTTTTGTGCTCGCCCACTCTAAAGGTACCATTGGGGAATAAGTACCTACCTTATGTATGCAGGGAATGGACCAGGATAGCTTTTCAGCACCATTTACTTTACTGATAAAGGCTTTTGGAGCAATTGTAATTACAACTTTGCTGCTGGTTTCGTATGGTGTGTGATGAATACTAAAATGGGACCAGTTGTTCTCTCCCTCCCTCATTCATTCCATGGCACTTTGTCAATTTCGTTTTATTGCGGAGGCAGCGTGTTGTTGTGTTGGGAAAGTTTGCAATTTTCACAGCGAGTTTATCCCACAAAACAACGAAACGAACCCAACCACAGTCGAGTCCAGCAGTTTATTTGTTTCTTGTTAATATTAGTATTATTCCCCTTTGTTGTGGGTGGGTGGGCGGCTAAAGTGAATAACCGACAATATAACACCACCCAGTGGCCGCCGAAGCCGTGGGGACATGTGGGGACATTAACATTGTAGGATAGGGGAGGGATGGGTCTATATATCATGGGCAGATGATGGGGACATTGTCCCTCTGTCCCCACGCTTCCGCGGCCACTGACACCACCCCGACCGACCGACCATCTGCAACTTTCAACTTTACAAAAACTTATTCACTTTCTTCTTTACGTTGAACAAGCCTTATCCCGTTACAAAAGAAGGAACAAAGTCAACAGAATTTTTTCTTTCTTTTTGGCAGAAAGTAAATAAGTTGCAACTTGCTTTTTACTTTTTTCTCCCACTTCTTGTCTTATTTACTGTACGGGAAGCCATGTCAAATTCGCAGACAGATGCATACATTTCACAAGAAATACAAACCGTGCCGAAATACGCAGTGCAACGAATCAACAAACGAAAACTTTCTTTGTTTCCTGCTGATCAGAAGACGGATGAAAAGCTGAGCAAAAAATTTTTGAATTTGAATGATACATTTTCCAGGAAAAGGAATGAAATGTCTACATTTTCGGAAAAAAATAGAGGAAACTGTGCTGCATGATGGTGTAATTTTAGTCGGCTAGGGAGGAGATACCTGACTGCCTATGTGTAGCGGTTGGGGTTTAGTAGTTGTTACTCATTCGAAAGGAAAATTGAAGCTGTAATCGATAAGTTGATGTTATACGTTATTTGTTGCATGAAAGAGAGAGAGAGCTTCAAGCTAAACTTAGCGTGGCGGAAGTAAAAAAAAAAACGGTTTTGGTTTACAGGCGACGCAAGTCTTTCCAGGATTTGTTTGGATTTTTGGCTACTTTTTTATGTCACAAGAAGAGACTAGGCTAAAGTAGAAACTTAGGATAAAAGAGAGACAAGTTTTTCCAGGGATATCTACAGTACTCGAGATTCGCAGAATGAATGTATGTACACGTAACACACGAGTCGGCTTAATTGTCATTATAATCCTTTGTTAAAAATGTGGGTCATTTATCTCTCTGAAATCCGACAAGTATCCGGAAGAAAAACAAACCACTTGACAGTTCTCTTCTTTTGGAGGACGTTCTGCTCTAGAAAATCGTATTGAATTTACTACAAAACACGCCATCCTTTTATTTTATATACTGTCAAGCACGAATCAAAACTAAAGAGTTGTTTTTACCTTTTTGTTCTCATTTTACAGGAGGAACGAGCTATAAAATTAAGTGACCTGCAAACAGACTTCACGTCAAACTCAGCCGGAAAACAACTGAAAGCACAAGTCGTTTGTTTATCCTTCTCGTAATTCTACTAGTAAGACTGCACCACAACGGAACATCCCACCCACCACAAAATAGAACAGACAGGATTTACGGTGTTGGACGGACGAGAGTGAAAGTGGACAAGAACTCGGCACAGTTTTAAATTTTTAGTGGTTTTGACTTTTGAGTGAAAAGGGAAAGTTTGTTGGTCTTGTCCATAAATACATAGTTGACCAGCCCTTTTCCCTCCTTCCTTGTCCTGTCCTGCATAATCTATCAAAACAAATTGGATAAGTGCTTATCCCTGTCACCCCTGCCTGACACGAGCGAGTGAGTCGAGCGTGATTGAATTAAGGGACGAGGAAATGGAGGACAACAACAGCAAGCGACAGGGGACGAGAGTTTTTAAGAAGAGTGCGCCCAACGGAAAGGTAAAAAAAATGATGGATGATTTTTGTTGTTTTTTCCAAAATTGTGTAATATCACACCTGTCGGGTCATAATTGAATTTTATTTTTCACACGCTACTTTTCCTCTATACAGAAACTAATCCAGCTGTAAATGCATATATTTTTTATATCACTAAATAACTCCACACACCAAAAAGTTCTGAACTTGGAGTGAGTAGATCTCTGGGCTGACTCATAATCTGCTGATATCCAGAAAAAGCCGTGTGGGTCGAAATGAGAGAGAGAGCTTTATCTCCGAGCTAAAGGGTAAATGTCATTTTAGCAGGGGAAAGAAGAATCACTACAAATACAATTCAGAGAACAAGTGAAAGCAACGCGAAACCAGTGGTACTTTTACCACCACTCACTTAATTTCTCTCCATGTGTGCAGTGTAGCCTCTAGCAGGGCATGGCACAATCACAGGATTACAGAGATTATCCAGGAATAAAGTCCCATTATTAGAGCTGTTTCATATCAATCCAACCTCCACGTAGAACAACTAAACGCGTCGTTCGTGATTTGGTGGGAGGAAATACATAAAATAATAAAATGTGTGCAGAGATTTAGTCATTTTCGTTCTCCGTCGTTAACTGCATGCAGGGTTATAAATTATGTTGAGAGAGAGTGTTTTATTGATTCCGTCATTTTATTTTGTATCTTTTCGGATTGTTGTAATCCGATTTTGAAAATGGGGTCACAATTTTTTTTCCGAGATTTTTTGACATTTCAATATAAATAATATATTTTGACTAGACGAGGAATATTTCAAAAGTTGCGAATTGTTGGGCATGATTTATTCAAGAGAAGACTCATATCATAATTTGAATTTAGTTTTGAAACGGGAAGACAAGAAATGAGAAATTAAATTTTATTTATGTATGCGATGGGTGAAAGAAGCGTTAGAGAAAGTCTTCACATTTTTGACTTTTCTCCATCATCCATGAATTATGCGTGATATGGGTTTTATCATACGTTACGTACGTTTTCTCATTTCTTTTCTCGGGCCAAATAATAATCTCCAATTTTTCAGAGTTTAATGGAATGGTGGCATTTAATTTATGAAACCACCACCACCACCGTCAACCAACCAGCACGACTTTCTCTCTGAGAATAATAAGAAAGCAAAAAGTGGAAAAGAAGAAGAAAAAGAAACTAAATATTTGAGAATATATATTCTCTACTGCTCGTTTGTAGATGGAAATGCATGAATTTTTTATCATGCCACTTTTTGCTCAGGAGGAGGAGGAAAAGTAGTTGTGTGCGCGTTATGGTGTTATAGAGAAAGTATAATGCATTTATTATGATGTAGTAAGTAAAGTAACATGGAAATCCTTTTTATTGTTTTGCAGGTAACAGTGTACCTTGGAAAGAGGGACTTTGTCGACCATTTGGACCATGTGGATCCCATTGGTGAGTCAAGTTTCGTAATAATTTGTGCGGTTAATGGAGCCCCGTGCGGGGAAAATGTTGCATAATAAACTCCATCACAAAAGAGGAATTGCGACAAAATAAATGAGAAACAAAAATAACTTGTGAAATACATTGCTGCATTGTTTAGATTCCCTCTTCATTAAAAGGATATAAGCTAAATTAATAAGAGAAATTCTGGTTATTATTAGGCTCCATAATCTCATTATAATACGGGATTGTGACATCCATGAAAATATAATGATACAAATCTCATAAGTCTGGAAGCCGAGCAGAGATAATTAGCCCTATTTTACAAGCTAGTTAGTGAAATAAAACGAGCTAATCAACCAACCCTTTAGGAAAATATTTCATAATTAATGATACTTCACTCTTATTTACTCACTTTTCCATTTTCCAACAACAAATATGTATGTGTACCAACCAACAATGTCTGAAAACTTTAATTAAAGACATCGTTACGAAATCATAATCTGTATATTACACAATTTCAAACTAAGTTGGTGGCAGTATCAATTTGGGACCTGTTTGCGCAATGAATTACGTTTCTCTCCTGTCTCTCGGTGAGAGGAGTTAGTTTCTTCCAGAGAAAGTTTTGCTACGACAAGTTTCTCACGTATTGCAACACACGAGATATGCGTATTAAATGGATGGATACATAGATGAACAAGTAAGTAAGTGGTGCAGTGCGCTATTTATTTGCTCTGCAGCAAGGGTAGAACCAGCAGTTATGAGAGGACGAAGTAAGTATCTCAATCTTCCCTTTATATTTACGTGCATACAAATATTTTATGTATTCTCTACACCTTCTTGGAAAGATGTTCGGAAATATCCGTCTGATTCATCACCATCATCATCATTCCTGAAATGGTTTCATATGGGCGAGGAGTTCAACTTTGAGAACTCGGTTTAAGTAAATATTTGCTTGATTCAATTACTGGATTGGATGGACGTCTTGCTGTGAGACCTTTTCCCATCATTTAATTCTCTTGACTGAAGGAAATCGAATTCTGTGTTGTTTATTGTTAAGCCCTCGTGTCACGGGTTAAATACGTCCGTCTGGCTTCATTGATGCACGGGAGAGATTAAGGGAATTAGAAACTGACATAAATTGAGAACAAGAAGCGATACTGAACTGAAACTGAGTTGGTTTTAATGTCGGGATTTGATATTTTGGAGGAATACATAAAATGGAAATGGATGGCGCGTGCCGTGATTGACAAAATTGGCATTTGGTCGGTCCGTTAGTGGAGATTAATCATACTTTGTCATACTTTGAGACTAATGGGATTCCGGGAAGGATTGTTTCTTTGGGGCTTCACTTTTCCGGAGGGATGGTTTGGTTACAGGCAAAAGTAAATAGTTCCCAATATGCGGGTTCAGTTAACTTTGCGAATTTCGACACAAACAACATTAGACTCGTCGAAGTGGCAGTAATTCAAGAGAGAATAGTGAAGTTTGTAGTAGTGCATTTGATGTTCAACTCCTGCTTAGAAATTAATACGGTTGACTGACTGCTCGAGTGAAGTTCGAGTAGTATCATCATTCAACTGTTGATTGTGGAGTGGAATTTGATACTTTTGATGTACTAATCGACCTGGAATGCATGTGGTACATAACACGACCGGAGAAAGTTTGACGATCTGTCGTACACATGTCGAGGATTGAATTAAACTTGTTAATGATGATGTAGTATGGATAGATTAGTTTGAATTTTGGTGAATCTAATTGTACCAGAAATTTAATAGGTTGGAAATCCCTTTGTATTTACATTCCTCTAATTAAATTCAAAGGGTTGTAACTGTTGTAAGCTCTGCAGTCGTGAAATTTAATCCACCCGACCCGAATGATGTTTGCGTGTCTTATGACTTCCAAATTTATTTATACCTGTCTCTCAATTTGGTTACTTTAGCTGGGTATTGTAATTTGGAAACAAATAAATATAAAATAAATGAACCACTAAATTGTGTATTCGACCCTTCTCTCTCGCTCGTCCTACTTTCTCAGTTATTCAGTTCCCGTGGTCTGGTTTGGTTTGTTGGCTGCTGCTGTCGTCACAAAGTGAAATTGATAGCAAAGGAGAGGGGGAACAGACAAGATGTAAAGTGAACAAAGTAAACTAGAGTGACTGACTAGCATCTTTTAACGTTTAGAGGTGGATACGTAAGAGCTGGGAAAGTTTAGCTCAAGTGGATTAGTTACCGTCTTAAGAAGTGTATGAGGTATTATACTTTCACTCCTTCCAGTCAGACATCGTAAACTTTTTTTAAAATGGATGGGCTAAAAGAATGTTTAGAAGAGATCATGGCATAAAGATACATACAGGTAGAAAGTAGCAGAGTTGTAGGACTCCTTTGATGGAAATTCCACCACGAGAAAAAAACTGGTTTTATTGTAGATTTAGGAGGTATTTTCGGGTCATGGTCGTCCTTCGTATAGTGTTTGTTTAACTGACTATAACCTTGCTCTGGTTTTGTCTGGGATGCACTTTTATGCAAGACGAGGAGGAAATTGATTGCTGTTAGAAAGGTTCGTTTCATTCGGATGCCGTGTCAATTTATGTATTTATGCAAATTCTAATTTTCCAATTTGCCCAGTTTCAAATTGCCCAAACCGTCGAATGTTCACCAACTATATATCTAACATAACACAACACACTCACCCACCTTACATCATCGCCAGATTATTTGTCCGTATTGTTATCTCCTCCGTACAATAATGCCCATTGTGTTGGTTCTCAATTCCTCCAATCTGAGCCACATTCTATCCCTTCGCATTGTGTCGCCTTGTCGTCGTCTCCTCCTGCGTATTCATTCGTATTCTCAATACAAAAAGAGAAAGTCTCTCCTTTGTCCGAGCCAGACGTTGTATTTCTGTTGTTGCAGCTCTCTGGTGGTGATGGTGTCACCCTGATTTGAACTGCACACATTAGCTAAACTTTGCTACAGGTGGTATGGTGGTTCGGAGATAAATAACATAGGATACACGATCCGTCGTATTACAATTTTCTGTCGTGGCGATGATAAGGTTTTCTTTGTTTGGTAGGTAGGACTTTCTCTTCTTTTCGTGTATGTACTGATTAGAGGAGAGACATGGCTGGAAATAATTAAGTCTTCTTCTCCTCCCGAACAGCGACATTTTACTTATTTTCAGTGGCCGCGGAAGCATAGCGGAAGCATGCCCCCACGGTTATTCGATGTCTGCATCATCTGCCCATCTTAAATATATAAACCCGTCCCTCCCCTACCCTACAATGTTAGTGTCCCCAAATGTCCCCACAGCTTCCGCGGCCACTGCTTATCTTATTTGTCCCCAGCCGCCCTTATTTCTTCTTCCATTACTCTTCCTTTTGTTGTTCTTTCTGCGTATCTGTAAGTAAGCTTGTAATTACGCGAATTGAACTCGGCATTGTTTACACTGAAGTGGAGAGAGTGAGTGAGAGAGAGCTTATGTCTGGTGCTACTAGTCTAGTAGTAGACATAAAATAAGTCTCTGTGCAATAAATGTTGACAAAGTGTGAAGGCACTAGCAGAGACAGCGAATTGAATAAAATGGAGAAGAAGAGTGGTCTCGAATTAAAACCACAATCACGCTTTTGATACGTGACACGACAAAAGAGACGGATCGTTATGTTATAGGAGTGGTTTGACGAGGGGGGATTTATAGCAACTGGAATTAATTAAATTTCAATCCAAGTTTGTGATTTGTGATGACACGAAAGGAGATGTTTAGATTGGAATTATGGAGACAAAGGTATGCATAAGTTGGGCGACATTAACTGGTTTTGGGGAAATTTTTGATATTAGTATTGATATAAATTAGATTTTGTAATAGGATAATTTTCATCATTAATGTGTAATTTATTAGTACAATTTAAAGTAAATTAAAACTGAAAATATCAGTATTTCTCTGAAAAAATGCGAATTTCTTTGCTATATTGCGAATTATATCAAACCTAATGCGCAATTTTCGCACATATTCACATATTTCGAATTTACTACAATATATTCCCCAATGGCCATCTTTTTTCATCAGAAAGACGACTGACATCAGCCAAAAGTCCTTGCCTGAAGGTGCCCATTCTCTCTCTCTCTCCGAGATCATTTCTCTTTATCTCTCCCCGTTCGACATAACATAATACATATTACTTTCGGATTACTCTCGTTCCAGTGGAGAAAGTGAATTCTCTGCTTTCTCCCATTCCACTCGCGTGAATGGGTCCTGTTCTTCATATTATTTCAATAAATAGTAACAATTCAGTCGACATGGATTTCTTCCTGGGGATGGTAACATGATGTAAAATTCTCAATTGTGACTCTACCAAGGTGTGAACAGAATAGAAAAAAGAAGATTTTGCCTCCTTTCCCCATCCCATTTCTAGGACTTATTTACCCTGAAATGTTTAATGTGATGGGTATATTTATAAGGGGACAAAAGATGACGATGTGCATGGAAGTCTTATAGGATTGCAGAGACGACGACTGAATAACAGACGGACAGGAAAGATAGAGACGAAGAAAGAATGCTCTTCACATTGAAAAAATATAAGGAAACTTCTCAAGATTTCCGTTTGCCTAGTAGTGAGGAACTTGTCCATGTTTACTGCTCCCCAATCGATACGATTAGGTACGAAACGACAACTTGCACTTACTCTTTATCTTTATCTTCCTCTCGGCCGGACTTGGACTTGATAGGAGAGAAGTAAAAGTGAAGAAATCCAGCGTTTTTTTTTCGTTTTCTTCTCTTCTTGTCCTGGAATGGAAGGGAAATGAAATAAAAATGTAGTGCTGAGTAGTGGAGAAGAAATGCAGGTCAGGGAGGGAGGGAAAATTTTCACCACAATCATATACCAATACCACCCTTTTTTATTGGGTAGTAGTCCAAATGGTGGGTGACGATGGAAAATACGGTAAATATCGAAGGGCAGAACACAATTTCCTCTTTATAAGACGTACATAAATGTGAAAAAGGAGAGGAGAAAAATTGGAAATAAATCAAAAAAATAGGTTCAGAGCAGACATCAAGATTGATATGTCACGTTAATAGTGCCGTTTGTGACGATGGGGAAATTGGAATTTCAAGATGATCAAAATTCCTACAACTTTTTTTTTCTCTTTGGATGATACGAATTATTATTACTTTCTCCAGGTAATATGGAGGCATACAAATTGGATGTTTCGTGTCTCTCGGCTGTCTTGATAACTTTGTTACTTTTAGGAGGAAGGAGGCTAGATTGGTATTAGCAGTCCCATTATTGGCGACATGTACTTACATATTCTTCACGTTCTCATTAACATTTAATGGATGAGATGTTTCTCTCTCGTCTTCTCTCTGACGTTGTCTCGTCCATTAGGTTTTGGTCGGGGTGGTGGGTAATGCAATCCTGTCACCTGTAATTACCCACCAGCAGGAGGACGGAGGTGAAGTGGTGGTACAGACTTATGGAATGAGTGCTTTCGAGCGGATGGAGGAATAAATTCAATTATTATTGAATTTCGAGTAATATCTACGTAGGCGAATTGGGTTGGATGGACGGGTTTTGCTACGTACATACTGTGTCACTTAAAATTGCTGCCGAGGTGAAAGCAAAGTACTTACTGGATTCTCATGGTTGAATGATTTATCGAAATATGAATACGTTTTTGTGAGAGTTGGGTAAATCCTCTCTAAATCCAATCATGCAGAGTTTTGAGATGACAGGATAACTCGTCGCTCGCTCTCGTCATGATTCTAGTTTGTAACGAAGCAGATAATAATGAGATCATGCAAGATTCTTCTTCTTGCCAAACTTTTTAAGTAGTTGATGCTCAGAGAGATTATTACCTAAATTAGCGGCAAACATGTCGTCCTCCGTCATTTTAAGAAATATTTATTAAGAGAGTTGTACATACTCTCATTATTGTTATACTTTCATTCAACCAGACAAAGTTCACTTTTAGTTTGGAAGTTTCTTCCCGGTTTGAGTTTGATGAGAGGGCAAAAATCGAGACCAGACGGAAGAGATCTTCTTTTCGAATGTCAATTACCCGTGAAGTAAATTCCATATTGAAGTAGCGGTTGTTGATGGGGACGAACGTCTGGAGTGGAAATGGTCCACTCGTCGTGGGATGATCCACTTTCTCGTCCTGGGTGAACAAGAAATTGACGCGGATCGAGCCAATCGAGTCCTCAAAATCTTGCTTTGTGGGCAAAAAATTGGAAGTTTTATCGAAAAGGAATATTTGAGAATACATATTTTGCCAAGTGCTGGAGTGAATCTGGGTGGATTAGATGGTACGAGATACATATCTACTCCTCCAACGGGGTGGATACACACACACTTGACAAGAAAGACGTAATCTTTACATTGTAAATTAAATTGTCCACTTGACCATCACATCACAGGGTGAAGTTGAAAACAGATATTTGCCCCGGTATTGTGGCGTTACTTGAATTTCAATCGTGCCATCGGAGCGAATTCATGAACGATCAGCTTACCTAATCCGTCCGTGTTAAACTTGTCCGGCTGGAAAGTTGGTCACATTAATGCGTACTTTTCTTGGAAAAAGGAAAGCATAGCTGATCAACAAAGCAGATTTAAGTGTAAAACAGCGAGATTGAGTAAAGGGAAGATTTTTGTAAAAATACACTTTGTTCATTATTATTCGCAACACTTTGAAAATCTGGCAAAAAATGGCGTGCAGATACGTGCGCACCCATATTTTTCCACTTCGATCAACAAAAATCTGTAAATAGAATGATAAATATTTACCAAATAACATCCGTTAACGTCGTCAACATCGTCGTAATAATGTAACAATATTTTTTTTGTCATTTCACAACAGCCTGTAATAAAAGCATACATAAATAACTTCACTGGAATCCATCCATCTAGCCAAATTAAATTAGAAATTATAATAGAAAATTAATATGCAGTTGAGGGGGCTCCAGCCATGTGCAAGTAAATAAACTGGGTGGGTAGTAAATAAATATGGACGAATTATTGGGCTGCATTATACAGGCTTCACTCTAATAGGTACCTGTTGTTCGACGTGAATTTCATAACGTGTTATTTCGTTGGCATTGTTGTCAGCTTTGCCACCAGGACTGCCTACTTTTGCATTATTTGCTTGCCTGATTCCGTCCGATTCTTGTTACATAAAGTTGGAATTAATAAGTAAGGAGAAGAAGCCCGCTAAGCTCTTCCCCTTCAATTATTAAATACATGTGTGTATGTACATAATAATATCCAAGTCGTACTTACTTATTACGAAATTTGGTTATGTGATGGTCGGAATTATTACATGATTTGTTGTTTTTCATTTACAGACGGCGTGGTGCTAATAGATCCCGAATATGTGAAAGAGAGAAAAGTATACGGCCATGTCTTGGCCGCATTCCGATATGGTCGTGAAGATCTCGACGTCCTCGGTAAGTACTTAAACTTATCCAATATTGAAATATGTAACATAAATATTCCATTTTACGTTGCAGGACTGACCTTCAGGAAGGACCTTTACCTCGCCTCCGAGTTAATTTACCCACTCCCCGAGGCCACCAAAGATAAGCCGCTTACCCGACTTCAAGTAAGTTTTGAGATTCCATATCCATCCAGGGTCATAAAATAATATTGGGAAAGACGATCGTCGTCCTCGTCCTCGTAGTGGCTCAAAGTTCATAGAACTTTCGGCTGGACGCCCAAGCAAGATGATGACACTATATACTTTATTATGAGAAATGATATATGACACGGCCACCATAATGACCAGGATCGCTTGCAACTGCTCGGGTTTTCTCCAGACAGTGCAGATTTTAAGCTCAAACTCTCCAACTTTCTCCGTATTCCTTGAGTCACTTTAATATTTGAGAATGCATGAATTTGGGGAAGAATTCGTGGAAAGGTTTTCATACATAACTAGCCACACCGCCCACGAAAGGTATAACACAGCGAGTTATTACAGAGAAAGTGTGTCAAATCCTCCACTCGTATTTAAACTCGACAAGGTTTCGTTTCCTATAAGAGGAGAGTTATTACGACCCATTAAAATTAACAGGAACTTTCTTCCCCCAGTTTGTACGGTGTAATAAAACGAGCTTTACATAGAGCAGGTTTCCTCCTGCCTTTAAATCATTGTAGATATTTACGTAGTTCGTAGTTGTTCACACTCCGTCGTTTACTTCCATTTTAATCGTGTACATCGAGGCGAAATTGTCTAAGTCTTTCACTAAATTAGCGATTAATTCGATTTGATTTTCTCCACTTTGACTACTGGCTTGGCTTGCACGACTGGGGGGTAATTGTGCGAGAGTAGTCTTGGAGAAAGCTAGACGGACTACTTTACTTTCTTCCCCTGCTTGATGTAAAACATAACTAAATTTTCTGTCCGCCTTCTTCACTTCACTTTGGCCTTGTTTTCTGCACATTTGTTGCATTTCAACTGGAAGAGACGATATTTAGTTCAGACAGAGAAAAGTGCCAGACTGAGATTATTTATTTTCGATGAGTTGAACTTTCACTCTTCATTTGCTTTCTCCTTCTTCAATAATACGATGGAAAAAATCAATTTAAGAATTAACAAGATTCCACTACACGGATTATGCAAAAAAATATATTTTTCTTTGTATTACAGGAGCGTCTCTTAAAGAAACTGGGGGCGAATGCATTTCCATTCTTTTTCGAGCTACCTCCCCACTGTCCTGCCTCCGTGACGTTGCAACCGGCACCTGGCGATACTGGGAAGCCCTGCGGGGTAAGTGGCTGACGAAACTTGATCTTCATCTCTGTGCACAATTTATTTTGTGGCTGAACTCGTTATAAGAAAATTGTTCGTTTCATTCATTAGGTCGACTATGAGCTCAAAGCTTATGTCGCGGAACAGGCTGATGATAAGCCACATAAAAGGTGAGTGAGGGTAACATGTCATGTAATGAGATTTCGTTACGTTGCCATCTATCTTGTACGTATTTGACCTAGGTTATTATTTTTGCCCTTGACACGTTGCATGATATAGACAGAAATTTTCGGGTGTAGTACTGCCTGCCTGTCACGTTTCTGAGTGGGTTGTCATGAATGATACCATCGTGATAATGATGATGATGAACAAAATAATGTCCCCTTTTTCATATTTCACATTTCGTCGAGCAGGAATATTATGAAGCCATATACATATCAAACCATCATGATTATTACGTGCAGCCGTCAGAGTGGAACAGCCCTACGAGGAAAATTCATTAGGCGGATGAAAATTGAAATGTATGCTTAAATGGATGGATGAATATGTGTGGTTTGGTTGATATTTTAATATCCTGCTGCCAACCAAGTAGTGAAAATATGGATGGTGAAGGTTGGATGTCACATCGCTCCACTTACGTATGTATAAACTAAGCTCGGGGCTGGATTCAATTTAGTCTGTAGAGATGGATAAGTAGTTAACTAGCATATATACCCTTCAGCAGTGGGGGGTTTATCGGTCGGTTACTATGTACAGGATGTCCTCCGTATCAAAATGCAAGGGTTTGGTTGGTTGGTGGTGGTTGTTAGCAGGAACTTCTTGACTTGCTTTCTGGTGATTTTCGATTCCCGAAAATAATTTACATTTAGAGTGGAGCCTGATTTGTAAAGGGACCAAATAATAATTTGAGTCATTTCAATTTAAGGAAATTCTACAAGTTTACAAGCGTTTTTGTGGCTTCGATTTGATTGCAAATTCATTCAATTCATTCAAATTAAGAAATCAAATAGTTTCGAGAGGAAGAGAGAGATCTAATTTATTTTGTGGAATTTTTACCTAAATTTAGTCCACGAGTCCTCTATTCATTCAGCGAGTCTTGACTTGCTTCTATATAAAGAGAGCGAGCAAACAGTGTGAAAATGAATATTGGCTTCGTTATATTATGTTATTCTCGGAATTTTTCCAGCCGAGATTGCTGTTTAGTTAATAATTTTCCTGTACGTAAGCAAACACGAGGTTATTATTCGTACCTGTGTAGAAATTCGAGATGGATACGTTGAGGTGAAACCCAATCAATATTACAACCTGAAGAGAAAGTCGGCAGGTTTCCTTTTACTTGTTCTGAGGCTGAAGTTGGCAGCACAATTTGGACCAAGCCAAGACTAAATTAAATTCCGCCATTAAAAGGTACGAGCATACAAAAAGGAGTTAGGTTTCACATTCATTTCGCCTCTCCTGAAACAAATTGTAAGAGAGGAAAATATTCAATTTTTTTTACCCAAACTTTGCAAACTAACGGTCCAATTCAATTTCTATCCTCTCGGCATAATTGAGAAAGTAAGAAAGGAGGAAAATGTGGAAAAGTTTTTTTAGAGAGAAAAGAAATTCTATTTAGGCTACGAGGTAGGTATGTAAGGTATCTATATCTATACATATCCGTCCGTAATGGTGAGTAGTTGCGTACGTAGGTGAAAAGTTGGCTTGTGTAACGATATAGATGAGTTTTGGTTGTCTTTTCTGTTTTTTTTGTGGTGTTGGGATGACGTATTATCGAATGGATGGAAAAATGACTTGTTATAGTATGGTTGGCATTTTTTTTGCATGGGAATATTGGGAACTCAAAGAATCTCGATCTTGTAGTGCATAAAATAAAAAAAGTATAATAAAAGTGTTAACGGCATTGAGAAAAACAATTACACTATTTTCGTATTTAAATAACTAAATGTGCAATCTATTTAGCACGAATGGGTTTGATACGTATATGCAAATGTCACGCCATTAGCGTGCAGTTACATAAGGATGTAGACGCTAATTCTAATTGGAAGTGAAAGCATCAGGTGGAAATTCCACCACTACAAAATTTGTGCTTTTAGTTCAACTTAGCTAGTATTGTACCTAGGTATTCAAAATTTTAGATATTGTATTTGACATTTTAAGTCTATCGCAAATTTGACTGCATGTTGTCTAAAATTCATGCATTAACTCTCCACAAAAAATTTATCTGCACGTACACACACTCTTGAGACCACGCTCCGACATATTTATGTGCTAGGTTACGTTCATATTCTTATAATTACGTACATACATATATAACCTTTCCCACCTTCCCGTAGTAGTAAAACTGTTGAATAATATATAGAAAACGAAACCAACCACCCCATTCCCACTCCGTTGGGACATTCACTCCATAAATACTTAGCAAGAAAATAATGTTTTCTTCCTTGTTCTACGTACCTAGCTCAAGAGGCATTTGATCGTCATGTTCCATTTACACATTTCTCCCAGACAAAAGGAATTGAGATTCCGCTATGCTTATTCCCAAAACCAAACCACTTTCTCTCCAACCAACTTTCCCCATTTCTAATACATAACAAACGTGATGGTGGTCTGGGCAAGAGTTGGGAATGACTAGGAGGAGGAGGAGTGAGACCGAGTGTGATTCGCATCTGAGGAAGACAATGAGATTCTTTGCCTTGGAGAGAAATTGTAACCGGATTGATTTATAAGGGAGCTTTATGTTCTGAGCAATATTGAAGGCGAAGTTGACTTTGTAGTATCCGATCCAATCCACAGGGGATGAAGGAACGCATTCATACCACCAGACGAGCTTTATTGTCGACTGGTCTGAGACCAGATTGATTCCGATATTGCATCCGCACATGGAACAAGATTTTCTTTTTTCCTGTTTAACGGCGACAAAATCTACTTGACGCAGCACCACCAACCACTTTGCCCAATTCGTGATGATACTTATTACATATACGTTACGACGATCATGATGATGGTGTTTGCACTAGTTGGATAACTTGTCTTCAAGTTATACGGCATGGAGGGGAACGACTGGGAGAAGAATAAAATTCGATGAGATGTTAAGTGATGAGAATATAAAATTCGTTTAGGAAAAAAAACTAGGTCGAATTTACCCCATTCGACTCGTAATAATAAGACTGAACACGTTTTCTGGGAAGAAAATGTTCCGTTTAGTAGATTTCTAGTCTGGCAAGCATAATAGCATTATAGCGGCTAGGAAAATAGCAATAGCGAGAAGAAGAGGAGGTGATTTACTTACATAAAGTTTATCCCTCTTTAAAGCATGGAGAATGAGCCGTTTGGAAATTGAGATTATTCAAGATGCGAGTGGATTTGAGTTGATAGCATGTTTTCCAAGTAGCCGGAATTGGGAGATGAAATGATTACAATAAATCTTGACAGAGATGTTGTTGTGTTGTGTCACTTATTCATAGATATGTACATACATGGTGCATAATTTGGTTCCCTTTCTCTGAGCAGTGGAGATTCCCGACAGAATTATGGGCTTTGATTGAGGAATTACGTATACATAGTTAGCTCATTTCCAGTAATATTTACTTATTTATGTATCTGTCTTCTTACGCTATACTGACGTATATGTGACTGCCCACTTTCTCCTTGAAAATGTATCAAGGGAAAACTGCTTTGATCTTGTGTGACGATGTTACGGAGAGAAAGGTTGCTCTGTGTGTCTCAATTTATTTATGTTTATGAGCCCTGCTGCTTTCTCCTTCTTTATGCTGTCGCTCCATGCACCACCTGAAAACGTATGGAAGATTTATCGCTGCGAATTTGGACTACTTGTTGATCAAACGGGCATCATGTTTTATTTTGGTTGCAAGCATTTTGTAACATGTCCAGTCCAGAAAGACGTTGTTAATATTTTTAGAAAATATTTCTTGGAAAATATGTGATCTCACTTTCATACTAAATTCTTAATTTGTCCTTCTCAGAAATTCTGTTCGACTCGCCATCCGAAAGATTATGTACGCTCCAGGCAATCAGGGGGAACAACCATCCATCGAGGTATCCAAAGAGTTCATGATGTCGCCGAATAAACTCCATCTGGAAGCGTCTCTCGACAAGGAGTTGTACTATCATGGCGAATCTATAGCGGTGAATGTTCACGTGGCCAATAATTCCAACCGGACGGTGAAAAAGATTAAAGTTTCTGTCCGCCAGTTTGCAGATATTTGTCTCTTTTCCACAGGTAGACAGAAAAATTCGGAAATTTAAAACATGACAAATCACTAAAGTATATTAAATACTTTTGTAATTACTTTATCTAGCCCAGTATAAATGTACCGTTGCGGAGGCGGAGTCAGAGTAAGTTACATAATAACAAAATGGACTTATCAGACGGGGACGAGGGGACGTAGACGAAATTAAGTTAATCTTCTAAAGTCATTACAGGGAAGGTTGTCCAGTGGGTCCAGGATTTACGTTATCCAAAGTTTACCAACTTACACCATTACTGCTGAACAATAAAGAGAAGAGGGGGCTAGCTTTGGATGGTCAGTTAAAACATGAAGATACCAATCTCGCGTCTTCCACCATGTAAGCACAAAATCGGTTCTTGCATGTTTACATGAAATTATTTTTTAATGTAAATTATTCATGTTTCATATTTGCAGAATTACTGACGCATCGGCTCGAGAAAATTTGGGGATTATAGTTCAGTACAAAGTCAAAGTTAAGCTATGTCTAGGACCTTTGGGAGGGTACGTTTGTCTTATTTATGGTTAATTTGTCATTCAAGAATCACACTTTAAATTATATTTTATTTCTGTATTTCAGAGATTTATCTGCTGAATTACCATTTGTGTTAATGCATCCCAAACCTGAGGACGACGAAATAACACTAGTACCCACTTCATCTCCCAACTCAAACCACCAAGGTGGCGATGGTATAGACGTTCCTGTAGATAATCTCATTCAACTTGATACGTGAGTGTGACACTGAAAAATACATACAATATTCCGAATCTTGTAAATAATGGGATAAATTTTCTCTTTTTGCAGGGATGACGATATTATATTTGAAGATTTTGCCCGACTGCGTCTCAAAGGGGAGACAGAGTAGTAACGGACATTAATCAGAGAGATTGGATAAATAATGAAATCCATAAAGTTTAATTTTTCATAAAATGAATGATGAGAATACTGCAATCAAGTCCAACCTGCCCAACTTCTTCACTATCTGTGGACAAATTTAAGATTTAAAAACGAAGAAATGAAGCTGAGAAATTAATTATATAATTAAGGAAGAAAGAGAAGGGAGCATAATAGTTAAGTAAATGTTTGTAATCTAATCATTTTCTGTATGCATTTGCTAACAACATTTTTTAGGGTATACGATCTATTAATCATATTTACAATTTCCTATATATTATCACAACTTACTACTAAATACTATATGTATTACTACTACTTTTACTTTGTTCTACTACATACTGCGTAAAATTAATGCTAAGTTGATGAGAATGAATTATATTGTTTAAGTACAAGATTGAGCAAGCGAATAAATTGCAAATACAACAAGTTGAGTCTTTTAAGAAAGTATGTAGCATTGTTTTCGTAATTCATTAAATTGCATAACCAAATTATCGCAGAAATAACTTTCACTTTCGTTTGTTTTGTTTCTTGATTCATAAATATTTAGAAATTCTGATGACAAGGTCAATCCTGTGAATTACAGCGGATTTCGATACCATTTTGTATAACTGGTCCACCTAGCATGCGCCGTCTAGATTTGCGACCTTTATAAAAATGTTTCTTTTAAAGAGATTAAAGACGCATTTTAGATTTAATCTAAATCATATAATCCTTTTAAATATGCATTTTAGCCTATGTTTTTCTCAATCTTTGGGTGATGACCATTCCCAAACTCCGCTGGACGTAGTGGCAGACGGGTCATTTTTGAAACTCGTCTGGGACGGGGGAGTTGAGCACTATGCGAGGTTCGTAATTTATAATTTTACTTTGTTGAAGAGTCAGATTGAGGAATAAATTAAAAATCTCCACAGACATTGGGAGTGTCCGGACGGGATTTGGGTAATTAATTTGAAATTTAGTAATTATTATTGTAAAGATTTTTTTTAATAATAAATAATTATTATGAAATTAATTTTTTTCCGGTATATATAGTCTGAGGACATTCTTTTAAGAAATCCACCAAAGTGTGCCTGCGTAAAGGGGGCGTAAGTCGGATATGGTATAGATAAGTGACGAGATAACCAGTAAAAATCATGTTTGCCTTTCAGCTACCTAGTCTCAAAATCCCTGTGCGACGAGGAGTTTGAAATCCTGACGGGAGATAATCATTGTTTCGATGTGTCAAGGACTGGAGTGGGTATCATCTTATCCATGATAATTAACCCCTAATTAACATCACTATAATTGTAGGCACGAAAATTTACCCCTCTCACTGGCCGAAGTGGACTGAAGGGCAAAGCAAACACCGTATTTCGTCGCGATGCCCCCTACGCGGCACGTCTTGTTTCGCCAACGCCAACCACCACAGTCAACGAACCAGTCAATTACCTCTTCAGATTAAATGACCCCAACGATTTTTCCGTCTACGCCACACTCCCGGACGGATCTGGGGCAAGATTGAGTTGTTTCAAAGGTCAGGCAAATGGTTCCGATCCAATCATGCAAATCGCCGAATTGCCCGAATGTTCGAGTGACTTCCGCGGACCGAAAGAGTGGTGTGGCAAGGAAGGAATGCCGTATGGGAGTTATGTGACGAGTATCAAAGTGGGGTCAAAGTGGGGTATTATTAATATGACATATTATATTTAACTAACTTGAAGAATATTATGTAATTATGCACTAATATGCTAATTAACTGACCTACCTACGTAGGACCAAAATCTTCGGGTTCTGGTACGAAAGACAGTTGTCCCGGCGCGTCCAAAAAGGGTCGAAGAAAAAAACGTGCCACTCCCATCAAAAAGTCTACTTCTAGCTCTATCTCGACAGGAAATTGCCTCAATTTTAACGAGTCCCTCATCGAATTACCCTCACAGCTCGGCACACCGGCTGTAGAATATTTCGTGGACAGAAATGAATATCCAGTTCATGAATTTCATACTGATTCTCTACACCAGTCAGAAATCAACGACCAAACACTCTCAGTTGGTAAGCACATATTTGAATATCCATCAGAGTTTATAATAAAAACAATTGATTTTGCGTATTTCCAGTGAAGGACTTGGTGGATATGCACCTGGGGGCTAAAGAGGCGAAAACCAGTGTCAAAGTCAGGATTCAAAATCCCAGCGAAATCCCAGCCTTCAAGTTAGATCTTTAAATATCTTTGCAAAAATTCGCGATATTTTTTTTACCAAAATTTCAGATTTATTCAACTCGCACGAGTCATCATGGAACGCGTCTGCCCCCAGGAATACATTCCTTCCTTCGTTTTATCCTTCATAACCCGTTTCTTTCGCCTCATTCATCTCGACACGGTGCAGAAACATCCGTACCCCGAGCATCTTGAGAGTGAAGGGGTCACCAACACGAAAATCTTGGAGGCACTGACCTCCTGTCGTGACAATATTCCGGATAATATCACTTCTTTCCTACCCAACGAGACATGCCCAGGTGCCGGATACACCGGAGCGAGTCTGACCGGAGGACAGATTTACCTCCTGGGGACGAATTGGTCCGCAATGCCGGAAAATATCCGATTCGACCCGTCCTCAATGGATATGAGTTTGGAAACGGTGTACAAAATGATGATGTTGGTCCATTATTATTGCACCCCTAACTTTACGAGCCCCCTTTACCATTCTGAGTTTGCTGTAAAGTATGAAGGCTTCTTCAACAATCCGACCCTGCTTTATAGATGGTGGGTGAAAAAAGTTAATGCTGTATGGTGAAAGTACTTATCTCTTATGTCTTATCCGGCCAGGTATCATCCGGGACCGTCCAACACCGTTTTGAGAATGATTCTTTCTGCCTTTAAGCTGCGAAATTTTGCAGCCTCAATAGATCGTTGTGTGGCGACAGCAAACGCCATGTCGGCGTATAAAGGATGGCTTCGTCGACCCTCGGACGCCCTCAAGTGGAAGCCTCGCTACACACCCGTGGATGAGGGTTTACCTACAATGGAGGCTAACACGGTCCACAGAAGAAGGTATTTATATCAATATATATTTTGTAAAATTTGTACCTAAAAGGTATGAAACTTTTATTCGCACAGGAAACGGTACTACTTCCAGAACAATATTTGGGACGAGAAAGCTTACTGTTTGAAAAATAGTAAAGATATTACATCAGAAGTTAGGAGTTCTTCCGCTATCGGGTGTAGGAATAGGCCGGCATGGTTTCAAAATACGGATTAGAACAGTGATAAATAAGAATTAATAAAAATTGTTGCAACTAAAACTACCTGAGTCTTGTTAACTTCAGTTTTAAAATTGTATGCAAGCAATGTAATTTGCATGAGAAATGATTCAATTCATATGAATGCCGAATATTTGTGGGAAATTGTATGATATGAAGTAAAGTTCTGAAAGCATGCATAAAAAATAGTAATTTTGAATTCACATTAGTACATCACGACTGCTCTTTGGAGAAAGTGGTGGCCCTTAAAAGGGCCGTTGGTTTGTAGTTTTTAGCAGGGTTGTTTCCAGTTTAGGCACGTTCTCCACGGATTCGGCGAGCGAGTTGGATGTCCTTGGGCATAATGGTGACCCGCTTGGCGTGGATGGCGCACAAGTTGGTGTCCTCAAAGAGACCGACCAAGTATGCCTCGGACGCCTCTTGCAAAGCCATGACAGCGGAGGATTGGAATCGGAGATCCGTCTTGAAATCCTGAGCGATTTCTCGCACAAGTCGTTGGAAGGGGAGCTTGCGGATGAGAAGCTCAGTGCTCTTCTGGTAACGACGGATTTCTCGGAGGGCGACGGTTCCGGGCCTGTAACGATGGGGTTTCTTGACACCTCCGGTCGCAGGGGCGCTCTTCCTGGCAGCCTTGGTGGCGAGCTGCTTGCGGGGGCTTTCCCTCCAGTGGATTTACGAGCAGTTTGCTTGGTACGAGCCATTGTTTATTTGTAGATTGGGTATTAGAGTTGTTCTCAAGAGGAATATGAGACAGCAAGTGATGAAGCTTTCCACTTTGGGCTGCAGTTTTATAGAGAAGGGCTGAGTTCTGAGCGAGAAAGAGGATTGGCTGAAAGTAAGCAGTGAAAGCCCGCTCGCTCCTCAGAACTCAAGAGGTCTGCTCCGCAACTCAGCCAGTTGGTATAAATTCAAGCTCGACTCCAACAAAGTTCATCACAAGCTGCTGATATCTCGCTCTGAGAACATCTCTCCAAGTTCAAATACAACCAACTACTCATCATCATGTCTGGCCGTGGCAAGGGAGGAAAGGTGAAGGGAAAGGCAAAGTCCCGATCCAGCCGTGCAGGACTCCAGTTCCCAGTGGGTCGTATTCATCGTCTCTTGAGGAAGGGCAACTACGCCGAGCGAGTGGGTGCGGGTGCCCCCGTCTACTTGGCTGCCGTCATGGAGTACTTGGCCGCTGAAGTCCTCGAGTTGGCTGGAAACGCTGCCCGAGACAACAAAAAGACCAGGATCATCCCCCGTCACCTCCAACTCGCCATCCGAAACGACGAGGAGTTGAACAAGCTGCTCTCCGGGGTCACCATCGCCCAGGGAGGTGTCCTTCCCAACATCCAAGCCGTCCTTCTCCCCAAGAAGACGGAAAAGAAGTCCGCCTAATCAGCTTTCACAAATCTACACGCTCATAACCCAACGGCCCTTTTAAGGGCCACCACATTTTCCAAAGAGCTCAAACAAATCCAATACCGACATAATTATGACCATGCACTTTATTCGTTCATATGCTTCATCAATTATTTTCATGCGGTTATTAGTTGAGAAATTAGTAACAAAATAGTGCAGTTAATGATGTAAAACAAGATGTATCATTCATTATTTTTCCTTCATTTTCAGAGCATTTACTGTTTATACAATTGAAATCACTGATTTCAAATCAGGAATCTCATCCTCTTCAAATGCATACGATGAATAATAATGCTCCTCCATAGTTTAGTTATGATTGACCTCGAATCAGGTTTGTGCATAATAACCTAATCCGAACCGAATAATATTTACTCGTTATGTTTTACGCAGGATTTTCAGCATTTTAGAAATACATGCATGCAGATTTTATAAATATATCGCTGCAATCTCACCAAAATTTCATATAATTACATATTTGTATGCACGGAGTAGCAGACAAAAATTGAAACGTTTATAAAATTATGAGAAATTTGTTAACGGAATGGAACGGATATTTTATTGGTATACAATTTTTATTAAGAAATAACTTATTTTCAGCTGCTTTTGACAAAGTCGAGTCAAAATGCAATCTCAATTTTACGAGTTGAATAATAAATAGTGTTTACATAATCATGATAATCCAACTACTCGACTGCATTTGATCCTAGTTTTTAGCAACATTACACAATCTCAATTTTATGTCAGTAATATGTACGACTGTGTAAAGTATCAATAAATTGTGCAATATGATCAATGAATAATCGAGAATGAAAATAAATGCGAGTAATTTTTTCAGCTCTTTGGAAAAAGTGGTGGCCCTTAAAAGGGCCGTTGGGTTGTTTTTTTTTATGGGAGCCGGACCCGGTCATCGTCTACTTGGAAGAGGTGTATTTGGTGACAGCCTTGGTGCCCTCAGAGACGGCGTGCTTGGCGAGTTCTCCTGGGAGGAGGAGTCGGACAGCCGTCTGGATTTCCCGAGAGGTGATGGTTGACCTCTTGTTGTAGTGGGCCAGGCGGGAGGACTCGGAGGCGATTCGCTCGAAAATGTCGTTGACGAACGAGTTCATGATGGACATGGCCTTGGAGGACACGCCAGTGTCGGGGTGGACCTGCTTGAGGACCTTGTAGATGTACACGGCGTAGGACTCTTTCCTCTTGCGGTGTCGCTTCTTCCCGTCCCCCTTTGGTAAGTTCTTGGACTTGGACACTGCCTTCTTCCCCGCAGCTTTCCCTCCAGTTTTTGGTGGCATTTTGCAAAGTTGTTTGTAGTTTGAGATCTGCTTGAAGTGAATTCAGAAAATTGAATGATGATAGGTCAGAGACACGACGAAGCTTTTATATGCGGAGGCTGAGTTGTGAGCTGAGTTGTGGAGAACTCAACGGAGTTGCTGAGAATGGAGGGAAAATCTTGGGTTGAGTTGCCGAGAGAATTTCTGAGTTCTCACATTTGGGAGGAACTCGAGTGGAGGGAAGAGAGAGGAGGAAAAAGTCTACCCGGTTCACCAACGTCCGCTCTCGTGGTGTATATAATCAATCTCATTTCAGTCAGTCTACATCACTCGTCAACTTTACAACTTTTACAAGTCTAAACTACTTCTCATCAAATAATTTCAAAATGACTGGTCGTGGCAAGGGAGGAAAGGGACTCGGCAAAGGAGGCGCCAAGAGACATCGTAAAGTCCTGCGTGATAACATCCAAGGAATCACCAAGCCTGCCATCCGTCGTCTTGCTCGTCGTGGGGGTGTCAAGCGTATCTCTGGCCTTATCTACGAAGAGACCCGTGGAGTCCTCAAGGTCTTCCTTGAAAACGTCATCCGAGACGCTGTCACCTACACCGAGCACGCCAAGAGGAAGACGGTCACCGCCATGGACGTCGTCTATGCCCTCAAGCGACAAGGCCGCACCCTCTACGGATTCGGCGGTTAAACATCTCGTCCTCCCATCTTACCTGATCTCGTAAAACCCAACGGCCCTTTTAAGGGCCACCACATTTTCCAAAGAGCTATAAATCAATCAATCTGCATAATACATTAAATAGATGTATCATGTGTTTACTTATTATTGCACTGGTCAAGTTTATGATAAGAGATTTATGCGATGTATCGGAGCTTCCGTGTCGGTTGATGATTATGGAGGAAAGAACGATATAAAATTTAAATTGATATGAAAAATAAATACAAACTGAAATGATTCTCAAAATTATATTGCTTTGATGTAAATGAGGAAAATCTAATAAATTTTGCATACATGAATATCGTTAAATCATTGATGGTGATGATTTGTTATTTCACTGCCGTGCCGTGTGTGGGGGAGTCCCACTGGGGACGGATAATGTCCCCTCGGTTATTGGATGTCCGCATCGTTTACCCATGCTATACAAACCCTTCCCTTCTCTATTCTAAAATGTTAATGTTCCCACACCTTCGAAGACTACTGTGCAAGTGCCACCAAATTTTGACATTGATTGCGATGTGAGAGTTTATTAGATCATGATAACTCGTAATTTCATGAGAATCATTATATTGGTTTAACCCGTTAGGGACCAACTACACATATTTGTGTAGTTTTTTGCTTTCCCTTGGGGACCAAGTACACAAATATGTGTACTTTTTTGCTTTCCGTTAACCTTATAAAAACTAATTAATTTTGACCTGGATACCATTTAATACCTGGCTTATGTACCCGTCATGTCCGTCTGTCTGTCCGTCTGTCTGTCTGTCTGGTTTGCGATAACTGCCGTAAAACTAATCCTATCGACTTGAAATTTTGCACACATATAGTATGGGTCAAATGAGGAGTTGAGTTCGAAGATGGGTGAAATAGGTCAAGTGGTTGACCGGTGGGGGTCATCGGAGTGGGTGGGGTATTACGCACCAAAATTTCAAAATTGTGTTAGAAAGCTGAAATTTGGCATAGAGGTTGCTAATGGTTTATAATGAAGGAATACAAAGTAAAATTTCAAAAATTTTCGTCTGGAGGGACCCGAGGGGGTGACCCATACCGATTTTTAAAATTCATCAAATCGAGCTGAAGTTTGGTAGAAAAGTTGGTAATAGAAGAATATTAATTAAAATAAGAACAATTTTCCCATAGAGAGACCCTATTGGGTAACCCATACTTTTTTTTGTAATCTTCGGATTACACTGAGATTAAGCTGAAATTTGTTACACAGGATGGTAATTGTTACTAATAGAAGAATATGAATTTAATTTGGAAAAATCAAATTTAATTTTTTAATTTATTGATATGCATTTGCGATAAAATTTCATGCAAAAAGTCGGATTGAGTGATAAGCACAACTTGGCCTGACTCGGGCTATATCAAGTCTGCACTGTAGGTTTTATATTTTCAGGGTAGTAATTCTGAACAAAAATTGTGTTGAATTTTGAAATCGGATTAAAATTCGAAAGGTTACAGCGTTTTAAAAATCCTGACTTTGGCGGATTTTTTAAATTCCACCACGGGCGAAAACATGTCCATTTTAGAAAACGAAAAAATACGGGTCCGCTTATTTCTGAGCATGAACTAACTAACTCCGGTCAAGATCAGTGAAAACCACTTGGACCTTGCTAAACTATAAAAATGTATGAATCAATAACTTAATATTATTGTAATGAACTGCAGATAATTTTTACTAATATGCATAAATAAATGCTTAATGTTAAATAAAATCATCAAAAGTTGCCGAAATAAATTCGGTCCTTTATGGTTTGCACACCCACTGTGAAATCGGTGACGTAACTACGCTTACTTTAAAATCATTTTGGTGACGTAGCTACACTATTGGTAAAATTAAATTGGTTATGTAGCAACAACTAACTGATAAAATTCTGGTCCCCAAAGGAAAGCAAATTTCAATTATTTCGGTCACAAAGGGGTTAATGTTGGATTCACATTTCATTAGACTATGCGCTTGTGGAGTATGATGTGGAAATCTCTACTAAATTTGCAGATTTTTTGATGACATCGTGCTCTTGGCAGGCTTATCATCTCGTCTGGACAGTATCGGTAGGTAAAACTGGACATAGGTCAAAGGATGACGTATCAAATTGAGCATTTAAAATAATTTACATTATGGACAGTTATTTTGCTTAATGATATGCATTCGAAAAGCGTTGTATTAACTGCAAAGTAAAGTCCCATACGATTTTAACTACCAATTCATAACACCATACTTCTGTTCTACACATTCATAGAAGCAAATATCAAGTCACACTCGCCAGGCAATAAGTAAGTAAACTCCAAATATGTGCAATAATAAGCTGATGATAAAATCGCTTCATAAAGTTCTCACTCTTTCGCTCCATGCAAGAAATCTTGCTCACAACTCAACCGCCACTCTGGCAACTCAGGAGGGAAAGCAGCCGCCCCGAGTACGTCGGCACTCTCGTATCCCCATCCCCTTATAAATCCAGTCTCAATCTCAATCTTGCCTCATCCTGCATCCAACATTGCTGTCTCTCTCACTGAAAGAAAAAGCATCAAAAACAAACTGATCATCATGTCCGAACAAGCTGCGACTGCCGCCCCAGCGGCCACTCCCCTCCTGCGAAGAAAGGCAAGGCCCCCAAGAGCCCCAAGAAAGCTGGCGCTGCAAAGCCAAAGGGGGCGAAGGCTGCTGCGTCTCACCCACCCACTACTCAAATGGTCATCAACGCGGTCAAGTCCCTGAAGGAAAGGAATGGCTCTTCTCTGCAAGCAGTCAAGAAGTTCATCGCCGATACCTACAAGGTTGACACCACCAAGCAAGCCACCTTCATTCGCAAAGCCATCACGAAGTTGGTTGAGACTGGAAAACTGACCCAAACCAAGGGAACTGGGGCAAGTGGATCCTTCAAAATTCCAGTCGCTGCTAAGGCTGCTGCTGGGGAGAAGAAGGCCAAGTCTCCAAAAAAGAAGACCACCAAACCCAAGAAAGCTGCTTCCCCAAAGAAGAAGGCCGCCCCCAAGGCGAAGAAAGCTGCGTCTCCAAAAAAGAAGGCAGCTGCCAAGCCAAAGAAGGCTAAGGCCGCACCCAGTGCCCCAGCTGCAGCATCATCTCCAGCTGCACCAAAACCTGCTGCTGCCAAGAAGCCGAAGAAGTCTCCAAAAGCCAAGGCTCCAAAGGTCAAGCTTCCCAAGGCGAAGAAAGCAAAGTCCCCCAAGAAGGCGAAGCCAGCAAAGAAAGCTGCCCCCAAAAAGGCTTAAACATCATCCTCTCTTCTGATAACAAACTTTAACCCAACGGCCCTTTTAAGGGCCACCACTTTTTCCAAAGAGCTATGGTCTAATAATGATCCTCTTTTTCATGAATTTCAGCTAATAACTAGAGATGAATAATTCATGCATTTTGGGCATAATGGAAATATGTTGCTCAAAACTTAATTTATTTAATTTACTTCCAATTAGTATTCGCTGATTAATATGACATGAGCTGCGATTGACCAGAGCAGTCACCAACAAAATGGTCGATGCGCCTCCGTGGCTGGGTTGCAAAAATCCTTATCGCACCCACAAATGTGATGCTTCCCCTCCAAACCCTTCGGATGATAATGTCCCCATTGTCCGGGTGAGGCGTCGACGGCTCGGCGAATAAATGTCGACGAATCCCAGGCTTGGGCAAGATACTTTGTTTTAAGATACAAGATACAAGATAAAGATACTTTTGGAAAGAAATCCAAGATACTAGATAAAGATTCTTTATTCTCTGTTTTTTCCAAATACTAAGTAAAAGATACTTTTTAGTATTTTTAAAGATACAAGATAAGATAAAGTATCTTAAATATTCCACAAGATACAAGATACTTTTGATTTTTTTGAAGATTTAAAAAAGATAAAATTTCATATTTGTTTCCAATTTAGGCATCGCCAGTAAGACAAAAGTCTTACTTTTGACATTGAAAAACACCTTCCACTAGCAAAAATAACACACATATTTAGTTTTCATTACAATTACTACCTCATAAATCATAAGAAAAGCGAACTTTAGATGTCGCGGGTAACATATTTTGCAAAAAGTATCTTGTATCTTAAAAAGTATCTTAGATACTTTCATCTTGGTGGAAAATATCAGATACAAGATACAAATACAAGATACTCATTGAGGATTTTCCAGATACAAGATACAAGATACTTTGAGCTGGGGCGGCTGGAAGATACAAGATACAAGTAGTATCTTGTATCTAGTATCCAGAGACTGGTCAATCCCGGATTAAGGATTGGGGATTGAGATTGGGATTGGGGATTAATTAATCCTTAATCTCAATCCTTAATCCCGAGTTTTTGAATTTTAATCCTTAATCCCTAATCCCCAATCCAAATCTGTCAACTTTAATCCAAAAGTGGGATTAAAATGGGATTAAAGTGGGATTAAATTTGCATTCACTAAAAACTCAAACAGCAAACTTCTCTTGAGATCGCTCCCCTTTCGAAAATTGATTGCATTTCGTTCATTTTTATCAAACATTTAAAAATACTCCAAAATATTTTGCAAAACTACTCGTATCGTGGTATCCTCAATGTGCAATGTTTAAATTTTGTGTGAGCTTATAAAGAAATGTGAGTACTCTGACCAAACTATGATCGATGCTGTTCGTTAAAATAGTACCAAGAATAAAATTAGAATTCTTCCCCTATATAATTTTTAGCACAAAAAATATTTAATTATGACTTAGAAATTGTATTCGTAAGCCATCTAATTTTGTATGCAAAATGATCAAAATATTCCATTTTCAGAAGTTCAGAGATTTGTTTAATTAATTTAAAAATCTGGCATAATAATGCAAACAATTAATCCACGACTATGTAAATTAATTTCCAAACCAGGTAAACCCTAAATTTAATCCCGTGTTAATCCCAATCCCAGATTAAATTTAATCCCGTGTCAATCCTAATCCAAGATTAAATTCAATCCCAATCCTTAATCCCAAAATTTGGAAAATTAATCCTTAATCCCCAATCTCAATCCCAAGATTTTAAATTTAATCCTCAATCTCAATCCTTAATCCCAATATCTTTAATCCGCCAGTCTCTGCTAGTATCTTGCATCTTAAAGTATCTATCTTGCCCAAGCCTGACGAATCCTCCCATCTTCAACGGCGTCCTATGCAAAACATCTCTTAAAGGTCCCGTACATATTCAACACTTTCTCCTCAATTGTCAGTCCGCTTTGCATCGTTGCTGTATGCAAAATTTGTTTAATAATTAATTCTGGTTTTATGACATAAATCAGTAATCAATGATAAGAGCCAGTATCTCACATGGGGCCAGGATGAAAATAAATGCAGTCGCCGTTGTCTGCATCAAAGTTTTCGAACAAGCAAGATTAATTTGGTTGAAATTTGCAACATTGAGCACGACTATTTCGATTTGTGACATGAAGTCCAACCATTTTATTTTTCATTCCCTCACTTGCATGCAAATTTGATTTTCCCGTAGTATGATATCATCCAAAAATGCATGCACAATTTAGTAGAGGTTTTCACTCAAACACGCATTATGAGGATCAAAATAACTATCTTCATGTTTAACAAATTAATGTTTTTTTAAGAATCATAATTTATTAATTGTCGCTGGTTCCTCCCCAATTCCCCAATACTACTAACAATAAGTCTGCACAAAATGACAATACACCGCCCAAAAATAAAACTCCCCAATTTAATCAATGCAAAGTCCAATTGTACTGATTTGAATTTATCATTATCATAATTCGACACATATGACAAATGAATGTGGATGTCATTTCGTACATATTGAGCTCTTTGGAAAATGTGGTGGCCCTTAAAAGGGCCGTTGGGTTTTACGAGATCAAGTAAGATGGGAGGACGAGATGTTTAACCGCCGAATCCGTAGAGGGTGCGGCCTTGTCGCTTGAGGGCATAGACGACGTCCATGGCGGTGACCGTCTTCCTCTTGGCGTGCTCGGTGTAGGTGACAGCGTCTCGGATGACGTTTTCAAGGAAGACCTTGAGGACTCCACGGGTCTCTTCGTAGATAAGGCCAGAGATACGCTTGACACCCCCACGACGAGCAAGACGACGGATGGCAGGCTTGGTGATTCCTTGGATGTTATCACGCAGGACTTTACGATGTCTCTTGGCGCCTCCTTTGCCGAGTCCCTTTCCTCCCTTGCCACGACCAGTCATTTTGAAATTATTTGATGAGAAGTAGTTTAGACTTGTAAAAGTTGTAAAGTTGACGAGTGATGTAGACTGACTGAAATGAGATTGATTATATACACCACGAGAGCGGACGTTGGTGAACCGGGTAGACTTTTTCCTCCTCTCTCTTCCCTCCACTCGAGTTCCTCCCAAATGTGAGAACTCAGAAATTCTCTCGGCAACTCAACCCAAGATTTTCCCTCCATTCTCAGCAACTCCGTTGAGTTCTCCACAACTCAGCTCACAACTCAGCCTCCGCATATAAAAGCTTCGTCGTGTCTCTGACCTATCATCATTCAATTTTCTGAATTCACTTCAAGCAGATCTCAAACTACAAACAACTTTGCAAAATGCCACCAAAAACTGGAGGGAAAGCTGCGGGGAAGAAGGCAGTGTCCAAGTCCAAGAACTTACCAAAGGGGGACGGGAAGAAGCGACACCGCAAGAGGAAAGAGTCCTACGCCGTGTACATCTACAAGGTCCTCAAGCAGGTCCACCCCGACACTGGCGTGTCCTCCAAGGCCATGTCCATCATGAACTCGTTCGTCAACGACATTTTCGAGCGAATCGCCTCCGAGTCCTCCCGCCTGGCCCACTACAACAAGAGGTCAACCATCACCTCTCGGGAAATCCAGACGGCTGTCCGACTCCTCCTCCCAGGAGAACTCGCCAAGCACGCCGTCTCTGAGGGCACCAAGGCTGTCACCAAATACACCTCTTCCAAGTAGACGATGACCGGGTCCGGCTCCCATAAAAAAAAACAACCCAACGGCCCTTTTAAGGGCCACCACTTTTTCCAAAGAGCTGAAAAAATTACTCGCATTTATTTTCATTCTCGATTATTCATTGATCATATTGCACAATTTATTGATACTTTACACAGTCGTACATATTACTGACATAAAATTGAGATTGTGTAATGTTGCTAAAAACTAGGATCAAATGCAGTCGAGTAGTTGGATTATCATGATTATGTAAACACTATTTATTATTCAACTCGTAAAATTGAGATTGCATTTTGACTCGACTTTGTCAAAAGCAGCTGAAAATAAGTTATTTCTTAATAAAAATTGTATACCAATAAAATATCCGTTCCATTCCGTTAACAAATTTCTCATAATTTTATAAACGTTTCAATTTTTGTCTGCTACTCCGTGCATACAAATATGTAATTATATGAAATTTTGGTGAGATTGCAGCGATATATTTATAAAATCTGCATGCATGTATTTCTAAAATGCTGAAAATCCTGCGTAAAACATAACGAGTAAATATTATTCGGTTCGGATTAGGTTATTATGCACAAACCTGATTCGAGGTCAATCATAACTAAACTATGGAGGAGCATTATTATTCATCGTATGCATTTGAAGAGGATGAGATTCCTGATTTGAAATCAGTGATTTCAATTGTATAAACAGTAAATGCTCTGAAAATGAAGGAAAAATAATGAATGATACATCTTGTTTTACATCATTAACTGCACTATTTTGTTACTAATTTCTCAACTAATAACCGCATGAAAATAATTGATGAAGCATATGAACGAATAAAGTGCATGGTCATAATTATGTCGGTATTGGATTTGTTTGAGCTCTTTGGAAAATGTGGTGGCCCTTAAAAGGGCCGTTGGGTTATGAGCGTGTAGATTTGTGAAAGCTGATTAGGCGGACTTCTTTTCCGTCTTCTTGGGGAGAAGGACGGCTTGGATGTTGGGAAGGACACCTCCCTGGGCGATGGTGACCCCGGAGAGCAGCTTGTTCAACTCCTCGTCGTTTCGGATGGCGAGTTGGAGGTGACGGGGGATGATCCTGGTCTTTTTGTTGTCTCGGGCAGCGTTTCCAGCCAACTCGAGGACTTCAGCGGCCAAGTACTCCATGACGGCAGCCAAGTAGACGGGGGCACCCGCACCCACTCGCTCGGCGTAGTTGCCCTTCCTCAAGAGACGATGAATACGACCCACTGGGAACTGGAGTCCTGCACGGCTGGATCGGGACTTTGCCTTTCCCTTCACCTTTCCTCCCTTGCCACGGCCAGACATGATGATGAGTAGTTGGTTGTATTTGAACTTGGAGAGATGTTCTCAGAGCGAGATATCAGCAGCTTGTGATGAACTTTGTTGGAGTCGAGCTTGAATTTATACCAACTGGCTGAGTTGCGGAGCAGACCTCTTGAGTTCTGAGGAGCGAGCGGGCTTTCACTGCTTACTTTCAGCCAATCCTCTTTCTCGCTCAGAACTCAGCCCTTCTCTATAAAACTGCAGCCCAAAGTGGAAAGCTTCATCACTTGCTGTCTCATATTCCTCTTGAGAACAACTCTAATACCCAATCTACAAATAAACAATGGCTCGTACCAAGCAAACTGCTCGTAAATCCACTGGAGGGAAAGCCCCCCGCAAGCAGCTCGCCACCAAGGCTGCCAGGAAGAGCGCCCCTGCGACCGGAGGTGTCAAGAAACCCCATCGTTACAGGCCCGGAACCGTCGCCCTCCGAGAAATCCGTCGTTACCAGAAGAGCACTGAGCTTCTCATCCGCAAGCTCCCCTTCCAACGACTTGTGCGAGAAATCGCTCAGGATTTCAAGACGGATCTCCGATTCCAATCCTCCGCTGTCATGGCTTTGCAAGAGGCGTCCGAGGCATACTTGGTCGGTCTCTTTGAGGACACCAACTTGTGCGCCATCCACGCCAAGCGGGTCACCATTATGCCCAAGGACATCCAACTCGCTCGCCGAATCCGTGGAGAACGTGCCTAAACTGGAAACAACCCTGCTAAAAACTACAAACCAACGGCCCTTTTAAGGGCCACCACTTTCTCCAAAGAGCAGTCAGTGATAATGCGACACATAAATATGATGCATACTTTCTTTACAAGAGCAATCGTCAATTTTCATAAATTACCAGTTCATGCAAAGCTAGAATTGTCCCATTTTTCTAACCTGCAAAATATTTAATCACATGCAATTCACTCCCATTCGAACTCATTTAAATTGAAATAAAACGGTGTAATATTTTAAGTTTTATATTTTCAAAAATTTATTATTGAGCGATTTATTTTGTTTGTTTTATATAAATGCGTACTACTTTTCCTAGAATTTTGTTCATCTGTCTCATCTCACCTCCAAAAACTTTACTCCGGATTGTTTGTTAGACGTACATACGTATTTGTCCTATTTGTGAGATTGAGTCTCAATTTGAGACACATCTCACCCGTGTAAATGTATTTTGTATTTTTATTAAAAACCCAAAAATATTTTTAAATTGCTACGAAATTGCATGTAGTTGAGAAAGATCACTACTTTTTCCTCTGTGACGCTAAATTTTTATGACTCTTGCCAGTAGTGTATCTTGCAGTAAGCAGTATCGTGTTTGTTAGCCTTATAAAGGGTACAAATTGGTTCATTTCCAAATTATCATTTATTTGAAGTACAACAGAAAATTATGACCACTAAATTACGACTCTCTCACCTTATCCAGGCGACACAATGGGTTTGAATAGACGAGACGTAGATCTACCTTATGCCCGACAAGGGAGCGAATATTATTAATCCCGTATCTAATCATGGTCGGTCTTTCGAGCGAAAGACCCCATGCGATGATCCTGACGTCCTCTGGGAGTCCCATGGGTCGGAGCATTTCGGGGCGGAAAAGACCAGAATTTCCTACTTCAACCCATTTCTTGAACCCCTTATGATACGCAAAGACCTCGAGAGAAGGTTCCGTGTAAGGGTTGTAGGCCGGCTTGAAACGCAACTGATCAATTCCCAACCGACCAAAGAATTCTTTCATGATGCCGATTAAATGTCCCAAACTTAGGCCACGATCAGCCACGAAACCTTCGACTTGGTGGAATTCGGCGAGGTCTGAAATTAAATTAGGTCGCTAAAAACATGTCGAATTAGTGAAAATTTTGTCCAAAAACCTTTACTTACGGGTAGCGTCCAACGTTTCGTTCCGGAAGACGCGATCAATCGAAAACTTTTTGACAGGTTTGAACGGTTTTTGTTGCGCTAAAGTAAAATATGGTTAAGCTACTTATCATCACTTATCGGCGAGGGATGACTTATCTTACTCACCCAAATCGTAAAGCACTCTGCCAGTAATTGCGGTGGTATGTGTCCGCATAATGTTGCGTTGTGTTTCTTCTCTCCGCCATGGCGTCTGATACCCGTCGGACCCATAGTCGCCCACGGTGTGAACTTTTTCCACCCGGGCGACATACTCCTCGTCCGGGAGACGAGTACAGTTTTCAGGCCGGGCTAAGAAGAAAGTGTCCTAATAGTTGAATAATTAGTTACTTAATTGCCAATTAACATAAAAATTGCATGTTTATTTATTACCTGCACATCTCTCGCTGGATGTTTTTGAGGTACAAAGAGGGCATCGAAATTCCAGAAGGACGATTCGACAAAGCGATTAGTGGGCATTTCCGAGAACCCGAGCTCCGTGAGGATCGAGAGAAACTCGGCTTTAACCTATGAATTTGTATTAACTCAACTAATTACAGTTGTATTTAAGTTATAGTTAATTAAACTCACTTTAAGCAATGGATGCAAATGACCTCCCTGCAACGTGGTCCCCATCGCGTTAAAATTGTACGGTTTGAAATTCTTCTTCGCATATTCCTCGTTCGCCATCATCTCTGCCGTAAGTTCGGCCTCGGGTCGTTCCACATTTTGGGAAAAGTTCGCCCCACGCGAAACAGTGAATGTGGTCACCGAGTTTGAGACTACGAGTCGTCTCCGTTTCAAGTCTGTGATGACATCATCCCCCAAAGGCGCAGAATCCCCATTAATAATTTGAAGTAGTTGTGATTTTACGACGTCAACGACTTCGACATTAAGACACCGCTCCACCCACGACTTGCCGTCGTCCTTTTTGACGATGCGAACCCATCCGGAAGCCACGGCTTTGTTAAGTCCGACACGAGTTGACCCTCCATCACCGAGAAGAAGTGTGTCCAATTCGATTCCGGAGTCAGGGATGTTTTGCCACACGCGAAATTCATGACTGCCTTGCGACACCACTATTTTTCCTAGAAATTAATTATAATTATAACGTTTACATCCCTTTTAATTAATTAATTAATTATAATTGCTGTTTAACCTTCCTCCGTTAAACTCAACACATTTCGGACATATTGCTCCGTCCGAATCACATCGTCCAGCGTGGCTAAACTTTTAATCGCTCCGACCACTTTTTGATGATCTTCTTCGCCCAGCTCGGCTGCCAGGTCGAGAGAACTAATTCCCCCGTCGTCATCTTTTTTGGTCAGAAGGAGTAAAATCTGATCACTAAGACTAAGGGACGCCATGTTTCTTTCTCGATGGGTGAATTGTGACTAACGGGTTGGCATCGGTGTCGAGGCGAGTTTATATAAGCGTACGTACGGAGGACGTGATGCAATCAAGGGGCGAATTTAGTCGTAGCTGCAAAAATTCAAAGTCGAATTGTTTTTACTAGCAGCCGACGTGTGAGGGAATTATGTACTAATCTCTTAACTACTTTATGATATAAATGATCTATGACAAACATGACAATGTTAGGGAAAGTTGTGTGTAAATATATGTTTGTAATTAGTCATCATACCTCAATTAAAGCATTTCATGAGCGATCATCACTTCTCATCTTATATTATTTAACCCTATGCTTCTCATATTGTTTTTTTGTATAAATGACATCCTGCCTATGTGATAAGTCAGGGTTGTATCGATACCTCGATGACAAAACGTTGTTAAGCTAAGAAATCATGAACTTTATGAAAGTCATAGTCATGCGGTGTTTCGCCTGCTAATGTTTTTTTTAACTTTTCGGAACGCCCATATTTGACTATTAGAAGTGATTTAAAGCCTGATTTCAAATACATCCAGCATATTCAAGAATAGGAGACGTACCAATAATCGCCATAATTTATTAATCTACATTTTCCTGGAAACTTTCCGATAATCAGAATTATCATGGACGGAAACGACTCCTCTGACGAGACCAAAGAAACCAATGGAACCGTTCACTCGTTCGTCTTTGAAAATGGTCATGCTCCAAACACCCCGATCATAGAAGGCCCAAGGGCCGTTAAACGCCAATTCTACGCAGCACTTTCCGCTCACTTGGGGGCCTTCATAATGGCGACGGTTTGGAGTTGGTCTTCCACTGCGTTGCCATATCTGCGTGAGTCGGAGGACTTACTGGGCCCCATCACGATTTGGGACGAGGCTTGGATAGCATCAATCACTTTTGTTAGTAAATAATATAATTTTAAATGCGATATCGTATCGCGTCATGAATAAATAAGGGTTATCAATACATAAACTGCTTTCAGTTGGCCGGCGGAGCGGGCAGTTTCGCCATGGGCACTCTCGCCCAAAAACTCGGTCTCAAGAAGTCCCTCATCATCGAAACGGTCGCCATGTTCGTTGGTTGGGTTGGTGTCGCAATGGCGACGTCATTAACGGAGATATTGATCGGTCGGTTTATCACGGGCTTTTTTGTCGCTGGGGTGGGCGTCTCTACAAGTCTGATTGCAGAACTGAGCTCGGATGGGCGGCGAGGTCGCTTAAATTTCATTTTTGACCTCATGTTCTGCGCAGGGGTGTTATTTATCTACTTGGTGGGGACATTTTTCACGTGGAAAATACAGGCTTGGGCGTGTAGCGGGATCACGGTGGTGTTTTTCCTGCTGCTGCTGACCCTTCATGAGTCACCCGTATCATCGCAGCAAAAGGGGCAGGATATCCAAGCGAAGAAAGCGTTACGTTGGGCGAGGGATCGTGAAAACGTGGAGGAGGAGTGGAATGTGGTGAGTATAATTAAACTGCATGACATAAATTTAAATGTATGAAAGTATGCGACCTTTGATTTTATTGTAGATCCGACAAAATGTAGCCAACCTTGAAAATTCTAAAAATTCTGGAGCTTCCTCCTCCTGGTGGGAACAAGTTGTATCCACCTATTTCACCAAACAGGTCATGAAACCCATCTTTCTCGCCATCGCGTTACAATTCTTCCTCCAAGTTTGCGGCGTTGTCCCCATAGTTTGCTACGCCGTGGATGTGTTCAAATCCGCAGGGACGGAAGGAGTGCATGAAAATGTGTCCACAATCGTGCTAGGTTTGGTCAACTTGGTAATCAAGGCGAAATTAAGAAAATATAAATATTTTCGATTTGGTAACTTTTCAAAATTTTTAGATTGCCACAATTATCGCGTTTTTCTTCGTGGATAAATTTGGTCGTCGTTTCCTCATGATCCTTTCGGAACTATTTCTTACCATCACGCTGGGTGGATTGGCCGCATTTTTGTACATGCGGGACGCACATGGTTATTTTTCTGGTCAAAGTTGGGCCTACTTTCCCCTCGTGTGTTTCGTCGTGTTTATAACGTTTTACTCTTTTGGGGTGGGTCCATTGCCGTGGGTTTTGATGGGGGAGATACTTTCTCCCAATGCGAAAGGTACATAATTTTTTATCGAAAATTAACCTATTTCGAAATTTTCAGTATCGATTTTTTGTAGGTTTTTCTAGCGGCGTTGTTATCCTGGCGGCACGAGCTTTTGGATTTTTGGTCATGTTCTTCTTCAAAGATATGATCCTTGTTGTAGGACAGCATGGGGTGTACCTATTTTTTGCAGGGGTGTGTCTTTGTGGGCTGGTTTTTTCATATTTTTTCATCCCGGAAACAAGGAAGAGAAACATGGAAGATATTCAAACAGATATTCAACAGCATTGGTTTTTTCACCGGGTTAAATATACCGATTCTTTTAACCCTAATGCTTAAACTAGTTTTTTATACTCATTTATCAGTACTATCCTACTTAACAAATAGAAATCTAATAAAGTCTAAAATAAAATAAAATAAAAATAAAAATTTGTGTAGTATAGAATTTTTTGCATCCGTTTTTAGCACAAATTGCAATTTACATTTGACTTTGCTTGCTTGTACGCTAATTCGTGTTGGGCATTAATTTTGCATTGTAATGCGAAATACTTAACAGCAAGTGCAAGGTGCATATTTATTTTATAAATTACCGAGAACTTTCATAGAATACTGGGAAACACCATATTCAAAAATTTTTGATAATCTAATATATGATTGATTACCATAAATAAAAACAACATACAAACTATTTTAGAGAAAAACAGGATGTTGCATAATTTGATAACAAAATGATCAATCTCAATTGTATTACCCATTTATTATTATTTTGCGCATTCCACTTTTCAATCAGGTAAACAAATAAGGTGAAAATTCCATAACATTGACTGACCTCAACCTATGTATGGTACAAATTCCATCCATGGCGTCCGTCTGACCGGTGTGAAAGTCACGCGTGGATAATGTCAACAATAAACACAATGATGATATAACGCATCAGAAAGGATGTAATCTATGTGTTTACTCATCCATGTCAATATTGACTTGTATAAATTAATTACCTATGTTGTCATAAAGTTCATGGTGTTTCATGAACGTCTGGCAAAATCCTGATGCAATGTTTGGGCGTAATTTCTCGTTCAAATATCAACGCATAATAAAGGTGAATCATCTTCCTCTGTAATATGTATAAATGACGATCATTTCCACATATTGTGCTTATTTGTAAATTGATACCGTCGGAAATCTTGTCTGAAATCGTGGTATGCAAAAGAATTTGGAATCCTTCCTGAAAAATGCCTACCGTTTCGGTCAATCGGGACTTACTTTTCTCCAAAATTGGGAAAGCTTATTGTAAGAAAGTTCCATTAAACCTTTATTTTATTAGTCATATTAAAAATGTATTTAGACGTCATTTAAAATATATTTTGTGTCCCACAGCCGACGATGAATTTGATAAACTGTGTTTCCAATTTGGAATCGAGCTTGACGAAGTGGTGAGTGAAAAAAAAAACGTAAATTTTGTTTTGTTTTATTCATATTTTTTTTACAGGCGGAGGATGACGATGGCGTCGAATACAAAATCGACATCCCTGCTAATCGTTACGACCTCTTATGCGTTGAAGGAATCGCCACCGCACTCGCAGTTTTCACCGGAAAGTTAGAAAAATCTCTCATTAATAAGTAATTATTTTTCTCAAATTATGTAATATCACCTGATACGATATACATAGGATCGAACCGCCCCGTTACACTAAACTGACCCCAAAGGTAAAGATCACCACGGTCGTTTCCCCCTCGACCCAATCCATCCGGCCCTACCTGGTCACCGCCGTCCTTCGGAATGTCACCATAACTCCGGCCGCGTACAAGAGCCTGATCGACCTCCAGGAAAAACTGCACCACAACATTTGTCGAAAGAGGACCCTTGTCGCCATCGGAGTGCACGATTTGGACAAGTTGACCCCTCCCTTTACGTACAGCTGCGAACCGCCCGAGCAGATCAAGTTTGTCCCTCTCAATCTGGACAAAGAATGGACGAACGCGAGAGACTTGATGGAATTTTATGGGTCGGACACCCACCTCAAGCCATACTTGCATATCATAAAGGTACATAAATAAATTAATATTCGTGGTACGGTTCACTCATTAAATTTGCGAATTTAATTAAATTCAGGATTTGCCAGCATATCCCGTGATCCGAGACAGTTCAGGAATAGTGCTTTCGCTCCCCCCAATAATTAACGGGGACCACTCAAAAGTCTCGACCTCCACGAGGAACATCTTCATCGAATCGACAGCCACGGATTTGTCGAAGGCGCACGTCGTTCTCGACACTTTGGTCGCAATGCTGTCTCAATACTGCGAGAACAAGGGGGAAGTCGAAATAACTGAGGTCGTCTATGAAAATCGCCCTGTTGACATCTGTCCAAAATTATTCACTAGAAATATGGCGTTGGACGTCGACACTGTAAACGAAACGGTAGGGATTAGTATTTCTGCGGGAGAGATGGTCAGTACTTTAAATCGGATGGGATTATCTTCCCAAGTCAAAAATAGTGGTCAAATTTCTGTTCAAATTCCTCCCACCCGGCATGACATTATCCACACGTGCGATATCATTGAGGACGTCGCTATTGGCTTTGGGTATGAAAATATTGTCCCCCAGTTGCCACCCACGAGCACGATTGCGGCACAAAATTCTCTGAACAAGTTGAGCTTCCAGTTAGCAAACTGCGTCGCTCAGGCCGGATTTACGGAGGGGTTGACATTTTCACTGGTAAATTTCTAAAAAAAAATGTAAGCCGATAACATGGGTATAATTGTGATTATCATTGGTATGATGATAAGTGCTCGATGGAAGACGAATGCGAAAAACTGCTTCAGCCACAAGCAACAAAAGAACCCAGCCTGGTCATAATTTCCAACCCGAAAAGCCAGGATTTCCAGGTGGCAAGGTCATCTCTGCTGCCCGGGTTGCTGAAAACGGTCCAAGCCAATAAAGGAGTCCCTCTTCCACTCAAACTGTTCGAATTTTCCGACGTGGTCCACCTGGATTCTGAAAGTGATACTGGGGCGAAAAATTGTAGACATTTCTGTGCCATTTACACCAACAAGACGCCTGGATTTGAAGTTATCCACGGACTTTTAGACAGAATCATGCAACTGTTGGAGGTCAAATTTGAGGATGAGTATAGTCTCAGAGCGGCGGAAGGTGGGGTTAATAATTTATTTTTTAAAGATAATTAATCAGTTAATTAATAAGTTTTGTTTTACATTTTATAGACCCAACATATTTTCATGGAAGATGTGCCGAGGTTATCTATCGGAACGAAGTGATTGGAAAGATGGGCGTTTTGCATCCCAAAGTTCTCTCAAATTTTGGATGTGCTATGCCCTGTTCGGCGATTGAGATAGAAATTGAACCATTTTTGTAAATCTTTAGGAATAAAGTTTGTAATTGCAAATGCGAGGTTTTCAAGTATTTGTTTTTATTCCCTATTAAAACGTCTACTGGCTCTGTAATATCATTAAATATTACAGGCTTATTCTCCCAAAAGACAAGATTTTAACGGCATTTACATACATACTTGCTCGCTTCATCTTTAACTTTGATATTTTTACAGTAATTTTGGTAACATCGTATGAAGCAGCTGAGAGTAAACTTTTCTTTTCGTCTCATACACAATATTGGGGCAGTATATTTTAACAAATAATGACGGATCGTTAGACTAGATTGATTTAAGTAGTTTTGTTGATGACTATTTTTACGCCTTCTTTGGGAACGAGGCTCGATAGATGTATTCCGCGGCCCCTATAAAAAATATTTGCAATTTAAATGTCGACTCTAGTAAAAATCAAATAAGTTAAATAGAAATGTATATTAATAAAATTTTACCGAGAACGCCAACTACACAGCCGCCCATGGTTGCATAGTAAAGGACACGATCGAAAGGACCTCCCTTCAAGTGGATGGGGGTACCGTCTTCAACCTGACCCAAGAGCGACAAATTGTAAGCATGCTTGTACTTAACCAGGCAATTTATAAATATATGTTACCGCTTTTTATAAGAAAGTATTACCTGGAAATGTGCATACTTCTCCTTAATCTTCTTGTATCCTGGGTGCACCTCCCCTTTTACGGCTTGGCGTTGGGTCGAAGTGCTGAGTTGGCGTTGTCCGAGACGCACACATTGAACGGCAAACTGTAAATTACCACAAAAATTTAGTTAAAGTAAAGACTTTTGGAAAATTGTGATTTTGTGCAAAGTATTAATTCCTTATGTCTCCTACTTCGCACATCTTTTCACCCTTAATTATTCTAATTGTACAACTTACCCGATTCATGATGTTGAATTTATCGACGAGCTGGCGCAAGGCGGATTAGCAAATTTAAATAAAATTAAAAATACTAGAATCCAATCCACGATTTTAGCGAAAAGTTAAAAATGGTGTTCACTTGGGAAGTTCAAGAAGATCCACCTTTTCCACGGAGTCTCACGTTGCCTCGACTTCCAATGCCAAAAATGTATGCAAAATGCATGCAAAATAGTGCAAAACTCCTAGCGTAAATTGCATGGAATCAATATTTATTTCGTATCTCAATTGTATTACGTTAATTAATTAAATATATGCTTAAATATAAACTTTTGCAATTACAAAGAATCATGTGTTGCATGACTTAAATGTTTCCCGATTTTTTTACACCAAATTTAATTTCATTTGTAGCTTGATATAAAATTATGATATAAAACTTTGATAATTTCGATTTACCTTTCAAAAATAATTTCACGGGAATTTTGTCACAATTATTAATCTAACTATAATTTCGGGGTGACAAAATTACATTTATTACCTGCTTATCACATCGAATAGTATCCTAAATACATGCTCAGATTGTTTTATGAAAGACAGAATTAAAAGCAGAACTAAAATATGACCCCCAATACGTGTACACAAAAATCTTTGAAAAACAAATTGACAATGTAATTAACACACTCGCATAATACGCAATTTCAAAAAAAGCAGTGTCCCCTCCCGAAATATAGATCGCGAACGGTACAAATGCCCCCAATTCTGATATCAAAACACAAATTTCAATCGCCATAACCAAATTTAAATGTGTTCTACGACCACCAGGACTTCTGTACATTTCCATGCGCCGTAATCTCAGCCGACTTGAAATTTTCTGTAATTCAAAAACCATTTAATTATTAATTAACTGCCATCATTCATGTATAATTTATTAGTCATTCATACAACTTTACCTTAAGTGCGAAGAATGCGATTGTAAAAAACAGGAAGAAAATTGGAAATATTCCCTCCACGAGGCCACCATACATGAAATTGTACCAGTAGATTTTGATCCTATTTGTATCATTCTCATCGTCATTAATTTTGCAATTTTTCTGGGCCTCAAATTCCCAGAACAATCGGGGGACATTTATCCCCAGCATGGCCAATATTACGAGAGCAGAGTCTCGAATAATATCTGACACGTCTGCCGTTAACAATTCCGCCTTTGGTCGAATAATTTGACAAACCTTGTCATACACGAGGAGCAGGGTCAAATATGTAGAGCATGAATGAGCTAAAATTTAATATGAAAAAGTTTAATTTACAATTAATTAATTATTTATTTATAATATGTACAAGTTCAGATTTGCATACCCCAACTCCCAACGCAGTACAGATATGGAATGAGATCTTCATGGAATGACAAAATATTCGGGAACGATAGCATTAAACATATCGAAATTGTGTAAATTATGTCACAAATGGCAGTCGTTATACAAAATTTGGAGAACGGTCGAACCCACAAAGTTCGAAATAATGAGACCCTGACAATCCCGAGATTTGATACAAAACTCGCAATCCCGACGAATAAACAGAAATATGTCAACCAGAGGTGTTCAGAATTATTGTTAACGATTGAACTTGTGTAATTTGACGGCAGGACTAAGTTTTCAAATTCGGAAATATTTGAAAATGGGACTAAAGTCGATTTACATTTTAATAGATTATATATATTTGTAGCCTCCATAGTCAATAGTACATATTTATTTCAGATTAGTTTTAGTGGACAAGGCTGGAAGTAGAATGACCGATGGCAAGGACATGGCTTGGTGATGGTCAAATATGAAGGTTTTGCGGTTTTACAGCTCTTTTATTTCCGAGAGATATGTGCAATTAATAACTCACTTATTAGCACTTTGTTTACATGATGCTTACGGAGATATCTTTTATTACGAGATTCCCGAAAGACACGTTCCAAGTTTATCCAACCCGTCAAGGTGAAAAAAGCTTACCCGGTGAATTCCCGGAAGAAACCCGGGTGTGTCAGGTATTAGACAACCGTTCCATCGATTTGCAGCGTTTTATGTATAGGATTTTTCGTAAGAAATTTTGAATAGCCATTAAATTCCCACTCATAAATACTATTTCGTAACGATTTACATTCAGATTCACCCGTTCTGTTTTAAGGCATATTCTATTGGATGTTTCTAATTTTACTTTCAATTAATCCATAGGTAAATTTTGGGGTAAAACGGTGGTGAATTATCAGAAACAATGTTATATGAAAATGACTTATACTAAAAAGGTTTTGCATGATATGCTAAGTTAGTTTTTATTTATTGGGCGAATTTCACTCTGCCGTTTTACCTTATCAAGAATATTTCTGTTGATAACCTACATTTTTCTAAATTTTTAACACGCACACTTTTCCGCAACATTTTTTCTTAAATTTTTAGTACTTATAACATTTTTCTAATACATTTTTGCCTAAATTTTATATTATGCAACGCTACGAGTAAAGAACCATCGTTTTTCATGTTCATGCATTTTTAATATCAGTGTAGAATGCATACTAACTGAAACAGAACCAGTTTATTTTGCGATGTAATACGATTTTAGCCTTCAGTTTATCATGGTGAACAGGTTCATGCCTTTAGTATGCAAATTGTAGAGCTTTTTGTGTAAACATACAGATTCCATTTCTTGGAATCTCCGGCTTTCATATGAACAGAAAATCGCATCAAATCAAATCCACAAGTTTCAGAGAGAGAATTTTCACAGAGCGGTTTCTAGCTTTCATCGACATCTGGATTACTCTGTGTTTTTCATTTATGCACAAATTTACGTTTACATAATATGTCTTAAATAAAGTGTGATTTTTTAAAAAAAGAAGACGTTTCCCTCTCATAATTCATTTTGCTGAATTTGTTACCCATTACACATACAACAAGTTAATGAAACTCGTCACAAAATTATGTCCATTTGTACTATTTTGTAAGTATTTTGAAATTCTTGTATATTATTCTTACGTCAAATTAACAAAAAATAACAAAATGATTGAAATAATAGAACATATTTCAGAAACTTAAAAAAGACACTATACTATGTGAAACCAATCTACTGTCAACTTTTCATATTTGACTTTTGTTAATTTCATATTTCGACTTTCTACCTTAACAAAATAATAAAATACCAACTTTTTTGTAGAATTTCAGTTTTTCATACCTTTACATAAAATTAGTAAAGCTCATTACAATTTTATTTCTGTAATTTTTTTACAATTTGGATATTTACTTTAATTTATTGAGTTTTATTTTAATTTTCAAGTCTTTACCACGACTCAACGCACGGATGGCACGTTGAGATTGACGGATTGATATACTCGCAGAGACAAAGTTTTCGAAAACAGTTTCCCAGCTCAAAGTACAAGAACGGAGAGCAAACCGTGGTCGTAGGTCCAGAGGACGAGCCAGAGTTCAAAGGTCACCAGTCAAAACCTCCCCTTCACATTGTCACCTCTTTTCTTAAACAAATTGCGCAATCGGGTAGGTCAAAATTTTATTCTTTTTCATAAAGTTTTTTTCATAAATTTGCTAAATTATGTAAATTTTCAGGTTACAAAGTTGAAGGGACGGACAGCACCTCGGATGAGAACGGTTATCGAAAAACGACTCTGTGGACACTGCAGTGCATCAACTAATAAAAACCGTAAGGGATTGATTAATAATGTAAAATTATCTTTATTTTCATAATTATGGTTTCTTTATTTCAGAAAAACAACAAAAATTCATCACATTCCAAAAAATCACAATCATTTCCAAAATTTACTTTAAGTTTTGTCCGTTGACATTTACCTGTTTCCAATTTCATAATTCCACTCTCGCTAAAAATTCATAATTGACTCCAAATCTTTACATTTTTCACAAAAGTAAGACTGAAAATTAATTTCCCTTCTCCCAAAATGGCTACAGCCATGCCGAAAGGCGTTTTTTCCGTGGATCGGATAGTTTCCGACCTTGCTGTCTTTATCGACTCGTCCGATCTGCATTCCCTCCGCGAATTGTGGAGTTATCTTGAAGGGAAGTTTTTCTCCCGTCTGGCCCCCACCCATTCCTCTGTCGTCAAAAAGTACGAATTCGGACTGTATAAATTTTACTTGGTGGAAGCACTCAAAGCCGGAAGGAAGGACAAGCTGTCGGAGTTCTTTGAAAAAATGGCGACAGAATTAAACCCTTATCCAGAGTGGAAAGAATGGTTAGCAAATATGCAAATATGCACACATGTATTTAAATACTACAAAATTGTAGATTACATTCAAAATATTTAAATAATTTGTAAAATTAGTCTGTTATGAAATGTGCACATTTTACCAAAAATTAATTTCTTACGTAAATGCACTTTATTTCTGAAAACATCCTCAAAATTATCAAGCGTAGTTACAAAACATTTTAGATAAGAATGGTTAGCAAACAATATTATTTGACACTTTATCATTCTATGGGGCACCGCCCATAGAAACGATGTCAGTTAATCGTGGTTAGCAAATATAAATACCACAAAATCGTAGATGTCAAAAAAATTGATAAATTGATATTTTGTGAAATGTGCCAAGATTTAATTTCGCAAATGCATTTTATTTTTGAATGCACCCTCAAAATTCTCAAATTCAGTTATAAAACATTTTAAATTGCAGAACTATTTTTAATTACAGGTATTTAATCGGTTACATAAAGAACCCCGAGGACCACTCCACCGCGTCGACTTACAGCAACAAAAACTACCGAGAAGCCTTTTTCGTCTCGATTCGCAACTTTCTCACCGTGATCTACCACCGGACTTGGACCGTGGCTGAGGTTTCGCCTAAAAATCCGTATTCTATCGAAATCATGGACGATTTCTTTTCCATTGCTCAGCCAAAGTTAGGTTAAATAAAAACACATAGAAAATAATATTCAAATTTAAGCCTTCATTTTAAAGAAAGAGAAAGCTAACACGCAGTAAATGTTTCTAAACTTATTTCTAAACGGCATAATTATAAAATACAAAAATCAAATTTAAATTTTCCATAAGAAATAAAATAAATACATCACATTTCCATTCATTAAAATGTTGACATGCACCATGCCTCGGTTTTTATTTGTGCAAGTAGACACGTAATATGCAGTGAATTACAAGTCTGTATTTACAATGTTAATCATGGAAGGAGTGCATGAATGATAAGCTTTTAATAATTAGTCCTTATCTTATCTGTGAGAGGAAACATTAAACTTTAGCTTTCCTACTGTTAACATACATAAACACGAAAGTTTCTCATTATTTCTAATCAGCCTCTGTTGTTTGTATCAACCGGAAATGCACACTTAACACATAAATGGTCAATATTTTATGAAGTAAGCATGTACATAAATATTTTTCTCTGTATTTTAGCTGATAACAATTAAGTAAATAATGCCAAAAAAATGAGAACAAGTCGCATTAACCACAACGATTATAAAATGAGTCATCTTCCCAAATCCGCAATCCACCCACCCACCAAAATCATGACATGCATAAAAAATGTAGCCGATCCGTCTACCAAATTGTATCTGGATCGCCTACACAAAAAAAGACAAACCTAATAAACCGTTGCAAACGAAGTGTAGCAAAGGGGTGAAGCGACACGGTCACAAGGTCATGGCACGTCAAAACTATGTTGATTTCTGAAATCCCCGCCCAAAACTATGTCGATTTCTGAAATCCCCCCCACTCCAAAACTACGTCTAAAACGGTCAAAACAAAAAATTCGACATCTTTGACCGTTTATCTCATCACCGTGGCGCCATGACTCATGACCTACAACGCCCATTTTCGACCTCATCTGTACTTCAAGAATTAGAAACACGTTGGCGGAAACCGCATGTCGAAATTCGAATCCGTTCTAAAATTATCGTGGATATGGATGGACGGACGGACCGACAGACAAGACATTCCCATAAAGGGATTTCGCATCGCTTCACCCCTTAATAAACAGCACTAATAAAACGTTTACAATTTTAAACGTGGTACATAAAGTGTAAAAAATTTATCTGATACGCGAACAAAAGTTCTCTAGAGAGTGGCTGACGATGACATGCAGATACTTGAACTTGTCACGTAAAAATTGGCTAATAAACATACAAAAATCTTCAAAATGTGACGAAATCCATGCGACCGTGGGAAAATAAAATAAAACCGTCCCCATTTTTTTCTTGGTCTTCATTTTTTATTTAATTTATTGCATAATAATTTATGCATGTTCTCGTCTCACTCACGTGTAACTTGACATGAAAATTACACCCGTGTCAACATGACTATTTAATCAAATGCGATGTCCCAGACAAGTTCTGTTATCTTTTTTTAAAAGAAATATTTACTTTGACAGACAAGGATCAAGTTATTTAAACATTAAATAAGTCAGAGTTAATTAGTTTCATTTACTTAATTTTCTTATCGCGACTTCTTGTGTCTCATGTTTTTTTTGTTCTGATCCAAACCCCCATCGTCACATTGAAGTTTGTTAACATCTTTGTAGGGCAGCAGCAGGGTTGGGCTGGGTCGTTTACCAGGACATGATGCATCACATTTAAGTACTAATCCCATAACTCTCCATTTTACAGAACTGTTGACTATTAACTGAACTAAAAACTACCTTAACCATGCAGCCAGGCGCCGCGGAAGCTGTGGGGACATCTGGGGACGTTGATAATACGATAACATGGGCAGATGATGCGGACATCGAACAACCGTGGGGACATTGTCCCTCTGTTCCGCGGACACTGCATGCACCACCAGCAGCAGTTCGTTCGTTACATTTCATTTCATCCAGTAAATTAAATTAGACTATGAAAAAAAGAGCATAAGACAAGACACATCTGTTGTCCTATCCTCTCCTCCAAAATCATAGTCATGACTTCTGCTTCGTTCAAGATCAACTCTAATCAGCAAACCAAACTAACCAAAATCTACATGCATGCGTCCACCCAATGATTAAAAGCAGTCCAAAAATATGGCATGTACCAAACCAAAACCAGGAACATAGCTGCATACATAAATTTATTTACTTTTCAGTAGTTCCCAGTAGTGCTGAGCATCACGATTCTCGAACTTATTTTCCATTTAGCCCAGCATTTAATAAAACACGAGCTCAATCTGGACTGAAAGAGCATTTGTGACTCTTCTCTGTTCTTCTTCTATGCAAACGTAAGATGAGACCGATAGTAAAATAAACAGAGTTTATTAAGCCAGCAAGCCACAATATTATGCATTCATCTATGTCCCAATGTACATATGCACCAAGTAAGCAAACCACTAATAAAAATATTTACTACTACATATCTACTACATAAAGAGGGATGAGATCCACAGTACAGTACACCATACCATTAAACGACCCCTCCTCCATATACATATTTCACCAGAAGTACCTATGTACATAGTTACACATATAAAATACGTATATATTTACATGAGAAAAATCATCTCTTCACTATTACCATACGATTCCATTCGATTCGTTGATTTCTTAATGAAACGTATCACACTTTTCTTGACGACACTCACTCGCTTGATTTTCGCAAGGCATTGAATTAAATTAAGAAGGTGTATACATATGCAAAACCACAACCACTGTGGTGGCGAAAAATAGCGAGGATTTTTGCTATAATTTATCACACAGATAAATAAGTAGCAGGAGGCAGGGTGCATATGCCGTTTAGCTCTTCTTGGAGGTTCTTTCTTGGTTAGTTTTTTGGTGAATGACTAATCTCCTCAAAGAAAAAAGAGTGTATGGAATGGATGGAAGAAGAAAGTAAAGTGCTGCAATTTGTCTGTTTCTTCTTCGTTACGTGTATCCGACATGACTGACTATCCGTTATTGTGATATTAAAAGGTGGATTTACTATACGGAGTGGAGACAGGATCAGCGTAATATCATCCATTCAACACGTTTTATTTCATTCCGTTTTAAGAAAGAGTGTGGAATAAAAAGTCTGTTGAGGAGAGGAACAAGAAAAGATTTAGAAAGAATCATCCTTTGTGTGTGACGGATTCCTGCTCAAAGTCACACTTTTGACTAAAATCTGTGCCAAAGTTTTAATCAAGAAGAGAATAAGTACATGCGAAATTTAGAGGTTGCTTAAACAATGCGAGAAATGTACGTTGTGTTTGTAAAATAAAAGTGTGGTGGAAGAATTCTTGAAATAAATTATGGATGTTTTTTATGGTTGAGTGTGAAAAAGTGAAAAATTCATTTTCAAGTGAAATGTTGACTTGTTTAATAAGTTTTTATTTAAGAAAGCGACGGGTTGTTTTTGGAAATATACTTTGTTTAAGATAAAATACGAGTTTTAGTACTTATTGTTCAAAAATGGATAACAGAAGTACGGGTCAAAGTTCGTCGAAATTGACAAAATCGGGGAATAATTCAACCTCTGCGTTAATGACCCCACCCACGACGCCCTGTTCGAGTAAAGGAATTGGTAATAATATGCCAAAAAATGGGAGAGATTCGTCTACAGGAAGTGGACCACGATTGATTGTGGATTTCTCAGATTTAACCGTCCCAGTTCCAACCACGCCGAGAAGTAAGGAAAGAAAATGAACAATTGAACGTTAAAAGGTAATAAAACGATTAATTTTGTCGTAAAAATTATTTTAGGTCTGCAACCGGAAGAATTGAGACGATTATTTCTAGTCTCGTTGGAGAAAATGATTACTCTCGAACCGGAATCTTTACCATTTAGACAACCTGTTGATCCTTTGGTGAGAAATTCAATTAATTCTTTGGCACATATCTTAGCTTAGAATTTAAACCAGATCGTGCAAAAATATGCTAAAAATTACATGAAAAAATCTTTGTTTAAAAAAATATTCAAGCACTTCTAAAATTAAAAAAAGATAATGACCATTCCATGAAAAACAAGCTTGAGAAGGATAGTGAGGTTAGCTTGTTTTTGAGGAATAGTTGGTAAAAAATATCTAGGTTTATGAAATTGCAGAAATATTTCAGTTTTTTTCCATAACAGAAAATTTTTATGAAATGAAAAAGAAGTAATTTTGCAATTTAATTTTGACGAGCTAAAAAGCCTTTTTGTAGAATTTGAATTAATAAGAGTATTGTCTTGGGTTGTAGGTAATATGAAGATTTACTGTTCACTGTATAACGCATACAGTGAACAGTAAATCTGTAAAAGATACAATTTTGGAGATTTAATTTTGATGAGCTAAGAAGTCATTTTGTAGATTTTGAATTAAATGAGAGTGAAGACTTCAGGTACATCTGCGAATAGTTTTTAGTGACAAATATCTAAATATTCGGACATGAAATCGTTAAATTCCCAAAACGAGCAACTTATGTTTTGCATATCAAAAAATTAAATCTAACAAATATTTCAAAACTCACAGGCTCTCGGAATACCCGACTATAATGACATAATTCGAAAACCCATGGATTTGCAAACCATCCGGATCAAGATGAATTTATTGGTACGTAAAAAAATAAATCAATTTGAAGCTGTCTTAAATGAGCTGAGACGTTAAGTTTTTTTGATATTTTTTAAAAAATTCAATAGAAATACACCGACCCCTGGATGTATGTCGATGACGTCCTTTTGATGATGGATAACGCCTGGGTTTACAACCGACCTGCCTCAAGAATCTTCCATTATTGTGAAAAGGTAACAGTTTATTTTTACAGAAATTTATCAGAAAATTGTTGCTGCTTCATTCCACTTTTGGAAAATGTGTATAATTTAGAATACCCAAAAAAGGGTAGATTCAAAAACCGAATTGATTTTTTTTCATTTTCAGTTATCTGAAATCTTCCAACAAGAAATTAACCCCACGATGACCCGACTGGGTTATCGCCACGGACGAATTCACCAATTCAATTCTCAAACTCTGTCCTGTTTTGGTCGTCCGGTCTGTCTCATTCCGAGAAACGCGACATATTACAACTTTCTCAGGTGACCTATTCGCCATATTTTCACCACAACCTTAATTTTGTTGCATGTATGCAAACTTTCATGTCATTTTGTACCCTGCAGATTCCACCTGTGCGAAAAATGCTACTCTGCCAACATGCAAGAAGACGGGATAAAACTTCCCTGGCAGAACAATGTGTATGTTTTCCAGACAATTTCTCATTTACATATTTAATCCTCGTCACTATAAATAATTTATCAAATTCTAGAACGGTCGACAAAGAAAACTTTATCAAACTCCACAACGATGCGGAAAACTCGTACTCGCCAGCTGCCGGTGGGTGATAAAATCAAGTCAAATAATGAAATCAGGCTTTCAAAAATTTCAAAAAGGTTTAAAAAATTCAATTTTTTTAAAATTAGAAATGCACCGAGCGTATCAGCGCGATGCTCAGATGTCTCGGCAACTCGTTATCAGAGAATTCCTCAAATTACTCTCCTCCTCCACCGTCCATCCCGACAAGAAGAAAAACGTGCGGAAAATGTTGCGTCTGAATGGCCAGTTGAGGTCGGAATTCGTCCAGTATTTCCACCAAGAGACGGAAGCCTACCTCCTCACACCGACCGAAGTGGAGAGGATTAAACAACAATTAAGGATTATCGAAGAGGGCGAAAGTAGCAGTAATCAACCCGACGTCGTACAAAAGATTAAGCAGACGAATTCATCCACATCGTCGTCAGATTCTTTGGATAATAATAATCTCGAAGACAATCGTCGTCACAGTCGTGACGACCAAAACCACGCCATTCTTGACGTCGACCTCGAGCAGGAGGAAGATGGCGACGAAGAAGAAGATAGCGAAACTCGGGGTAGCAATGAGAGGAGAAGTAGTTCGACAAATAATAATAATAATTCTGAAGGTGACCTTGATCCGGGGAGGTCAACGTCAAATTCACACTTGTTGACTGGTAGTGGGGTCGAATTGGAGTCGAGTAGTGGTAGCAGTAATTGTAGCACGCTTTCTTCACTTAAGTCGCTTAATTAGTGGATTCGACTGGATTTTAAGTTAAGAGATGTTTGTGCATTTGTCCAAGTTATAAGTTATCAAAATGTGTGTTATCAAAAAATGTCTTCCAACGACTAAAATAACGTCATGCCTTCAAGTAAGTGATTCCACTCAAAATTACTAAATCTATTTTACTTCTACTTCAATTTCCCATAATTTATAAGGACGATTTACCCACTTTTGTTACAATTTATCCTCTATCTATTTTGGATACAAATTTTACCTCATTTACATAACTTTCTTATTTTATTACTAATAAATATGTGTAATTATGTGTCTTCACAATCATTCTTGTTATTTATCTATATCAGGTTGTAAATTATACGATTATTTGATTCCTACAAAAGTGAGACGGCATGTAATAAAGATGTATTTTGGAGAAATTGGTCTGCGCAGATGTAACGTCACCAAACTAATTATTTTCATTTGTCATCCTGTCCAAATATAGCACACACGTCCCACTTTCTCCACTTTCTTTCCCTCTACATCTTAATATCTGTCACGAACAGTGGCCGCGGAAGGTGAGGACAGAGGGACAATATCCCCACGGTTATTCGATGTCCGCATCATTTCCCCATCTTATATAAACCCCTCCCTCCTTAATCCTACAATGTTAATGTCCCCACGGCTTCCGCGGCCACTGCATCCATGTCATGAATTCATTCACAAACAACAAACAAGCAAGCCAAACCATGTTCCATGAAGTAGTAGAAGTAGTAAAACCAAGTCAAATAGTCAAACCTCGGGTAATCTCCGGAACGAAAGCCGAACTACCCGGGTAGTAGGTACATACATACGTATATACCTCTCGTACATACGTACTTTTTTTTTTACTATACAAACACTTTCGACATTCGGACAATATTTACGACCTTTCTTTCGTCCCAATTATATACTTGATCGAGAGAGAAGAAGATGTCGGAGCCGTAATCTGCGTCATGGGAAAAGAAGACTAGGAAAAATTTGTGCCAAACAGCATTAGAAATTGTGTAAATTTTTTCAGACTAAAGAATTCTGAAAACGTATAGAAAACTTGCTACATAACCAAGTTACGAGTAAAATCATGCCACTTTGTACAGTACTGTAAGTAAATTTCAAAATACGATAAAATAAAATTTAGGAAAAAATACAATTTAGTTTAGTAAAATGCAAAATTCCAGTCAGAAATATTTGAATTATTTTGCTTCCAGTCTAACCTACGAAGTTTACGAAGGCTCGCTGGGTCAAGTACCGCTCCCCCTGTGTTCTTGGACCGTGTACATAAACGGTCTCGAGGACAAGCAGAGGCGTGGAATGGCGAAATTTTTTCCCGAACTGGGCGAAACGTTGGGTTCAAGTCCGACCTTGACCTACGCGCAGAGCGACAAGACCCGCACGTATCTCAACATGTCCACCACGATGGCAATATTGACGAAATATCTCAATTTTCTGGATGCCGAAGGTTACCGTGTCGTTGGGCATTGTTGCGACTCGTCCGTGTACTCGGGAGGGGTAACAAAAACGGTCATGTACACGATGCAGATTGGGAATGGGGGTTGTAGCGGGAGTGGAAGTGGTGGGGGAGATCTAGCTTCTGGTGGTTCTTAAAAAATTTTTAATTTTTTCAAAGAAATTTTCAAAAATACTCTACAAAAATATTGTAATCTACATATGTAAATCTTAATTCTTTCAAAAACCGTGAGAAATTCAATTCAATGCACACATTTTAGTTTAGAATTTAAACCAGATCGTGCAAAAATATGCCAAAAATCACAAGTAAAAATCTTTGTTTAAACGAATATTCAAGCACTGTTATAAAAATATAAAAATAATGACCATTCCATAAAAAACAAGCTTGAGAAGGATAGTGAGACTTTTTTCCACCTGAAAAAAACGATAAGAGCTTATCCCCCACCATTAAATGGTTTATTACTTATTTATGTCTTTCTTGTATTCCACACCAAAAAATTGTGCATATCATAAAACAACGAAATAATAAGTGTATTATAACCTTGTCTCATTTTTGCGGATCTTTTCATACACATTTACAAATAATATGTACTTACTTTTACGTACATAAGTGCCGCTTATACATGACGATCATCACATAACAAACAAAAAATTGTATCAATTATTTACTTTTAGATTTAGAAATAATAATAGTTAACCTTAGTTAACTAATTGAATACTTATCTAAATCCAGAATAATTCATTTAATTACTGCACCAATTATTTTTACCGATTCAAGTTCATATTCTTCATTCAAACCTTGAATTTCAGGGTGAGAAGATTAACATGTAGTGCTATTATGTAAAACTATTTATTACATAACTATGTACATAATTGACTCAAGTTTTTCGATTATTCAAAAAATAAAAAATAAACCACTCGACAAAAACAATTGCAAATTACTGTATCCAAAAATCATTTGAGTAACAATAAAATGATAACAAATAAATCAATCATTTCTTCCTGTCATGTCATCGTTACTCTCGCTTTTCTAGCCCAATTTGTACAGATTATTGTGTTCTGTCACCATATTTTTTATCTATTATGATGACTGCATAACTTAATCTGACATATTTCTTTGCCACTTCACCACCAATTAATAATAATAAATGACATGGAGCACCTCTTCGTGGCGTGGTTCGTGGAATGGCTTTCGTGTTTGTGGGCTGGCCTGATTGTGGTCGGTATGTGTAGTACCGATGTGCGCAGTGGCCGCGGACAGAGGGACAATGTCCCCACGGTTATTTGATGTCCGCATCATCTGCCAATCTTATATAAAGCCGTCCCTCCCCTATCCTGCAGTGTTAATGTCCCCACATGTCCCCACATCTTCCGCGGCGCCTGGATATGCATGGATTTTTACAGGCAGGTTAATCAAGTTGGTCCGGTTTAGTATAATACTGGTATCAGTTAAAAAAGGGTTGAATGTAATCTCAATCTAGACCATAACACGTATAAAAGAGGTGACGACGGACCACTTTTGACATCATTGTGAGCTTTTCCACCGCAAAACGCGCAGTCTGTTTTGGTCTAATTAGTTATTTTACAAAATCGCAAAAATGAGAACTTTTATGATCCTCGCCTTGTTCTGGCCGGCTCTTGTGAGCTCGTGTGACCTTGTCCCAGTAGGGCCTCCTTCTTGCCTCGACCTCACGAGTACGTCGCACATCAGTACAGACACACAATTTGGCCAGTATATCGAAGGTTCTGGTACAAATAGAAAGGGGGAAATGTTTGCCGTGAATTATGGAAACGATTCCACACTTTTCGCCCTAGGTAAATTTCTTAAAAAAGAAATTCGTCAAAGATTCTCAAGTAACAAAATCGAAAATAAATTCGAAATTCAGGTCAATTCCATCCGCAACAACGCCTCTTCTACGCCGACCCTGTACCAAACACGCACTTTAACGGGATAAGATTTCTTAACGATAATACAGCATACACCGTGGACGTTGCGAACCATCGCGTCCTCCAACTAACGGTTTGAAATAGATGCTTAATTTTGTAAGAGTTTATTGTAATTAAAGAAAAATATTTCAGGTGAACGAGTACCCAGACGGTCCAACTGTTGTGGGATCATCAGTTTTTTGCGCGGATCCCACCATGCTCCAACCCAATGACCTCACCCTGTCCAAACTGGGCACAGTTTTTACGTCGGGTATTTACTCAAGTTATTAATTATTAGTAATTAGAAATTAAAGTTGGAATGCCTTAGGGATGAGATGGCTTCAGGACACGAATGACACTCATGGTGATATTTGGAGCTGTCTGCAAAATGGAGAGGTTAGTAAACTCGGATAACCTAACTTGGTCTGTGATCATGTCGAAACTGGATTTTTTTTTAGTTGATAAACCCCAATTTTATGAAATTTTGTAACCTATTTGACAATTTGTCCCTAAAATTAGCACTATTTTACTACTAGGTGAAACGCTTAGAGGTGATGGGGCGCACCAACGGAATCGACCTCTCCCCCGATGATACTAAACTATACGTTTCCGAATCCTACACCAGGGGAGGAACACCATACGTTCAAAAAATTTGGCTTTATGATGCCAACGTCACGACCGGAACTATTTCTGGAAAACGTCTCTTTGTTGACTTTGAAGTTCTCGACGGTACTCAAAATGTTGACATTGATGGAATGAAGACTGACGTGGCTGGGAATCTGTGGGTCACTCGACATGGTGGCAGAGAAGTCGTCGCGTTTGATTCGACAGGTACAAAATACTGTCATTAGCTAATATGTATTTACTAATTTTAATTACTGTTATCAATCCATAGGGGCCGTTATTGCTCGAGTACGACTCACATTCCCAAATCCGACCAACCTCGAGTTTGGGGGACCTTCAGGAAGGACCATCTACGTTGTTGGAAAATGCGACGGGGCTAATACCGGATGCACTGATACACTCGAAGTTGTCACACCGGGAAGGTCATGGTCTAATTTGCAGCCATCAGGCTCCAGTACGCTAAGCAAAGGGGTAGCATACGACCGATTGAGTCGAGATATTTTGTGGGGAATGGTATTTGGAAAAACTTTGCTAAATAATGTCAACAATTAAGAAGAAAAAAAATGTTACAAAATAAACTTGTCACTTTTTCTGATGAATAACTATTTACTATTTAATGCCCCCTCAATTCATCCTCAGACACATTTTTTAATACTATAAACACTAACGGAGGTGATCCGAGCGAATTTCAGCTTGTATGGCGACCTTGACCTCCATCAACCGCTGTACTTTCGCCCATGCCTCCCGGTTATCCACCGCCGCGGCTACTGTAATAAACACAAAACATGTTATCATTACAGTTACATAAAATTATGAAGCACATAAAAAATAAAAAGATTTACCTAGTCTAGGGTCACGCTCCCCTTCCGGTAGCTCGTTAAGCTTTTTGACTTTGACGTCGTATTTGTCAACTTCCCCGGAAATGAAATCTCTTATAATTTCTAGAGAACATTTATAGGGGTTGCGTATACTTGAAATTACAAAGTTTCACTAGTATTTTGTAGAAAATTTCCTTACCCATTCGGGTATCCTCGGGTATCAGGATAGAAGCTGCTGGGATATTCACAGTATAGCTCATTGTGGGTAATCTTGGTGGGGATGAACTTCTCGAATCTATTCTCTGAGCAGAAATGGCAATATTTTATTTCGTCTTCGTTTTCTCCTACCTGGGCACAATTTACTTCAAGAAATGCAAATTAACGAGATAATGCAAATTACCGCAAAGTTGCGAATTCCATTTGAAGTAACCATTTTATCTGGAGTCTATCTTGTCCTTGTCTCGTCCGATGAATATGATTACTAATATGCATGCATACATATGTACATATATCCCCTTAAATGGAATGCCTTAAAAGCCAACCTTTCACTATTATTTTTAGACGGTATTTTTAACCTCACATACAACCATTTCTATTCTTAACTCAACATTCATCATATTGTTGGGTATTGGGAATATTCTGGAAATTGAAATCTGTAAAGGCTCTGCATGAAAATTTAATTTGTATACAAATCAAATATATTTGATTTACAATTTTTCATCTCGAATATATATGCTTTGATCTCGATCACTCGTTGAGCAGCAGTGTTCCATACAAAGTCTTTAAAAATTTCATATTGGGACACATGCATACATATGTACACAAAATTCTTATATGCACCATACTAAGCAAATAGGAAATATTTGTGCAAGTAGATATGTAGATATTTACGTATGCAATGAGTTATTTAGAAGACGATGGTGCTATGTTAATCATGGAAGGATAAGCTTTTAATAATTAGTCCTAATCTAAAGTATTTGTGGGGAATATGGTATTTGGAAAAAATTACTAAATCACGTCAACTGTCGTCAACAATAAGAACACTAAAATAAATGAACTTGTCACTTTTTCGTTTCAACAATTACTTTTACTGTTTTCATGATCTTTTCCTCAAAAAATATGCAAATTCCATAAAATATGCAATCCAGACAAATAATTTTGTTATTACCCCACACACGGAACCTATCACCGGCCTCACGACAAATTTACGGTGGGTTTCTTTATTTCCCGTAAGGTGAGACATGGTGAAAAAAGCCATGGCCATTCGCCTCACTTCACCATGTCTCACCTTACGGGAAATAAAGAAACCCACCGTAAATTTGTAGTGAGGCCGGTGATAGGTTCCGTGTGTGGGGTAATACATCATGATAATGACTTTTAAAAAATACGTCCTCACGGTCGCGCCCGTGGTCGTGATGATGATCCCCAAAAACCTCTCTGACCTAGACCCTGCTGCTGGGCTTGAAGAGTGTTCTGCTGCGTGAGTAAATTCATCCTCAAATGCGGCGGTGGAAGTTGGATTGTCGAACCTGTCACTGTGTTGACCACACGATTGTTGAGATCCATTTGTCCAGGAGGGACAAGGACCATTGGAAAACTGCGATGATTCCGGCGTGACGAGATTGGCGTTCGATTATTAGCGAATTGGTGGACGCTTGGGATGATGCGGTTAAACATGAATGGCTGTGCTGGGGGTGCTGATTGATGTCGGCGTTCTTGATAATCATTTGACGATGACGAATAGTGACCTTCTCGTGGTGGTGGTAGTGGCGGCGCAACAGCGTTGACAGCATTACCTCGGACAGCGATGGGGTTACGATTTCCATTATTTTCATTGAACACGGCTCTCCTTTTTCTTCTAGAAAAGCAACATCTCGCACAAACCCAGCCAAGAATGAATCCAGCCACGATGCAAATGAGCATCTGATTCAGACCGACGGCATAATTCATAACGTTCATCAACTGGTCGTCGTCCGACCAATTCTCAGAGAGAAAAGGGGGTGGTTTTGCGACTTGGTGATGGCTGTGGAGATGTCCGACCAGGGAGGAGGTCTGATTCCCAGAGAAAGTCTTGGCCCATGGCGCGCCTATCTTGCCTCGAAGGAATATTTGGGGCGGAAGTTTGTCCGTTGTTAAAGGCGACATAGTTGAATGATCTTCTTCTTGTTGCCAAATCCCGAGGAGCTGGTCCCACCTGAGGACGAAGGGCAAGGGTGAGTTGACCGTGGGTGGTTTATTTTCCATTCCAATGAAATCATCGTTGACCTGCTTGTAAAAGTGGGGGTCGGCGTAGTAGTCATCGGGTGAGATCCAGTCCTTGTAAAGGTGAGGGAATTGACGCATTCCAAACATTTCGCGTAGTCTGTCCTCAACTTGTTCGTCTTCGGGGCGGATAATCATTTCGAAGAAAGGGGCAGCGTTCTTAAGAATCTCGCAATGTTTTTATGTACCAATTTCGATTTGGTGTGCCTCACAGTTCTCGATTTGCTCAACTAAATTATGTGCAAATGTAGTGATTTTGACAACTTTGTTGGCGCAGCAACTTCCCCATGTAAAACTTTATTGCTCTAAAGGGCAAGCAATCATAATCTTGGCCATGTAACATAAAAGATCCGAAAATATTTCAACAATTTTACAAAATTTTCCACAAAATTCTGTCCAGTTTTCATCATGGCGTCCTCCTCTCTGCCATCGCCTTTCTCCGAGACCACCTTGGGTCTCATTTCCCCCACGAGTATCCCCCCTTTTAAGCGTGACCTGTACTGCTGGGTGTGCCACGTGGACGGGCCTCTCCTCAAATGCAAGACCTGTTCTCGCGCTTATCATCGCAACTGCGCCAATCAACTTGGCTCACTTTGTCACACTGCGGAGGCCCTGATGGACACGGAGAGTCCAAGTCCGCATTTCATGAAGGGATGCCCAGAGTGCCAAATGGGGACGAAGACGTAAAATTTTTTCAAATATATATTTCCTTAAAAATAATAGGTACTAATTTTCAAAAGAATTTCCTTATTTAGGATTTTTCCAAACATGAAACAAGCCCCGATTCAGGAATTGAGATTAATTTGTGTCGCCATCGCCAGGAACTTGAGAGATGGTTATTTTTGGGTATTGGTTTTTAAAGTTAATAAATTATTTATGAAATTCTATCCAAATTTTTACCATTTGAAGCCCAACCCGTTTTACAAACTCGACACGGAAAAGAGTCCCAAAGAGTTTCAAGAGTATAAAGACATCGTCGCGAAAGTCGTGGATATTTCAGAACTGGAAAAATTGGCTGGAAATGACCAGTTTGTTACGTTGGAAGGATTTCTAGGCGAGGCCAAATGGATTTTGCACAATACGATCATCGTGCATGGAAGTAAGTAAAGGCGACTTATTTTACAAAATATGTATATTAAAAGACTTACAAATTTTAAAATCTTGAAAACTTTTGTCCCAGAATGTTCCCGAGAAGCTGACTGCGCCAAAGAAATAATTGACATTTGTGAATTGGAACTTTTGGCTGCGGAACTGTGTCCAGAATGCTTTTTGAAGGAGCACAACCGTGAAAAGGATGAACTTTGGTTTATTAAACCGTGTCTCGTAATTGAAAATTAAAATTGGTTTGATTTCCAAAAAAAATCAGAAATTTTGTAATTTACATATTTTAAATGTTAGCGACACCCTCATCCACTCGGATGGGCAAAGACCCCCTCCAATCCAAACTGGCCTGTCAAGATAATGGGCTGGACTCCGGGTTCTTCCTCCGTCACGGTGAGATCCTTCGGAGACTATCAACGCTTCGATATCCCTCCATCAAAGTGCTACCTGTACATGAAAAATCCCCCAAAGTTCGACAGTCATCGAGGGGAGAGGGGCGAGGATGCGAAACTAGCTCAGAAGGTAGGTGGTGACCACTTATATGCATAAAATTCAGTCCCTGCGGAAGCAGTGGGGACGTCGGGGGACATTGCCATTGTAGGATAGGGGAAGGGAGGGGTTTATATAAGATGGGCAATGATGCGGACATCGAACAACCGTGGGGACATTATCCCTCTGTCCCCACGCTTCCGCGGCCACTGATATAGTTGATCAGTGTTGACCACACCCTTCTTGACTGATAGGAAGCCGAACAACACGTTACCGAGCTGGAGAAAGTCATGGGGAAAGTGCGACTTCCGGAAAAGGAGTGTCGTCTGTCGTCTCTCGGATCGTTAGATAATGCAATCAAATTCATGTTTCCAGAAGTAAATAGAAGCACACATTATTTCAACAACTAACTTTGCCCTCACTAATTTGTGTATGGATTCGTTTATTAGCTGGAGAGGATTTGGTGTCCAAATGAAGACGAAGAGGAAGATGAAGAAGTTGACAAAAATACTCCAACGTCAGCACCGAACAATAATCTCGAGAGAGATGATGATGTTGCGAATAATAATTAAGTTGACGACAAGAGTTGGCGTAAATGTAATTTTCAGACTATCTGATGAGTTTACGATCATTTTATTAAATTAAATTGAAGATATGTATCACGAATTTAATTTGCGAATATTCGGAAATTGTATCACTCTCATTTTATTATATCGTTCGATACGTGCATATTACAGCAGATACATATTTGTGTAAATATTTGCACATGTCGCAGATTTATTGCTACAAATGTCATTTTATGTTTGCACAAATTAATAGTAATAAATACAATACACACAAATTCAATTCAGTATTCTATAAAAACACGAGTAAAATATTACGTGAAAGAAGAAGTCCAACTTGGTGGTGTCATAATTTTTGCAAAATATTCGGCCAACCGCTAGGATGATGGGGACGATTGTTTCCTCTGAATTTGGTAAAAAACCCAATCTTCCATGAAGGAGGGGACGAAATTGTGCGTGCGACTCCATTCAACGGGGTCTTCCAAGCGGTCCAAGACTTCTTCAAACATTTTTAACGCACTTGGCGACGAGGATCCGTTCCCGTGGGTCATATATCGCCCATCCGGTTTCATAACGGAGAACGAAAGGTTTAAAATGAGGCGGATAAAGTCCCAAATTTCACCCTGGAAGAGGAAACAGGTAAGAAATTGGAAATTAAATTAAGAAAAAATGTTAGAATTAACCTTCTCTGTTAATTAATTACTTACCTGTGGAGTTGGCGAGATGGGAATATCGGTCAAGTCAGCTATATTTATTATGAAAAGTAGATTTACACAAAGCACAATTTTATCGGGTTAATTGCATGCATATTTATGAATTTCGTATAATTGCAAAAATTAAAAATGTTGATTGACTCACCGAAAACGTAGTCAAATTTTTTCCCCTCTTTTCCACAATTTTTCATATATTCGACACAATCGCCAACGATAATCTGTACATTATATTAGGAAAATTATTTTCATTGCAGTAACAACTTAAATAAATTGACTAATTATCTATTTATCAAATGACCTCATAGTTCGATCCTTTATAATTGTCCAACGTATTACCACAGGCAGATCGTAAATGAATTTTACAAACTTGCATTACAAGATCGTCAATCTATTAATAGAAATGTTTTACAATTAGTAAAACAACGACATTTTCCTGTATTTAAGTATTTATTAACCTCAATCATTGTGACGAATTTCGGGTTTTCTTTCCTCAATTCGTACAAAAGAGCACCATCGCCTCCTCCCAGGATGAGGATTTCTTTGTCTTTGTAATCTTCCGTACCACGACACATTATGGATTCCGTGTAAATTAGGTCAGACTCGGCCAGATCTTAATAAATATACAAGATTAAAAAAAGTGTCACATTTGGTCACATGGCATGACTCACTCACTTTGCAAATCGTCGAGAACCAACATATTCCCAAAGGTGAGAGAATGTAGAATTTGGACGTGTTGGAAGGGTGACTTCTGGTCAAAGATGATCTTATCGACGTCATACTCCATAAGCCGCTCATCTTGGGAGAAAAATTAACGCTATTAATTTTTAAGTTCTTACAATACGTATCAAGCAAACGACAATTATGCAAAACAAATAAGGACAACTTGCAGGCAAGAAAACATGCATACGGAAAAGTTAGTTTAAGAAATTTACAACATTTTTAGTAAAAAACTTGATGGGTGAAAGCATGCCGAAATTTTTGCTACAAACACACACGCACACACGAAATTTGGACAGAAGTTTAGAGATATTTATGTATCGTGGTCATGCACCTGAGGAGAGGAAGTAGACGTCGAAAGGGATGCCTCGTCGTAACGGCGGCAGTGTCTTGACCCCCTTCGCCTTCCCCCAAACCTCACCCCACTTCTGCTCGAGGCTTCTACACTCCTAAGTACATACAAGTGATTAAGGACAATAATCAGGACAATGGAAAATAAAGATGGGCGAACAACGAGGTTATGGTAAGCTTTCTTGTTTCAAAAAGATCATCACCCCCACGGATTAGATTATAATTTCGAAAATATGATGTTTAGCAATTCCCTAATAAGTATTTTGCATTTTTGATTTTTTGAATAATTCTAAACGTACAAATAACGCAGTGTCGCCGTGCTTTCCAGTTACAAATTGAGGTATGTATGCACTATTGAGTTACTATGAGGCAGGGGAGCATGGCTTGTTAGTTAGGTTTTAATTAGTTTATTATTCGAAATTATTCAATCAGGACGTTATAAATAATCTATGAAACTCAAAAGTTGCCGTTCATTCAGAAATTATATTATGATTCATAGAAATTGAAATTTTAACTTATATCCAAAAATATATGTAATAGGGCTGCTAAATAAAGGATTTTGTAACGAAGCAATATGAAGAAGATGGTGAAATATATGTGAAATTATATGATAACAGCTTGTCTAAATATGCGCGTCTGTATGATTTCTTATCTGTACCTGTCGTCGTCATATACACATCAACCTTAGCCCCTCTTTTGACCGGGGGGAATGTCTTGACGCGAAATGCTTTCACTGGATCGATTTCCTTCGATTTGCCACCGAAATACATTTCCAACGCCTTAATATTCTGCGAAATTAAATTTTGTTAACAAATCAAAGATATGATTTTGAATTTTATCCCATTTTCAATTCCATAGCCGTAAAAATGCACCTAAAAAATGCTGCTAACCCAAATCGAACATGACCCCCTTCAAAATGCAGTATATATGCAAACATACATATAAAAATATATGTATGTACTTACCTCTAACGTCAGCAAAGGTTTGTCCCCATCTTGCAAATAGTATTCCACATTCACAGTTAACTACAGGAAGGTTAACTAATTAATTAAATGAGTTACATTAACTTTCTCCAATTTCGAGAAACTATTTATATACTTACAAGTCCGGTGGGATAAGATCTTATCGAAATGACACTGTTCCTCGGTCCGGCATAAATGGCGAGATAATCTCCCAACGGAGAAAGTTGTTTGCTTAAAACTTTCTCCAATTCTGGAAACGGTTCTTGTTCTTTGCCCTCCTTCGTGGTCTCGAGTTGCGTCGTTATTGCAGCCACGACTTCTTTCTCCAGTTTAGCCTGGCCTATAATTGGAATAGAAATCGTGCAAATTTTTTTCGCAAAATTTTTGGCAAGTTGTATTTACAGATAAATTCGAATTATATACCTTCTCCGGTGAGATGGGCTGGATCCACGGAGAAGTCGAGGAGATGAATATTTGCGCACATTTTGAGTGAAAATTATGATCTAATTTCGAGTGAAAGTTGACTTTCTTCTTTTGTTTTAGTAGGTCAAAGGCGGTTCCCTTCCCGGTTCTACTCCAGTTTCACTTTCTTTTCCACTTTCTCCAGCATGCGTCCGATATTAAATGTGGTGGTGATTTTACATCCATCCGAACATGGCATGGTACATATTCCGTCCCGGGTTTTACCCGGATTTTCGGCATGACATAGTAATCCAACCAAACCCGAGAAAGAAAGACTCGGGTAGACATGTAGACTATAAAAAATAGTTGGCACAGATTCAGCAAGCTCATTTTCTATGCAAAAAATAAAGAATGGATTTTTTCCACGATTTTTTTTAAAGCACCCATTTCAAAACTTTATTAATCATAATAGAAGAAACTGTTAGTATTATGTACATAATCTTATTTGAGGTATGTTAATATTCTAAAATTTTCAGATCAGTCATGATGAAGTAAGAATTTCCTTTACACAATTTCAAGTTAAATTCGTCTCGGGTGACTGTGTACTGACTTGGACAATACTGGCCATGTAATTTGCTATGGACATTTATGTAGTAATCTTAATCTTAGAATTAGTTAGTTAATTGGTTAATCAGTGCACACACGAGGTATTTCATGGTTTTTTTTTAGTAAGGGGGGCAAGCGTAGCATGATGACTTTGTGTTTTCCTCATGCAGGTTTTGTAAAACATAATAGGCTAGTCGTATAATTAGAGAGTAAGTGATGTGTTATAGGTAAGTATTTTTAGGTAGGTTCATCAGTTCAATAGTAGTGGTATAATGACCTAGTATGTAATCTAAGGTCAGTTTTTGCAGTCTCAAAGTTTACCTACTAATTTGAGGATGTGACATGACTAGATTTGGTTGTCGGTAGGATTAAAATGAAGAGATAACTAAATACTAAATACTAACTATAAATGAAGAGATGCGACTTCTGAGGTCCCCTCCCGTAACAAATAAGAATATGTAGTAAATACATCAGACAAAGAGTCAGTAAAATTAAATTGGTAGATTAAAACAAATGGTTAAAACGCACACAAAAACAACAAAAATCGAATAAACTAATAGTAAGTAATGACTGAAAGTGCAATTAATTAAGAATTATTAACCCAACAGTTTTTAAAAACAATTTCAAGGAAGTTTATGTAGGGTTTCATTTTTTGTTCTTTTTCTTGTTCTTATTCTTCTTTCCCTTGGAGCCAGAATCACTGGTGTCTCCAGGCGTAGTGGGGCCAGCAGTGGGGGGTTGTTCTAAGATTTTTGGTGGGGGTGGTGTTGGTGATGCTGTTTCCTTATTGGAAGTAGAGGTTTCTTTTTGCTCGGTAATTTTTTCCGGGGTTGTTGGGTTGCTGGGAAGGACGGGTTGTGCTGGTGCATTTCCGTTGGCGTCAATTGCTGGAGAAGGAGTCGCAGCAACATCTATTTCTGACTGACTTGGAGATTTGTCCTCGTTCTTAGAACCCTTGTTAACAGGGCTGGATAAGTTGTTGCTATCGTCATCAATCTTTTTGTCTTTTTTAGGACTACCGAGTTCATTTTCATTAGGTTTCTTGGGTACTTGATTTTCTTCAACTTTAACCTTAGGCAAAGCAGCTAATTTCTCAATTTCCACCTCCGTATTTATAGATGCCAGGGTCGCCACTGCCGATGCGGTCAGTCCCGTCACACCAGAGGCAGAGGACTCCGAACCACTCTCATGACCACTGGCTGATTCTTCTCCATTTTGTTTTTCAACAACCTGTCCCTTCAGCTCGAGTAGTAGATCTCTATTCTCCGTATGCAACGTACGGCAAAGAGTCTTCATCTTATCGAGATTTTCTTGACTTTTTTGCAAATCATCTTGAACACGGGCGTAATTTTCTCGCATTTTCTGCAATGATACGTTACTCTCTTCCCAGCGCTTTTGCCATTTGAAAGTCTCCTTCTCCAACTCTTTGGTTCGGGAGCTTACCTAAAAAATGTATGCAAATATAAGTAAAGCAAATTATGAGAGTTATATGGATATGTAGATTATTCGTTATTACCTTGTTCATCTCACTCCGAAACTCTTCATAGGAACCGTTCGTGTCCATCAAGGATTTTTGAAGCCCATTAAACCTGAAAGAGGGTAAAATGAGCACACCCCAAAAAACCAATAAACATTATGAATTGCATTACTTGTCTTCATAATTTTGAATCATTCCTTTCAATGAGACCTCGGTTTGTTTCGCGTCTTTCAACTGTTCCCGACTCTGGACTAGGGAGTCGGCCAACTTTTGCATTTCGCCAATAAGTTGTTGTTTCTCCTCTGCGCCTTTCAATTTGGTCTCGCCCAGGTCGATTTTGGCCTTTTGCAAAGAATCGTTGGTCTCTTTGAGAGCTTCTTGCAAAATCTGAAAAAAATTTTACCCGAATTATTTTACTGATAGCCACCACGGAAGCACGGCATTGATGCAATTAAGCACCTGCTCCCTTTCTTCGTAGTGACCCTTCAAAATTGCGATTTTCTTGGCCAATTCTTCATTCTCCCGTTTCACCTGAACATTACATTATAAATCATTACGTGATTTATGAACTTAATTGTAAATTATAAAGCTGTAATTACCGTCAAACTCTCGCTACTAATCGCAGCCAAGTTTTCATTAATTGACTTCATAAATCCCATATTGTTCTGAACCTCACTGGCTAATTCCTTTCCGCGAGCGTTCGCTTCCTGAATTTTTGACGAGCTTTCAGCCTACACAAAATATATGATAGACAATAGTTACTAAATAGAAAGTGCAAATCAATCAAAGCATAAAATAAAATCCCACCTTAATATACTTATTTTGTTTCTGCAACTCTCGACAAAGTCCTTCAAGACGTTCTTTCATTTGAAATGATTTCGTACACTCGACTTGCATGGCTTTGATCTTCATCTCCATTTGTTTAATGTCACCCTACACAAAATAATTAGTCCTCCATTTCACAAATAAACAATTATTTAACAAACGTAAACAATTTTTACCTTCAACCGTTTATTCTCCTTTTGTAAACTTTTGTCCATCTTCTCCGGCAATTCTTCGACAGACACACCCCCACTGGTCGGAAGACCGTTGCTCATCTTGCCAAACTGTCCCAGAATCAAAATTACACCATCAATTAACTATTAATTAATTGCCTTATTAATTTAAACTTACATTTAATTCAAGTTCAATTTGAGAATTTGGTGAAATGATGTTGGCCGACACGCAGTAAAAGCAATCGACAAAACTCTTCACCCCATAGAATTGAATCTCCCGCGGAGTTTGAGCACTTTGAATTACGTGTGCAATTTATTTCTCCGGCTCATCAACAAGTTTGTCAATTAATTTTTAAATAATTTGGTTTCGATTTAATTAATTGCACAATTATCTAAAAGTGTGATAAAGGTATATAATATTTATGCAGTAAGAAACCCCTTGGGCGACTTATTGTGGTGAGTTTGAAGTTTATAGTAATTCGATAAATTGACCGTTCACCGTACCGTTTGTCAAATATTATGCTGATATTTATTAATTCATTCTAGCTACAACCGTATTAAGACGGACGTAATCTACGGCATGATGAAGGATTTCGGCCCAACTGTGCTGATATTTTTATGTGTCTTCAACACTATCTGTGACACCGTGGACAAGAGCAAGTTCAAGATTTGTGATCAGTCCGGATTTTGCAAGTAAGTCGTTCTCCTAGTATCTCAAATATAGCTTGTAAAACAAATCTCATCTGTGTTTATTATTTAGGAGGCAACGTCACATCGCGGACGGGTCGTCTAATTTCGACGTGAATCTAAAATCTGGCCGTACTTTTAAGGACTATGCCGTATTCGACATTGTGAACAAGGACAATGGGCACAAATTTCTTCTCGAGGTGCACACCTACATGGACGGGACGTTTCGAGTGTTGATGAATGAGGAGAGCCCGTTACACCCCCGGTATCAAGTTGAGCATGCCTTGCTGCCTGATTTGAAGAAGGCGTCGTGAGTTTTTAAATGAGACATTTTAACTAATAGGGAAATAAGTTATGTTAAAATTGTCATTTTTTTGGCTTGGGGGCAGAATGGAATTTGAATCTGTTGGAAATGGTGAATCCTGGACGCTCGCTCACACCGGGATGAGGGACAAGTTTTACGTTCAAATTTTCGCAAGTCCCATGAAGCTAGACTTTTATTCGGGTGGGAAGAAAGTCGCAGTTTTCAACGGAAGGAATTCATTAAAATATGAACATCTACGGAATAAGCCAGATGTGTAAGTTAAAACACTGAGTAATCAATGATCCTGTAAAGAGTAATTCGTTTTGCAAATCTGTAAAATATTTTGTTTATAGAAATGATGAGCCCAAAGAAGACGGGGGCGAGGAAACTCCACAAGAACCGTCCATGTGGGAGGAACAATTCAGCAGTCACAGCGATAGTAAACCTCGTGGGCCAGAGTCTATCGGGGTGGACATTGACTTTCCTTTGACCCAGAATTTGTACGGTATTCCTGAACATGCGGATGATTTTAGGCTGAAGGATACTAGGTAACTATACGAAATATGATCTCATTTTCAAAATCACCGGAATTTGGCATGTAATTTATTTATTTTATCTCAGTGGTCGAGAGCCCTTCAGACTCTACAACTTGGACGTTTTCGAGTACGAACTCGACAGTCCGATGACCTTGTATGGATCTATCCCTTATATGATGGCTCACAGGTTTGTATTTCTTATTAATTTTGGGTCACAATTCATACGATTTTTCCCCTTGACGGATTAGTCCCGAACGAACGGTTGGAGTCCTGTGGGTCAACGCGGCCGAGACCTGGATTGATGTGAAGACTGGTGGGAGTGGAATTGTGGACTCCATCGTCAACTTAGTTGGTGGTATGTTAAGTATGTTCGCCACCAGGTTGCTTTTTGGGGAAAGGAGGACAAATTACGAAAATAATTATCCACATTTTAACGAGACTGGCTTGAAGTTTAATTTATTGGCGTGGTGCTCCTCTAGCTTCAATGTGGTTGTGCCTTGTGATGTATAAAGCATAGCTTATTTACCGTAAAAACTTGGTATTGGTTTATTCATTTACATTTCTATTTTTATCTAGGCTTCATTAATTTGGCGAAGGGAGCTATTGCTAGTGTCTTGTGTATAATTTGCTGCCATCATTTTGAATTTGCCTACTTTGATTCTTCTACCACTTTGCATAGTACGACTCATGTTAATATTTTAATTACCCGATCTACTAAATGTGCTCATGTTCTGGTTCATTTAAATTGTCTTTAATCCATGTCGATGAAACATAAATTGATAACCAGTGCACGAGCTCATTCATTATCATCCCTTATCTTCTTCTTGTACTGTCTTCCTCGACATTTTATATCCGATTTTATAATTACAAAGACAAAACTTAACAATTGCCACTGGACGACAGGTTCCGAGGACAAGGAGGGAAGGACGAGGTGGATGTCGGAGTCTGGAATAATTGACGCATTCTTCTTTCTTGGTCCTTCTCCGCTTGATGTGTTCAAACAATACGCAAAAGTCACGGGAGTCACACCACTCCCACAGGTACAAAACCCAAATTATGCAGGATCATTGATAACCAAATTTACTCAAATTTATCGTTTCCGTTTAGATGTGGGCAATTGGAAGTCATCAATGCAGGTGGAACTACAACGATGAGGAGGACGTTCGCGGAGTTGATGCTAATTTTGATAGTCACGACATCCCTTACGATTCAATTTGGCTTGACATTGAACATACGGATGGGAAAAAGTGCGAATTTTAATTTTGTCTATTTGTTGATTAGTGAAAACTATGATGTTTTCTCTTTGTGGGTTAATAGATATTTCACGTGGGATTCTCACAAATTTCCTCATCCTGTTGAAATGATTCAAAATATTAGTTCAAAAGGGAGGAAAATGGTAAAGTTAATAATTTAAATATTAGCACAATTATTTAGTACACTTATTAATTTAAACATTTACTCCTCACTATAGGTTACAATTATCGACCCCCACATTAAACGAGATGGAGGTTATTTTCTCCACGAGGACGCGCTTGCTAACGATCTCTATGTGAAGGACAAGAACGGAAAAGTATATGAAGGTCAGGAAATAGATTTCTGTGGCAAATAGTTTCATGAATTTGATTTCAATTCTTAATTTAATTCAAATTCCAGGATGGTGTTGGCCCGGATCTTCATCATATTTGGACTTCTTTGACCCCAAAGTCCGCGAATACTGGGCATCTCGCTTTGGTTCGTGTGTTTTATGTTTTATTTAATTAACTAATATAACCACGAAAGTTAGCGTTGAAACCAACTGAGATGAATTTTTACATTTTCACCATATTTAGCGCTTGACAAATATCCATCAACTCTGGATCTCTACACGTGGAACGATATGAACGAGCCCTCTGTTTTCAACGGCCCCGAGGTCACGATGCCGAAGGATATGATGCATTATGGAGGATGGGAACACCGACAAGTTCACAACATGTATGGCTTGATGCAAGTCATGTCCACATTTGAAGGACAATTACAACGCTCCGAGAACCAACTTCGACCATTCATCTTGACGCGAGCTCATTTTATTGGATCCCAACGTTACTCTGCCGTCTGGACGGGAGACAACATGGCAAACTGGGAGCATTTGAAGGCCTCCATTCCCATGTGTTTGTCTCTCTCGATTTCTGGAATGAGTCACTGCGGAGCCGATATTGGAGGATTTTTTCAAAATCCAGACGCCGAGCTGATGTTGAGGTGGTATCAAGCCGCCGCCTTTCAACCCTTTATGCGCAACCACGCCCACATTGAGACCAAGAGGAGGGAGCCTTGGTTGTTTGGGGATAGGACGACAGCTCTCATCCGGTCAGCGGTTAGGAGGCGATACGCCCTCTTACCATACTGGTAGGACTGCCCGTTATTAATTGTCTGGCCATCGATTAATTTAATTAATTACAGGTACACTCTTTTCTACGAAAACGAGCAGACCGGGGTTGCACCAATGCGACCATTGTGGGCACATTATCCCACCGATGCTAAAACGTTTGGCATCCAAGATGCTCATTTGATTGGAGAAAGCCTTCTTGTCCACCCCGTCACTGATAAGGGTGCCACAAGTATCAACGTTTACCTCCCACACGGCGTGTGGTACGATTTTTACAACTATATCAAATATGAGGGTGGTACCCACACGCTCACCGTGAATGACGATACGGTAAATAACAAATACTTTTTACTTGTAAAATTAAGAACATTACGCAATTATTTGATTCATTTTGGTTTTACGCAGATACCGGTGTTTCAAAGAGCCGGATCAATTATACCAACGAAACAGCGTATCCGTCGTGCATCCTCTTTGATGAAGGATGATCCTTACACGCTCTTTGTTGCGATTGACGAAAAGGTGATTTTATATTCAGTTTGATCTTGAACTTTAACTAATATTTAATTATACTAATTAGGGCGAAGCTCATGGAACGTTGTACATCGACGATCAACAAACATTTGAATATAGGACTGGTAGTTACCTGAAAGTTGATTTGACCTACAAAAACAATAAGCTCTCTTCAAAGTATGTGGACAATTGTATCTCCTAGTAAAAGCAAATTTGTACCGTTCATGCATTTAAATATTTGATGTTTTGATTATTATCGTTCTAGGGTTGTACACTCTGGGCCATCTTTCAATTCAAAAGAATGGATAGAACGCGTTGTGATTCTGGGGGCCAATAAGAAGGCGAGAGATGTCAAAGCAGTTAGCAAATGTAAGCCTATATATTTTAAATTTAAGAATTGTCTGTAAACTTATTGTAATTATTCATTAATAATTTTTTAGCCGTTGGTTCAGTCGCCCTCGAGTCTGAAGGGGAGCATCCCCTCGTTATAAGAAAGCCTGCCGTTCTAGTTAATGAAGACTGGGAAATCGATCTTCACTTTTAACCTGTACTAATAATCAATTAGGAGGCGATATTATTATTTCGAGCGAAATGGACTTTTACTCTTAATCGGCATCACACACAGCATTAATTTCCGAATGAAAAGAATCAATCCTTTCAATTATTCTGCATTTAAATTAATTATTACAGAACTTGGTTATCTAGAGTTGGGTTTAATTACGGTATTTTAATTTAATGTTCATTATTATTATCAGTCATTCAAGAATTATTACGAAGTAAGTATGTAAAAAATGTATTCCTTACACAGTTGTCCGTCCTTTCATAAAAAAATTTGAAATGATGGAACACTTTCAAGACTTGAAAATCTTGTCGAATTGTGATTATTATTAATTTAATTAAGTCAAATGTATGCATGCTTATTATTATTTTGTAGTATTTAATTAGTTGATCATTCCATAATGATGTTTGTTCGTTGTGTAGATTTCATAACAATTATTTAAAATTGAGTATTTTCTTTATGATAAGTTTCAATCCGAGTGGAAAATTATGTGGCAAATAACGATAAGCACACGTGTAAAATATTTGTGTTGGGGAAAACGAATAAAAATGTGATATGCACACATTACGAAGTCATGCCAAGCTATTTACTATTTACAAAATCATATCTACCAAATTCATGCTGGTTAAAAGACGAGAATAATTTAAAAAGTAGGCCACCGACCTAAATTAGACTGAGAATTTTTTTCTGCTAACTTTTAGAACTCTGTCTATCCACCGTTTGTACGGAGTCGAGAGCTTCTCTGATTTTGAATTGTCGTCATTAATACAAATCTGGCGATATTCTTACCTATGCTTTTCCTCGTCGTGTTCTATTAGAATGTTGTTAGTTAAAGAATAGCGTCGTATTTTTTTACCGTGATGATCTGCATGGCAAAATAGCACTGCGAGTGCAATAACTTCCACCAACCATAAAAAAATAGCAGGGAAGAGATTTTACAAAGGTTTGGTGGTGATGCACTTCCTTCACTTATTTATACAAGAAGAGACAGGTTGTAGACTTGCAGCAAAAAAAACTTGTTATGCATTATCTATCAGACACCAATTTTTTTTGTGCTGCGTGCAATTTGTAAAGTTAATAAGAAGCAAGAATGCATAGTACAGTCACCTTGTTTGGCATCTCAGATATGCAGCATCGGAAAAGACTACAAATTGCAGGTGCATTTAGTCTTTAGTTCCATGAAAATGTAGTGTTGAAGTCTTTTAACTAGACCAACGTCTAAAATTCACCTTAAAACATACATCATTATCATTTTGCTTTAATTTCCCATTTTTGGACTAACGGGACTTATTCAAATTTTTATTTGTGATGCTGCATGACTTTAACAGATAGAGTATTTACGTTTACACTTTTACTGAAATTTCAAATAGCAAAATGAATCGCCCAATATTTCCAGTATTTCTAACCCTTCTTTTAATTGTTTCTTCTTCTTCTGAACATAAGGTTTCTCCCAGGTCAGACGTTATAGTCGAAGGGATAACTGCTTATCCATCCTGGTATATTAGCGAGCCAACCAGCAGTACGACACAGACTCCGACTTTATATCGAATCGATGGGGCCTTGTACCCAGCCGCCCTTATCGGTCCGGTCACCCACGGCCCGGATCCAGAATACACCAAGGATACAACCCTTCGACTCAATGGGTACTAATGCTATACATAGTTAACTAACCAATTAAATTAACACTAAATTAAGTAAATAATTTTTTCAGCCAGGTCTACAACATTAAAGAATCCGGTCGACTCGGTCGTGGTGATTCATACCTACCAGGAAATGGTGGTGATGATGGTGGCTTATCGGATGGCGATGACGACACAACGCCTGTCCCAGTTCAAGGTGCCATAGATTATGTCCTCCTCCCACTCATCTTTCTCGCCATTGCTGGACCAATGTTCGTCATCGTATTCATCGTAATGGCCTCCGTTGAGTACAAATTAGCCCCAAATGTGCAGGTATTTGCATTATAAAATTTGCATATATTTGCCAAAATAGCATCTTGACACATTTTGTCCGCAGTTGAGAGAGGAGCGATCCCTCAACAACCGGAAACACACTTATTTCAACCTCCAGACGCTGTATACAGAGGGGGCGAAACCGTTCATGGAGCTCGTGGGGCGTGCCTTTGAGGATGAGAGTTGTCAGGAGCGGATCGCTTGTGAGATGGGGTCGTGGTCACGCGGCTTGAGGGAAATGTCGCCTGGATTGTTCGACTATACGGAAGGATTTAGCCGAATGCTGGTTCCGTCACGTTTTTCAAAGAGTTATGACGCCTACATGACATCCATTCGGAAGGACGGGGGATATAACAATTGTCTCAATTTTAATTTTACCTGCTTTACAAAATAAATTTTATTATTATCACATAAAGTATTTCAAGTAAAAATCATCCAAATTTTTTGATAGCTAGATTCCTCTAGAAAAATATGAACATTTTTGTTGAGCAAGGATTGAGCATTGATTTATTCGTGTAACAATTGCATACAAAATAGAACGTCAAATACGCTGAGGAAGTGGTACAAATGAAAGATAGACTAGCTAAACAAAATCCATGTCAAAATGTAATTAAATAATCAAATAATACACAAGTATCAAGAATGATATAAATTATTTTACATATATAAATAAACTTCAAATTATACAAGATTTCTCTGAAATATTTCGCACAAATTAAAGCGAAATGATTCACATTAGCAAAAACCGGAAACGCCTTCGCGACCTGTGATCTTCCGGTAGAACGGTGAGACACTTCCGGAAAGCGGTGAGCAGCAATCCAGCAATAATTATCATGGATCCGATCAAACTAAAAAACATAATTTTGATAAAATTTGCCTTTTTTGTCCTATTATAAAATTTTGCTGACCTAAAATAGTCCGGGACAACTCCGAGGAACGCAAACTGCCAGCTACATACACACACATAAGTTAATTAAATCAAAAAATTAATTTTAAATGACGCAATTAACTAAGCATTAAACTCACAGAAACGCGAAAATGACATCACAACTCTGCACCACCGCGACAGGCCCGGCCTGCTCAAACTTAAGCGCGATGATGATAAATGACTGCGCGAAGAAGGTTATCACTGCCAAGGCCACGCCGTACATGGCGTCCGTCGCATTTTGGGGCAGTTTAAAGACGCCAATGGCAAAGGCAAAAATGACGCACTGCAACGTCCCCCAGACCCCGGAGGAGAGTGATATTAACGAAAAGTGAGAATTCCTCAAGTAGCGTTGAATCACGAGAATCGCTGCGGCAAGGATCATGCACCCCAATGCCATACAGACCCCAATCTTCAAAAATAAATCCTGATTAAAATCTATACTTAACGAATAATTAACTAATTATTTGCAAACCTACCAAAATGTCCGTATCGAAACTCTCCTTTCCTGTGAGCATGGGCGGTCGTGAAATCACAACGACGCCCGCCATCGTCAGCAAGGCAGTAATTATGGGGACGATTGCACATTTTTCGCCAATGAAGCAATGCGCCAATAAAGTGACGAAGACGCTCTAAATAAATAGAAATTATTGCAAAATACGTCTCTAAAGGTGGGCTAAAATAATTGAAATATTCAAAAAATTAAGTACCGTCGAAGATGTTATGACCATTGAATCAGCAACTTCCAAGTATAAAAGGGAGTAGAATTGCAGGATGACGCTCCAACAGCCCAGAATACCACGGAGCTACGTAGTAAATAATTCGTCATTTTCAAAATTTCTGAAAAATTTCTGAAAAAAATTAACATTTTTTGCTTACCATCAACACCGTGAAAGCAATCACTTTTTCACGCGTCTTCAACGGCCAGACAGGTTTGAAGTCGGGCTGTTTCATGAGCACGACTCTGTAAAGGACGAGGAGGATGGAAGGGGCAAAAACGCCTTGAAAACGCCAAATGGAAATCATGAAGGGATGATAATCGTCCTTAAGAAGTTTGGCAAGCAGTGCAGCTAAAGAATAGAGCAGGCCGGAAAGGAGGGTGAGTGTGAGACCGATATATTTTCGACACCCGGTCGCATTCGGTTCGTCACTATCGTCCGAATCGTCCACGTCTTTCTTTTCTGTTGTTACCTTCTCGTCGTTTATGGATGACTGAGACGTTGCCCAGGATGACGCGATGGACTCGATGGAATGCAGAGAAGAGTCAGACTTACTTAAACCTGGGCGCAAATAGTCGCTAAGTCTGTGGTCGTCTGGGTCTGTAAATTTCAAAAATGGTAAAATTTCATAAGTACTTAAATCTAAAATTTCTGATTTGCAATAATTTTCCCTTACTTTTCCCCTGATTTGCTACCACCACTTCCACTACAAGAGCGTCATCTCCAGGGTCAACTTCCTCTCCAGGGACGAGAAATTCATCCCGATTAGAAAACCCGAGCGATTTTTCGAGCGTATTTTTCAACGAGGCGATACTACTCCGTGCCGCCATCATAGTACTCTCTCCACCAGCGCTATTAATATTCTTGGTAATACTGACCGTACTACTTCTTCTGGGAGCAGAGGACAACTTCCGGTCTAGGACATTGTTCCTGTTGCTTTCACAGTCGCCTCCTCCATCATTGCTCTGGACGGAATTAGCTCTGCTGTCTCGTCGACGTGAGTTTTCTTCTGACGGTCTCCTCGTTGTGGACAAACCTACGTCGAGGTATTCTGGAAAATCGATACTTCCACTCATACTGACGGAGAAGAGACACAGAGAAACAGAAACACGACACACTTAAATATTTCACGAGTTATTACGACAATTCCCAAAGGAAGGAGGACAATGCAATAACAGTGAAAAGGAATATTTACTGTGAAGGTTTCATGTAAAATGTTTGTGTGTCAAAAATTGCGTCAAGTTATGGCTCGCTTAGGGATGATAAGCCATGCTCGCGTGTGGCTGTGGAGTGTGTACCACTGGAAGGTGCCTGCCAAAATTATGTAGCTGGTCATTGGTGATGCTGCGGTTTATATAGGAGACGACGGGATGATGCCGTGATGGATAAGAAGTAAGTGCAAATTCCAGGCGAATAAGTTGCACATATTTTATGCGTAGAGCTTTATCATGAAGTTATTAAATGTTTAGATTCATGAAATGTTTTGATAACAGGATTGGAATCGAGGATCGATTTGATACTCCATTTAATATTTAATAGTTACGATTGTAAGTGAATGACGATAAAAGTGACGTCGACTTTTTTGAGACGTCATTTTTAATCACGGGATTTATTTTCAGCTTTGATTTTCACCTTGGTCATAATTAATTTCGGCTGCGTACAGATTTTGTCTCACTTTCCCATCCATTCATATACGGTGATGCAATCCAATTAGCAAATTATTTCTCGTGCCAGAAACCCAGCCAAAGTTCAGTGTTATTTAATTTGTTGCGCATCAGTTAATGTTAATTGGTTAGAAATAGAGCAATATTACAAAACACATGATAATTGATTGGTCGTCACATGTGTGTAGTTGGTCATTGGCCTGGTCGTTGTTACATTTTTGGTCATTATGTATGTGTCCTTTGAGACAGTGGATTTCTTTAATATTTCCATTCTGTCTGAGGCATGATGAGACCTCGCCATTGTTACATTTTGGGAAATTTGAGACTCTGCTCAAGTGCTCAAACTCTGCATATTTCCATTCTGAGGCAAGATGAGACTCCTGCCTTGAAAAACAGTCTCATTTTCCCATCAATCTGGCCTGGCCATACGCATAATTGACACTGGTTATAATTGATTCATGGACAACAGCAAAATGAAGAAAACTGGTGATATCGGGTTATGTTTTTTTGCCAATTAAAGTTGAACCTTATCATCCTCGTGTCCCTCACCTCTCGATCTCGATCTCTATTGTCCTCATCCATCCAGCAGTACAATTACTTAATAATACGTACCATCACATGCATCATTTATAAGTTTGACACTTTCTGCGATTAAAAGTAAAATCTTGTGTACACAAATTATTGTATTATTTATTGCTGCCTTCTAAATAAAGGTTCATGGTCACTGAGAGAGCAATCCCGACGCAATTATAATACCCTCACCTGGCCTCGCTGGGTTGGATTAATGAACTAAATTATACACTTTTTTCACCCATTAAACTACCTACTCAATTTTTGCGTAATGTGTTTACTTTACCCTGTTTTTTGCAAATATATAATACAAATGATCTCATTGACATCATCGCTACCCTTCAATTGTGTTGCTTGACTAGATTACGTGACCACCACGAACGATAAATATTGCATAGTAAAGATTTAGGATGGATTGAAAAATCGGATCCATTTGTTTTATAAAATACTAATTTTACAAATTATAATTTTGCAAAATTATTATTGCAAAATTATTTTGTGAAATTAATATTTTGCAAATTTTTTCGTTATATTTTATGCTGATGATTTACGATTTTGTTTGCATATGTACACATAAGATGCAAAACCAGAGTGATTGACTTCTTATCATAATTATGCCGATATTTCGTCATTTATAATTAAGCGTCTCCAATTCCGGCGAAATCTTATTTTTTGCCAACTAATTAAATATAATATTTTGCAGTCCGATCTGGTTTTGTTTTTGATCCAATTTTACCAAAAACACCATACATATTAAAAATTTATAAAATTGACAATGAGGAAAACGAGTTACATTGCATAGATAAATACTTCCCAAGTTACTTAATGACCACTTGAAACTAAACTCGAGCAATGTTTGAGGTTGCTCAATTATAAGTATTTTGGATTTAATCTTAATCTCACAGCCTAACTATTTAGAACCTACATACAACATAAGCGTGTGGGTGGTGTGTGTGCACTCGCTCACTCGAGGATAAAGTGCGTAGATAAGTTGTTATCATCTAATAATATTGTAGTTCCATATCGTACTTATCCCGTCACATTTTAGCTTCACTAATAATTAATTCAGTGGCTTGACTTGATTCCGTAAATAAAATATCGATCGATCTTGATAAAATCAATTAGTGTTTGTTTTATAATAATCTTCTTTCAAGGCAAGGAAAAAAGGGATGGGTTTTGGGTTTGGCATTCCCAAAATTCAATTCAATGGGAATGCATGAGACGGACAACTAACCATGAATTAATTAATTAATTGAGTAAACTAATAACCATGAAATTGTGTATGAAATGTGTGGGAGTCACTAATTAGTTGAGATAAGAAATATTTTGTGCGATGCAGAATCAAAAATTTTATCTGGTTTTAACCAAATTCTGCATGACATGGGGCATGACCTAAATGTGTATGTGAAGTTGGAGACGTACTATTTTTCGCACGTATGTAATGTACCCAAAATAAAATCAAAGGAATGACGGAGACAGACAGACATTAAAAATCTGATAATTTCATATATTTTTGTCTCTGCTCAGCTTTCTTTACACATTTTAAACAGAATTTTCTTGTCCTCGGGTAATAAGAATTAATTAAGGCGTATAATGTTCAGTAATTAATTAATATTTATTTAGTTAGCGTATTTATGTATCATTTCAATAAACTAGTACAAAATAAGCACCGTATTGATATTGATCCCTCAATTGACATTGAAGATGCGAAAAATTAAAAATAGAATGTATTAAGTATATCATTTCGTTAAAATCCATGAATTGGGTAAAATAAATTCATCAACGTGTCGTTGTCGAAGTTGCTGTTAAAACGATTAAAAGTTTGGCATTAAAATATTAAGACGATAATAAAATTATGAGCGTATTACATTTGGTCAAGCACGGCACGAAAAAATGTGTGATTACAATAAATCCATTGCCACATTGGTTCCAATATATTCGTCAAAAATATTGGTGGCGAGTCGTCTTGAATGTTCTAGGACGCAAGAGGATGTCACCAGACCCAAGTGGATGCAGAATAACTCGACGCACCGAACCTTGGAGGAATTGTTGGGGAAGCATTCCGCTATTACTCGCCTAAGAAATATAAAGTTGAAGTTTGTATAAAAATAGGAAATTGACGGATCGAATTATTAATTATTAATTACTGGTAGAAATCGCCCGACATTATGCCTGGAAGAGGGTAATTCTCCCACGGCATGGCGGGTTGCTTGGGGCGGATGGATGTTCCCTGAACAAAAATCAGTTTAGATTATTCGGTTTGCATTTAATAGTTGTTGAACAATTTAAAGTACCGAGTTATCTTCAAACCAGAGGAAGTACGCGTAATTGAAAGCACCGTCTTTCCACATGAGAGAAAAGTGACCCTGCTGCATGTGGTCTCGAGCGAATTTCACCATTCCCCAAATCTGGACATGTATTTTATATCAATTTTTAAACTGTAAGGACATACACCACTTTTTCAAGAATATGTGCATACCTTGGGCTTGGTCAACTTGATGGTCTCCTCCTTTGAAAAATCCACCACTGGCAAGATAACAGAATGTTTATTCCGATCCACATAAATGAAGTGAACCAAGCCAGGAAATTCTTCGAGATACTTGTTTATAAATAAACTTTCTCTGCTCTCCAGTAACAAACTTGTTCTTGTACTGTTCCCACTACTTCGCCTACTTGATTTCGTTTTGAGGCGAAGAAATCCCCAGAAATCATCCGTGTCAGTTTTGATCTGTTTCCATACCATGTCCAACGGCGACAGCGGTGGCGGTGATGATTGTTTCTGCTGCTGCTTACTAATACTAAAAAACTTGCCACTGCTGCTCTCATTCGGAGGAGGAGAGGGCGACAAGAATCTCTCATTGTTGAAATAAATTCGGAAAATTTCTCTGAAAATGTCCACCAGCGGCATGGCTTGGACGGTTATGGGTTCTTTCGATTTTAAATATTGTTGAAATCCGGTTCGAAATCGGTCCCATCGTGTCCCCAGTTCGTTTCGGAGGTTGAGATTTTTATGCTTTTTTAACAACTCTTGCAGCCTCTTGGTAGTAGACTCGAGCCGATCGAAGGAACTTTTGTCGGTGAGAATGTCTCGAGAGGCGTTATGAAATAGGATGGATTGTTGGAAAGCTGATATCGCTGTGGTGGTAAGCGGAGCGGTGGGTGGCTAGATATAATTTTATTCATTAAAATTACATGTCCACAATTAAATTATTTATTTTTAAGTACCTGAGACACCAAGACGAAATATAACCCATTCTGCACGATTCCGACATGAGCGATGTGTGGGACACAATTCCCATGCTTGTCTTTCAGTAGAATAGCGTATTTCACAACCTTATCTGTAATTTTAAACTAGAATTTTATATCTACACTTAATCCTCCTCTTCAACTACGAGCTATGCACATACCGTCATCGCAATCCTCCGCATCCACAAAATCCCAACCACCACCTCCATTTGAAGCATCGTCCCCCTCGTCATCCTCATCCTCTTCGGAAAACTGTTGTTTTGTCGCCACGTTATCCAAATTAAGTGACGATTCTGCATCCGTTGAAGTCGTTGAGCTGCTCTCACCACCACGACTTTTCTGTTTCATCGAAAACTTTGGAATCGGCCCAGCCACGTCGTTTGTCCGCCTCTGATGTTTCGTCTTGTGACAGAGGAGAATGAGGAAGAGCAGGTCTTCCGGTGCAAGATTGACCGCATTCTTGGTCGAGTACCAAGACAAGAGTTTTGTCTCAAGAAATAACATTGTGTGGACGGAACTTCCGACCTCGTCTTGCACCTTGATGTATATAACAATATCAGGTTTTTTGATTTCTACGATTGCCTGTTGATACAAAAATATTATACCTTTCCGGCCACGGCATGAAGCGAGTTGACTAATGAAGTATTGAGCTGTTGGGCAACTTTAACTTGAGAAATTCCCTCGATCATAAAAGCTTGGTCCGAATTGTAAAGAAAGTTCCAAGACGAGAGGAGATTATCGAGAAGCTTGGCGTGTGAGGGGGATGATTTCAGTCTACAAGCGAAATTATGTTAACTTTTTTTCAAACATTAATGTAAAAAATAGTTACATTGACACATCCGGTCCAACCAAGTAGCCCACGAGAGTAATGGTGATTCCGACCGATCTCTTTAAACTGGACACTTCTTCGTTGCCCACTCTCAAAAAGAGAAAGCCCATGTACTAAAATTACGACAATTAATATGTTAAAATTCATTAAACTAAATAAACTTGCAAGAAATTGTGTCGCCTCTTTTCGTACATCTTGAAACACAATATTCGTCCCGTCGTTACATTGCAAACTGTTGTACGGATTCCCAAATTGTTCTCTCATAAATCGTTGCGACGTGACCAGGGGCGAAAACAGTTGGATCAAAACGTTCGGATCCAATGCCATTTTTCCAGTCTGTGAATTTTGCACAAAAAAAAATCATTTACATATTGAAACGGTAATAAAAACTGTAAATATCTTGCTTACGCCAAATGGTTGGCTGTGTTCGCTGGAAACGAGACCTTGTGCAGACGCCAACTTCCGAACATGTTTCACAAATCGGGGGCAACAGTTTAAATAGATGAGATCGTTAAGATGATCGAAGACGAGGGTCCCCTTCATTTTGCTCGATGTATAAGCTTCACAGTTTGAAATCGCTTATAATTTTAGAGGCCAGGCATTGGTAGATGTTTGAAATACCCATCCAACCAATTACAATTTCCAGATTGACTGTTAAATTAAATTAAATTAAATTAAATGTAACAATTAATGGTGCAGTCGTATGTAACAAGTAAATGAAATTCATGACGAGAAAACTTACCAATTGCTTGCAATACAACTATCTTAACTAAATGATAAAATCGGTTTAATCAAGATGAGCACTTAAATGAACAATTATCAGATATTTCAGTATATTTCAATATATTCACAAGATTGAACCCCGGGCAGATTTTTCCAAACTGGGGTGACCATTTCTTTGTTCTCATACATACATTGTTTGTTTATTCATGACTAACTAACTTAACTAAACTAACTAAATAATAAGTCATAGATTGTTAGATTGTGTATTAAATATTGGATCTTAGGACCCTTTGATATCTATTTATTTATTTTAAAATAAAAATAACCGATAATAACAATAACAAATAAAACATGACACATGACTCTTCAAACAATAAAAAGCGTATGATTTTCATGACATTTTCTGGTAAAATTATCGCTATAAAATTAGTCCAGGACTGGTAATTATGTTTGAAACTTAATTGAGCATTTTAAATCCATGTTTGCAAGCGTGAGTTTAATATTTGACTCGTACAGAAATTCACTAAAACTAATGTACATACGCAATTCCATAAAAATTCATAAAACATTGCAGAATTAGGAGGCTTTCAGTTCTACCCTTGGCTAATAACTCAATTGACTAATTAAAAATTAAAGCCTTCAAAACTCTTGATATTCCTTTCAGACTTGCAGCCCTTTAAATATAATCAAGCTGAGGAACCTTCATAGTCATCAGTGGGCGTTACCATCGCCGTCGTCGTCGTCATTACACCTGCACACGACTCATTGAACACTTGAAATGACCCAACTTCCAGATAAGCTAAGTCTCCTCCCACCACGAAAACCTCCCTTCCGTTGCCTTCAACTTTGACGAGAAAATCACTGAAATTTGGCTTTCCAAATAAAGCGACACACACACCATTTCTGCCACCGGGACGTTGCAGTCTGACCCTGGAGACACGCTTCACTTTAGAAAATGATTCCCCGTAGGAGTGGAAAATTGAGGGGTTTGCTAAAATTGGGGAAAAGATGGGATTAATTTTTTGAAAATTACTTTTTAGCCCGAGTCAGGGCTTATGGAACCGTCATGTCCGTCCGTCCGTCTGTCCGGCACGATAGAGCCAAAACGGCTGAACCGATTGACTTGAAATTTTTACCATATGCATATAGGGCAAAGTTAGGAAACGAGTTCGAAGATGGGCGAAATCGGTCAAGTGGTTGACCAGTGGGGGTCATCTAGGTGGGTGGGGTATTGTGCACCAAAAGTTCAAAATTGTCGTAGAAGGCTGAAATTTGGTACAGAGGTTGCTAATGGCTCCTAATAGATGAAAATGACTAAAAGTTGGAAAAATTTTCATCTTGAGGGACCCTATGGGGTGACCCATACCGATTTTTCAAAATCGTTATAACAAGCTGAAATTTGGTAGATAGGTTGCTAATGGGTATTAATAGAAGAATATGACATAAAATTGGTAAAATTCTTATCTGGAGCGACCCTATGGGGTAACCCATACCGATTTTTAGAAATTACTTTAAAAACATGAAATCCGGCACGGTGATACCTAATGGCTTCTCACGAAAAGATATGAAGCTAAAACTGAGCAAATTTTAACCAGAGTGACCCTGGAGGAGTCAGGGACTCTGTCCCTGACTCGGGCTATATGGAGTCTGCACTGTAGGTTTTTTTAAAAATGATTATTTACATACATTGATACGAAAATGTGACTTTTGGGTGACTCCTTGGCGCAATGGGGCTCGTCGTCGCTTCCGGTGTCCAGTGCAGGAGTCCAATCGCGACAAATATTCGTAACAATGAACCAACCATGATGAATGTCAATGTCATTGAGGTAAGTAAACTTATTTTATTTTCTTTGAATGTTAATGGACATTTGAATATATATGCAAATTCATGTGTCCTTTTCTTTAGTGACGCTATAAAACTTGTGACTTTTTGTCCAGTTCGAGCTCATCATTTTATACCGGTTTCCTCATGTCAACGTTGATTGATAATTTACCGCAGATTTACATATAACGTTCTTGGCGTCGTCATCAATTAGTAAATTGCATACATATGTGCGAGAAAATGACCAATTACGCTATAATTTAGCGTATGGGCATATACTCTTAATCCTTCCATCCATCACATGTGGGAGGATGGATGGATTTGCATGTAGATTCATGATTGTGGATGAAACGAGGGGAAAAAAAGTGCTCATCAATTTTGTTTGGTTGGTTCATGATCCAGCCTAACGTTGGTGTTGTCTGGAAGGCTAAGTCTGGAAGGCTTACAACGACTCTGAGACGTATGTATTGGTATTATGCAATACCGCTACTTTTTGCTCTACTGTCCAGTTCAGTGAAATTGTACAACATTGACTAGTTTTATTTGCTTCAATTACTCCAATTTAAGCCAATTTAAGATTTTATGAAAGTTAATGTATCGACATGAACTTTGATCGTGGTGTGGAGTAAAAAAAATCCAGTGCAGTTTTGATGTTGGCAGATTTACTAAATACTTTTTCTCGCGTGTAATTTAAGTTCAAAAATCTGTAAAGCTTTCTATTTTCGAGGCTTTACTAAATAGTACTTCAGAGTAAGTAATTTCAATTTCAGAGTTTTCTATTAACCATTTTAAAAACCCGTATGGGTTTGGGTCACCTTTGGAAGTAAAAATTCTTGAAATTTGCATCTTATTAAAACGTTCACTTTCATGTCAAATTTCAGCTTTCTATCACAATTTATATAATGTGCGGTGCTATTTACGCCCACCGGTTAAATTTGGTAAGTCTACATAAGCTGACTATATAGTTCATTGGCTTATCCGTTAACTTGTCACAGACAGACGGACATGACAATTCCATGAGCTCTTTCTCCGGCTAAAAATGAATTTGAATTGAGATTTTTGCAGTGCGAAAATGTGTCAAAAATCTGTCCATGACTTATATAAATTCTATTTACATATTTACATTTATGGTACAAAAAGTATAAAATCTACTCTCACAACGTATATATTTACATTTGCACAACAATTTCTTTGGGTAGCGTTATTTCTTTGGCATCGTTCAGTTTTCATTAATCAGGGTCAAGTTTCGTCTGGGTCAAATCAGGGTCAAACTTTACGGACTGGTACTGTCATAATCTTCGGCTGCAAGCGACCTGGCGGTCGTGGTGGTGATATCAGTGCATGGCGACACCTCGTATTTCGTCACGTGGAGTAAGGTCGAGTTAAAGGTGATGGTCCGATCTGCCCTGGAAATCTTGGCATAAGGGGTCACCACCGCACTTACAGTGGTGAACAGGACGAGGCACATCTCTTGCCCGGATGTCCCGACATCGCACTGAAATTCAACCCTGGACACGTTTCGGTTGATTATTTCACTCGCACTATAGTACGTCGTCTCGTGATCTGAAAAAAGTGTAAAAAGTTTTTTATTATATATAAAAACAAGAAGTTTTAAGACAAGAAATAAATTTTAAAAATTCCTAAAAAATTTCCGCCAAAAAATTTTCTTACTCTTACCTCCAATCTGAAACTTGACCGTGATTGGACGACTTATCGATGGTTGTGGTGTTTGTGGTGGGGACCTTAACGCGCAAGCTTCCCCAAGTCCAAGAATTATACTCGTCACAACCATGCGTGTAATAATCGTGCCGGAAATTGAGACCATTTTTTCAGTCAAGATTTAAAATCTGAAGCTCGGTTAGTAAAAAATTTAGCGTTAGCTAACGAGAGAAAGTTAAGTTAAGGAGAGAACAAATCTTTAGGATTTTGTAGTTAACTGGACAAGAAATGAAGTTAAAGTGAGTGACCACTCTGCGCACTTGTCCGGATTTATAGTAACTCAGTCATAATGTATCTGATATAAAATGACCAATTGATCAATTTTACATAATTAAGAGTACCACAATAAATTCATTACATGCAAAACAAGCAAAAGTGACCAGTCCGAGTTCATAAACTTCATAAGTTTTCATGAGACTGCCTGGCTTTCCATTCGCGACAACTTGTCTGTGCATTGCAGGAGATAATTTTTACCCTGCGTTTTCATACGTTTGTTTATGACGTTCATGATCGTCCTGCTAATCTCTTAATTCGCATGTCCTGTGAGCATGTTTAGTTTAAATAGCATGCAACCTTGGCCTTAATCAAAGGGTATGGATTGAAATATATACAACAATATGGACAAAATATTGAAAGTAAAATGTGAGAAATAAACTTTATTTAGGACTTAATTATCAAATTATGTAAAAACAATTCTTCAAATTTCAATTTTTTTTCAAGTTCTGAGGTTCTGACTTTTTTCCAAAATGTAAAAGATTAAAATACTAAATTATCTTTAAATTATTTAAAAACAACTCATCTTCAAATTTCATATTTTTGTAAAATTCTGTTTTTTCCAAAATGTAAATTATGTACATAAATAAATTATTACATACGTGTAAAAATAATCAAGTAATTTACATATAAAAGTTTTTTAATATTCAAATTCAACTTATACTTGACTTATGTAAATACATACGCACATTATTTTACATCCTGTGTTATCTTATCAATTCTGATTTTGATAACAATGCCCGCACGCGAATGATATTATGTTACTCATTTTTTTTAAACCCGTCATACTCATCTTCCGGTAAAAAATGACTATATAATTCTCGTCCCAATTGCAGTGATGCCCATTGACTCAGAGATAGCTCATGGTTGTAATTAGGTACCAGCAGATCTATCTGCACTTTCATGAACCAATCTTAAGAAGCAGTCGTGTTGTAGTAGTTCATGAAATACGACAACACAAAATTCATCAATTACGACAGCTTCATGTAAATCTCCAGTGCAATGAATGACCCACGTGCACGTTACTGACCACACCACAAAATAAATGTGATACCCACTTTTCTTTTCAGAAGTTCTTTTTACGTTCCATCCTTTTATTTAACAAACCACAATATAAAAATATTAAGAAATCAATCATGATACATAATTGAGTAATATGTAAATATGTAAAATTCTCCATAAAACTGAAGATACGGAAACGTCTCAACTTTGAAACACGATTATTTACAGGAATAAATTATCTATTTAGTAGCCTTTTGAAATTGATTTCCTAATTTTTTTTTGCTTTTCGTCATTTATTCATGGCGTCGTAATCCGGTCGTGGTGTCGTTGTTGGGAGGGTGGGCACTGCGCCTTCGCAGGTGTCACATGACCCGTGGCAGTACCGGAAGGATTTAATTTCTCGGGTCAGCGTGCTTGGGGGCAAGGAAAAATCTAAGGTCAACACAGGGTCGATACAGTTTCTATGATGAAAAAGGATGGCACATCGTTCTGCTCTGGCATCTTCGCCACGGTCAAGTCGAACTGTTAGCGAGTTCCAGTTTTGACCGACGTGGTCGGGAAGTTGGTCACAGGACACGGAAGATCGGGAGGTGTATTTATGTTCATGGTTTCCTGAAAGAAGAAAAAATGGATTATTAGTTTTTCAGAAATTTATTTTTACAGATTTTAGCCATGCATAAAATTTTGTCAAGATTTGTTTACATACCTCCTTTAAACCAAAAGATAAGTTTGGATGCCGTTCTAGGATTGAAATCGATACTTGGTGCGGCCTTCGTTACGGAGAAAGTTGTTGAGAGGATGAGTAGCAAAGTTGAGATCAGTTTGACTTTTGGGGAATTTGAGATTCTGGCCATTTTTTTCTGGTTTCTTATTTACTTCCTGTTTCTTTTAGGTTTAGTTTCACGGTACGTTTTATTTAGTTATTGTTAGCTGTTTCACAGATTACTATTTGGCAAAAATGTTGCACCCTGACTCCTCAGTCTTATCAGTTTGACTTTCTTATTTGGAATGAATGTCCAGCCACCACCTTGTCCAGGTTTATATATGATTTGGACAAATCTGATGTGGCGAGGGCAATTCCGGTTCAATTATCACCATCAGCATCATCATTCATTTACTTACAATTCCATGCATCAATTTCCCATTCGACAGGCAATAAAAGTACGTCACGTTATTATACCAAAATTTGTGCAATATTCTCCTAGCCTACTAGCTTTTTTTTTACCGGCCGGTAAAGCACAACCAAACCGCGAATACTACGACATTGTGAGGACAATGCATTTGACAGCGTAAATCTGCATGCATACGTAATTAACAAACTTATTAAAAGGCTTGGTGGTGGTGGTGGTCTGCTGGTGGTCATTGGTGTCCAATAATTGCCGTGGTTTCAGTGGCCGCGGAAGGGTGTGGACAGAGGGACAATGTCCCCAAGGTTATTCGATGTCCCCATCATCTGCCCATGTTATATAAACCACTCCCTCCCCTTATCCTACAATGTTAATGTCCCCAGATGTCCCCACGGCTTCCGCGACCACTGCGTGGTTTAAGTGGGTAACGGAGAAACGACTGCGTCACACACACCTCTCGAGAAGGAGCATCAATTTGGTGACAATTTTCGTACTAATTATTCATGACATAGTAAAATAAAATTACTACATCACGGATAAAGCTAGTTGTGCCGTCACAGAAATCAATTTCTCATTCAAACCACCACATCGTCCGTCGTCGTGCGTACGATACATACGGAAGCGAGACGTTTAGTAATCTGACCACATATGACCACCGGTGGACGTTGAATTGACCACAATTTCGCTCAAAATTTTGGACACGATTTTACCTCCACCACATTTTTTTTGAGGTGGTGGATCGAACCATGGATAAAATTATTCCTGACAAATGTATTACTTATTTTTGGGGAAAATACTATACCGTATTATTAACTTGAATAGATGACTGATTGGGTTCCTAGATAAATTAGTAGATGACAAAAGGTTGGAATTTTTTTCGTTTTTTTTCTGGGTTAATAATTTCTTTTGACGTTCGCATTTCCTGGTTTTGGAAAATTAGGTCATAAAAGGACATGTTTCTTCTCTCGGAAATCATATTTATGTATATGTGTCAGATATAACGTCAGTTTGGGGTAATAATTTTTAGAATGGGTTAAAATTCAATGTCAAAATTTTTTTAGAAATTTTTGCACATGGCTTTTTTACAAGTTCATGACATCATTCTTGCTCATGATCCGATTCTGAGTCATATATAACGTCGACCATGGAATGAATGCGACACGGATTTCCTGTCGAATTAAATATTAAATTCCTGTCTGTCTGTCGTTCAGGGACCTTTCTTATGCGGTTTGATTGATTAGCCGTTATTGTGATGGTGGCAGGATGATAATCTTGAGTCACAATTTCTAGGTGGGATTTGACGGTTTTACTCTTTGCTATGCCGGTCACGGTGTTGTTGTTGATATTTGCATGGCGTCACTGCATCAGTTTATTTTTAGCTCGGGGATCTCCGCAACTATTTATGAGATTGTTGTGTGCAGATCTAAATGGCAAGTGGTAGATCTGCACAAATTTTTGAGATTTCTTATGACAAAATTTTTTTTTACAGATCTTCAAAAATTTAAGATTGATAATAAATTTTCTACTTATCAAATTGAGGCGTGCAACTTATACATTTTTTAAATAATTTTCAAACTAAGAAAATTTACTAAGAAAATTTATTCGGCATTACAACTTACAAGGGAACCTTTTATAGTGCCCGGAGCTCCCAGCATATCCAGTATATACATTAGACGCAGTTTTTAATACTCCTCCTATGATGTGACAAAATTTCCGTGTCAAAATGACATTTGGTCAAGCTGTGACGATTTTAGTGACGCGCCGAACGGTCACTTTCTCCGATGATTTCAATAGCGCAATTACATACATACACTTTTAATCACACGGTCCTCATCTTGTTTCTGAATGCTCAACCAATTTACTCACTGGTACTTAATTTAACTATATTTACAATATCATTACAATTTACTATTTATGTATAGCTTATGAATATTATTTTTACATTTGAATTTAAAAGTTACAAAATGTTCACGCCTACTTTTTGAAGAACATTCATAAGTAGTTGCTGTATTCTTTCCGCACAGTTTTCAAACTCCAATATTTGAAAGGAAAAAACAATATTGAAAACTTGTAAATAGTAAACAAATTGTAATGATATTCTAAATCTATTTAAATTAGGTGTCAGTCTTATCGGTGGGCAAATGAGTTGAGATTTCAGTGAGATGAGCGGGGAGCGTGTAGTGAAAAGTTGAACGGGTATCTTCACTACTAAAAGCATGGCAAAAATGACCGTTCCGCGCGTCACTAAAATCGTCACAGCTTGACCAAATGTCATTTTGACACGGAGATTTTGTCACATCATAGGACTAGTATTAAAAACTGCGTCTAATGTATATAGTGGATATGCTGGGAGCTCCAGGCACTATAAAAGTTTCCCTCGTTAGCAAATTAACGGTTTTAAAAGTTCTGTAACTTTATCTTTTGAGTTGGGTAAAAATTTCCGGAGCCGATCTTGAAATCATTCTTGACATTTTTCGTATAAAAATTCATATATAAATTACAGCTAGATAAATTTAAATTTAAGAAATGTGCATGCATAACTTACAAAAATGTTAATTTAACGTTCAAAACGTTGTTCTTATTTTACATGTTTTTCAATTAAATAACAATGCATTCGTTAATGCATTCTACTTCCGGTACTGATGTAATTTATCAGCATATTGGGAAGTTAGCAATTTTAACGTAATGTAAACGTAACGTAAACGTAACATAAACGTAGCAATGTTATCTTAGGTTATTATACGACATTACGTTTTAGGTTAAAGTCGCTAACTGCCTATTTATATTTAATAACTAATGTTTAATATTCTTGACTTGTATTAATTACAAAATTTATCATTTCATAACTATTTATTACAAGCATCAATATTTTATATCATCTAAATTTGATTTTAAGCTTTTCAATTTTTCCCAAAAACTATTTTTGGCTTCCATATTTTACATTTTTACAATTTTGGTTTACATTTTTACATTTTTCATGGGCATCTTCCCCTCTCAAGCATTATTAATAGACCAGGAAAAGTTATAATTGAACCACAAAACCGCATAGATCCATCAGTCCGACTTTATAATGTCTATACACAGTTGATAATATTGATATCTAGGACGTTAAACCTGTAATACAAAAACGGCCTAAATTTTCGTATGCATTGGAAATTCATATAAATATCTAAAATCAGCCATTTCAATTTATTTAAGCCCACTGACAGTCACCAGTGGTTAACTTGTCCACATTTTTGTTCACAATTTTTATACAGACCGTTGTAATTTCCAGATATTAATAAATACAGGAAAAGTTATGTAATTTTTTTCACCCATACAACCTCTTGTTAAAATGCAATCCTAAAAATAATTTAGTACAAATGTAATAGCTTCAAATTTCTATAAAGGACTAATTCCTTCTTGCGGTTTTGTAAATCTTTTCCATAATGCACCCGATTAAACCGTGATTGCAATGACGCACAAAGCTCCTCTCCTCCTGAGGTTGTTCCGGCTCCAAAAATAACACTGCGACGATAAAATAAATACAAATTTTAAAACAACGACGTAAATACAAATATGTACAATTTGTGCACATTAAATAATTAATTATAATTAATTCGTCACCTCATGCCATTCCGCACACGCGAATATGCAACCACATCCGATTTCTTTATGATCATCCTCATCATGAGCAATTCGGTCATGACATTACATTATCATACAAAATGCACACGGATTTGAGTCCAGCCGGACCCAAAGATGATTTTAATTTTGTGTATGCGAGACGAAATCAAAAATGACGACGTGGAGGATCCGTGTTTAATCAAACGGAATGCGTTTCACGGTGATTTGTGTGACGACAGGGCTGAGATTTGCTTACTTTCATTCATACAATTCTTTCAGCAGTGGCCGCGGAAGGCGTGGGGACATCGGGGGACATTGCCATTGTAGGATATGGGGGAGGGAGGGGTTTATATAACATGGGGAGATGATGCGGACATCGAACAACCGTGGGAACATTGTCCACATCCCTTCCGTGGCCACTGTGAGTGACAATGAGTGAGTAAAAAACTATTGAATAAGCATTTGTAAATTGCATCTTGTTGTTGTTGAGTAGTTTGCTGAGAATTAGCATATTTTTACGTGTGCCGTATTTATTGCAAAGTTTGCCGAGTTCTCCTCAAGTTGGTTTGCAAACATACTTGAAATGCTTTTTACCACGAATCTCATGTCCATGCCTCCAGCTTGTCTGATAAATGATTGACCGGACTCCAGCATCACAATTTAGAATGTTTACTTGAATGATTTTTCAGTTTTTTGACAAGCGCTTACCTAAGCTCAGCTGCTGCTCACCGGATCACGTCACTTGTTTAATTGGTTTTGTCGAGTCCCGTTATACAAATTTTGTTGGTGTCATCAAAGTCATATATTGGATATGGCATGGATGGCTAATTTTACAGAAAATTCTGCAAATATTGTTTTTTATGTTGTACATAAGTTCGGGTTTCGGGGATTTTTGTGAATCTAGTGTTTGTGCTGGTGTTTAAATATATGCATATTTATTATGTAATGTATAGATGGTCACAAATTCTGGGGAAAACTCAATCAGTAATTGTGCAAATAAATGTGTGAAAATTATGCAATATATTTAATTATGCGACATCCTTTTAAGTAGGTGATATCCAGTTTAATTTGGATTTTTCCGTTAAAAATCAGACATAAAAGAAACGTATTTAATTTGCAACATAACCGCAAAAAATGCTTGCCAATTTTGTTCACTTCCTTACAATTTACTGTATTTCTAAAAATCATTTCTAAAAATTCCCCAAATTTTTTGTCCTTCAAAAAATACTTTCTCTCCAAATTTCTCTCCTCGAAAAAAAAATCCAATTTCTTTTCAGAAATCATATTAATTTATCTACCATCCAATTTATCTCCTATTTCTTTACCCGACATGAAATATATGATAAATCCCGGAAATCACATCAACATTAAAACTCCATTAGAAAAATTACAAAAACTAGCACACAATTTATTTATGTATCGAAGAAGAATCTCTACATTCTCACTCAAGCGTGGTATTCTGTCCTCCGTAATGAGCATGTCTGACTTGACAGGCATTTTGTTTTACTGTCGGCTTATGCATGGGACTGGTTTTTTAAATAAATAAATTTCTACGAGCAATCTATCTGGATCGGTTTTTTAGCCAGATTTTTTTTCGTCGCCGTCTTTGTCGAAGCGGAAATGTCGTGATGTAGAAGAAATTGCATCGGAATGCAGAACGCCAATCTCAATTTGCACTTTGCCATTGTCCGTCCATCTGCCACGAGGAGTTGTTTCCTACCCAGTGAACTTTTGCTCGACCGCTTTCTCCGGCTTTCTCCTCAAATTGAGGTGTCCGTGTCAATTTGCCTGCTTCGTTGGTTGGCTACTGCTGGAACCCAGTGGCACAATCTGGGAACATATGTATGTAGGCAGACCAAAATATAAAAATTTTGATATTCGTGTCACAATTCAAGTTTTTTGATATATTTGTTTATTTATGATAAAATCAACACAGTATAAAACACTAATTTTGAAAAAATAATAATATAGAATTTTTATAAAAATCTAAATTTTCCACATGATAATGTCAAAAAATTACAAATGACATCGTTTGACGCATTTAATCTAAATAACTTGAACCATAATTTTTCAAAGAAAGATAAAACAAACACGACGTGGAAATTGTACACCTGGGAATTTCAACGATCTACTTTCTTGTCTTTCTGTGTATGCATGTAGTATCCCAAAATAAAAGAGAATCTCAATTTTTAGCCTGAAACTGTGCTTACGTAATCGTCTGTCTGTCTTTCCATAGCTCTAGGCCGGTTTTGACCTTGGTTCGGGTTATGCAAATTTATATTGAGAAATGTTTTGGTAGCATTTTGTTTACAGAAACTTAGCGAAAATCAGGTGTAAGTTTAGATAAATATAAAAATCACCCACCCACAAATGACCACACCTACCGAAGGAAAAGGCGTGACGATGACTATACGTCTTGTTTGTTCAGATTTTTCTCCATATTTCTTCCTTCTCGCAAGTCCACCTCTTTTTTCGTTTGGATTGGAATTCATTCCTGTATTCACATGGACGTATTTTTCTCAGTTTGCTTTCTCCCATTTATTATTTTTCGTCTCATTCCTCGCCTACTTGAGGAGGGTAACCAATGAAGCCTCCCTCCCCCTCCGACGCCCTGATAAATGGAGGAATTGTGGAGGAGAGAAAGCAGGAGGAGAAAGTGTGAAAAAAGCTCTGGAGGGTATTTACTCACTCACTTTCGCCAAGTCAGACCAGATTTTTCCTTACTTCGGGTGCTGGTAAATAGTGAGTGAGTTGCATTGCAGCATGTATGGATTGGAATTACGACCACATAATAGATCGGAAGTAGAAGTCGGGCCAGAGAGTGCAAATATCGGTACGTTGTGTTTTTTTACAAAAAAAGTGTGCAAAATATTTTTGCGATGTTTTCAAGTGTGATTTCGGTTACGTAAGTATTTACCTACACGATAAACATGCAGACTTTTTCGGTACAAGTGGGATTATGTAGATGTGTCCGATTAGAGCACATAAAGCTGGACGATGGAAATTTAATTCATACACAAAAAATTATTATTTATTGTTCGACGCCGATGCCAATTTGGAAATTTTCATGTTTACTACATGTTACATTACTACATTTTTATGTAATAAATAGGTTGCATAGTTGGTTTCGGAAAAGATAAAAATAATTTAAAATCCGGTAAAGTTATTAGAATTAAAGTTACACAAGAATTATTATTTATTGCTATTATTTATTGTCTGATGTCAACGCCAATTTGGAAATTTTCGTGTACAACTATTATCATCTTTATGCAATAAACAGGTTACAGTAGCAAAAGAAATGACAAAAATATTGCAAAACAATTAGATTAAATCACACACACCAAAACTGCTAATCTGCATGTAAGTAATGTACCGATAAGTATAATAAATAAATCTGGATGATCAAAAATTAAGATACAAACAAAATTATTATTTATTGTTCGATGTCAACGCCAAGTTGGAAATTATCGTGTATATTATTATTTCATCGTGTATATTATTATTTCATTTTTATGCAATAAATAGGTTGCAGTAACAATTGTCAGGAAGGACAAAGATAATTTAAAACCGTGTAAAATTATTAGATCAAACACACCAAAACTGCAAATCTGCATGGAAGTAAGTACACATTAGTGCGGCTCAAAGTAAGTACGGCAAAAATCTGAATTCGAGTCTCACTCACAGAAGTCTCACAGTCCATCCTTCACGTTATGTTCAGCAGAATGTGGAGTTTTGTCTCGAGGGCAGCGTAAGCTTTCTCTCAGTCTCAAATCGTCTGCTTTCACCAACCCAGCCAAACCAACTACGAAATACAACAGGATTCCCAGCAAGGGCAAACTGACTCGTTTCATATCATCGGAAAAGTGAAGTGAAGTGGGTGGACGAGAAAGTGAGAAATCTTACAATTATTAAGGACTAATAATTCATAATTTTGAGTGAAAGTGGTTCAAACTAAAGTAGGTCGTTCCAAAAAGAAATAAAATACAAACTTGGGAAATACAAGTTTCCAAAATTTCCCCAAAATTTCACCAGTGCCCAACCAAATATCTCATAATTAACTCTAACGATTCATAATTTTGAGTGAAAGTGCTTCAAACAAAACTTATTCGTGCCAAATTTTTTAAACCCATTACAAACATTGAAAATCAAATTTTCCAAAATTTTATCAATTCCCAATCCAAAATCTCAATTATTAACTCTAAATTCATAATTTTAAGTAAAAGTTCAAGCAAATTGTTCGTGCCAAAAGATTTTTTTAACAAAAACAACTTTGAGAAATACAATTTTGCCAAAATTTCCCCAAAATTTTACCTATTTCCAACCCCAATATTTCAACGAGACAAGGTAAGTACATAAAGTTGACGTCATTTTCCATTATCCAGCCAGTAAATAGATTGGATTGACTTCTCATCGTACACACAATAGAATCCGGATTTACACAATTCACACCTTTTTCTCAAGTAATAAATGATCATCATGATCACCATCATCATCTCGTTGTATTTCCCAACAGTGTAAAAATGTGTTTCAGAAATATTCAAACCGGGAAATTACATTAGGTTTCACGTTAAGGATTTGTTGATCCCAAAAGACGTGCCTCCTTTTCCATAAAATCGAGGAATCTCCACTTACACCAGATCGAAAATAAGTTGATTCTGTCCAACTCGAGACGCAAAGCAATTTATCGTCTCGGCATAAAGATTCACAGAACATCCCATTTAGGGGAAGGAATTGCGAAAATCTGCATGATTTGAAAGTCTCACTTTGATATGAAACGATATGTTGGGCTTCTTTCAGAAACCAAAACCAAACCACAAAGAAATTTGTCAACACGTAAATTTGAAAAGTGGGTGCAGAAATTTGCGAAAAGTAAAGAAAGAAAGAGAGAGATTTGATTTGTAAATACGTAATATGTGAAACATCAAAAAAAATATGAAATTTCAGGAAACTGGCAATTGCTTTAAAAAAATTGGAAAAATTCTCTGTTTCGAGAGATGTTCTATTTTGACTTTGATCTCTTTTTGAAAAGTTTGTGGGTGGACGGTTTCGCAAAATAAAATCAGGTCGTCCCATTGCCCATGATGATTGGCAAGTTACTTACGTTGGTTAGGGACTTTTGTTGACTCCACTGTTTGTACAAGATTATCCTCAAATCCGACATATTGTTGACTTAACCAATTTCAAGTGACGCTTTTTTTCGTCGAATTTTCCTCCCTCGAAGATCTACAAATACTCAAGTGGTCTCGATTCGAGGGCATGAAAGAGAGAGTGAAAGTTCAATAAAAATAATAGTTTTCTTCTGATTCACATGGTTTCAAGAATGGGGAATTTTCTGCACAGAATGAAGTGAGACGACGACATGAAACGACCACTTAAAAAAAGTTGATGAAATGGTACAAAGTGGGATTCAATGAGTTACGTAATCAAATAGGAGATGAACCTTGGGCAAAAATTGCGAAATCTCACTTTACCCCCGACTTTCTCCATCACGATTTATTCCCCATTTTATCTCCGATTCGTTTACGTTTTGAAATGTGATCTTGCTTGACTAGGTTGCTTACTTATCAAAGGAAAGTGAACGGAACAGGATACCGAACAGATAAGATAAGCAACCTTGAGGTTTGAGATCGTGCTATCAGTTTGTATATACTATGAGGAAATGGAAGAAAGTAGTCGGGTGTTTGTAACAGAGACGCCGTTTCGTGACCCATTTTACTTAGCAATAGTTTCTCATCTTCTCGTATAGTCCAGTCCAATTACAAATCTGTCTTGTCCAGTCGAGTCAAGTGTCATGTCCAACTTCAACCCTTCATTTCCCTTAACTTTAAGGCAAAATGTTTCCATTTCCCTTCATCCATTCGTAGGTATGTATGTATGTAAGCTCTGCTTTAGTTAGTACGCACTTGTACAATAAGGCACGGAAGGAAGTTAAACATCAAAAAGTGAAATTGTAACGTCACAAATTATCTAGTTTGACAGGTTCTCATAACATCATTTGTTTTAAGAATAGGGGCGGAAACGTGTGCCATTTTTGGAGAGGAATAGATGTTTCAAAATTACGTATAAAAAATAGTTTTAATTAATAATTTGAGTTAATGACTCGTTAAGTTTTTTTGTTAATTTGGGTATACAATTTTCATCTAAATAAATCCGATAGACTATCCAAGCCAAAAGATTTTTGGAACCTTGTAAAATTATTAATCCATTTTTCACTAAAATTTCCAAATTGGCATTAACATTGCTCATTTTTAAACAATATTATTTCCCCGTCTCTCTTCCACGGATAGATATTCGCTTTCTCTTAATTTTATTCCGGCATCATCCCGTTTTAATAATCCACCAGACCCAGCCGACCTAATACTCATTCATGGTTTGTCTGTCTGTCTCTGTTAGTAGGCGCTTATTGCAGTGCAGCCAGTGTAGTCGTTCCCTTTATGTGATCCTAATGCCCCAATTCCAACCAAAATTACCCTATAACACACCATTTCTATTCAAATGGTAATTTAATCCAATTACTTGGACTCTCACATCTTACACAACTCACACAAAATTCTCTCGGATACTGCCAAATCTCCCAAAATGATGCAATAATACTTAAAATATAAAATGTTTTTGCTTTATCATTAACAACTTTGGTTTTGGCGTTGGCTTTCTCTTTGTACTAAAATGTGGCATGGCATGGCGTGACGAGACACTGACACGACATGTGAACATGACATGCCGACATCTTCTCTCGGCATGTCACGTAAATAAAAATATGGCAGAAAAGTGAAACAATTTAGGTTTTCTTGCTTCCTTTTCCGTGGGCAGACGAAAAATATGAAGAGAGTTGTCCTATTTTGAAATAATATGTCTATCTAATCCACCCCCGTAATAATAAATCTTAATAAACGCATATAAAGAAGTAGCTTCAGTCTCACCTCACCCCCAACCACGCCCACGACAAGGTGGGAACACTTAATTTCACTATATTTTATCGATAGGTTCAATTTCAGTAAAAATCTCAGTTTGCCCCCGACCACACCCCCTGGCGCCAAGGGGGGTGGTTCGATTGGCCCCAAAAATTGATACGATCTTCCCCTGGAGTCATATGTATGATGCCGCAAACCGATTTCAATTATCTCGATGCGTTCTCCCGTTATTCTGCTCTCGGACAGACAGACGGACGGACAGACAAAGTCTTCCCATAAAGCAGCTCCAGCTACTTATAATAAGCTGGCGATTTTTAGCTACTGGATTTCCCCCTGAATTTAATGGAATGTTATTGCCCCACTAACAAGACGGCGAGGAGAGAAAGACAGCTTGCTTTATACTCACCCACTTCTTTCCCATGAGTGAAAGTCTTCCATGTGTAACTTTATTTAATAGCATGCACTCCTTTACTACATACTTGGGAGGATGGAAAATTGTTACATAATGGGACCCGAAGTAGTCGCCAACAAAGCGGAGATTATTATTGTATCAAATTTCTCCAATAATAAAATACAATTGTGATGAGAAACTTGTCCCGTAAATTTGGATGAGAAAACCTCGTGAGAAAAGTTTCACCACTGAATTGATGTTCGTCCCTGGGTGGATAATAATCGTATATTATGCCCCCGATAAGTACTTACCACAGCTTCAGTCTCCTGCGTGCAGCTCGTCTCTATATCCCCTTGGCAGGATCCATCTCTGTCTTCTTTAGGAAATGGACTCATTGCATTACTCACTTTCAGCATGGGTCAAAAATTCCACTTTTTGATACAAATGCTGCCCGCCCCACCGGGAGGTAGCGAGATGCAGTGGCCGCGGAAGCTTGAGGGGACAGAGGGACAATGTCCCCACGGTTATTAGATGTCCCCAACATCTCGCCATGTTATACAAACCCCTCCCTCCCCCCACCCTACAATGCCAATGTCCCCACATGTCCCCACAGCTTCCGCGGCCACTGGTGGAGAGATGTATGTACATGGCTCAATTATATTATACTTGCCAAAATTCTCGACCCCGCACTCTTCTTATCACCACGACCCAAGTCTTAGCGCTTTTATGGTGATAAATTCCAACGACGACATGCCATGATCCGATGACCTGAGGACAATTAATGTCATGATGAGCCTTCCTTCAACGGAAGGAATACTGATTTTCTGAAGAAAAGTAGACCTACATAAAAAAACTGGCTATTTCCTTTTTCCCCAAAAGTTATTTGTAGAATTTGGAATTTTACTTAATTTCAGAATTGTAAAAAATTGTATTTTTTCTGATAAATTTCTACTTTTAACATCAAACCAGGCATGAATATTGTTTTATCAAAGTAATAATTGGGTGACTTGTTGGTACTATTTTTTTTGGTGAATTATCACGTCACAAAATTCAGGTCACGTTTTTTGCACTTCTTTGTATGCCGAGGAGTAAGGAGTCGAGTGGATTTCGACTTGTGAAGGGTACCCGGGTAGAAAAATGGTACGAATTAGCGAATATGTATGTACGGCTCTGTGGAATTAGCACACAGGACGAGATGAGAGCGAGTGGGTGGATCGGTGGAACACAGTGGGACTTAAAAAACTTGGATGCTTTTTTTTCATCTTATTGACGAATTGTGTATTCTTATAAATATTTGTAAACATTTGAGATTGTGTTTTGTGAACAGTTTTCTATTTTAAAACTTTCAAAATATTTTTGATTTGCAATTTCTTTAATTTGAGAAAATAAAAATGTGTAATATGGTTAGAGAGAAATTGTCATTTTGAAATGTTAATCTTGTAGCTCAAAATCTGCACACTTCATTTAAAATATTGCAATTATGCCAAAATAAGTACTTATTTTCTGAGACTTCAAAGAACATTTGGATTTTATTTTGTTCAACTTGTTGGCCGAAAGTATAATTATACATTGTTCATATACGTAAAGAAATATAAAGATTTGGAAATATTTGGAGTAAATCAATTGTAATTCATAATTTTGACCAAATTTAGAAATTTCTAATCTAATTTCTCTCGATTTGTACAAAATTTCAAATCAAAAAGCTTGAAATGAGGTAAAAAAAAGTGTTCACAAAATTCTATAACAGTTTTTCTCGATTTTTCTTCTTCCTACAGGAATTTCTCTTCCTCTTCCTCCCTTTTCGTCTCATTCTTTTCATCCTTTCCGCATATAATATGAACTGCAGATATTTGCATCGTAATTTTTCACAAAAAAATGAACCGAAGAAAGGAGGAAACCGGAAATCCTCCCTTAATCCTACCAAAACCGACAATGTGACAAAAGTAGAGTCATGTTTTTCTTCATTGAATTGCATACATGAAAAATATCTGGGAAAATTCTTCATTTTCAAGTGAAATAAAATCAAAGCGGAAAAATAAAAGTTTTGTTATGATCGGAAGTTATTTAATAAAATCCGATCATTTTACTTGATTTGAAACCCGAGTTCCAGAACAGTTACAACTTTTTGAATACGATTTAAATTTCTTTAAATAACTTTATTCTTCCGATGGGAAGCGAATGACAAACAAATCGAAGGAGATGAAATTCATATCAATTTAGGTTCAATTTAGGTTCAATTCATATCAATTCATATCAATTCATTTCAATTTTATTCAGTTTAGGTTTCGATTTCTTTTCAAAATTATACGATTTTGATTTATTGCGACGAGACGAGTAATCTGATTCCAAAGCGCTGAATGCGCCGAAATGTAAAAAAAACTAGAGTGCAGACGTCATCTAGCCCGAGTCAGGGTCAGAGTCCTATTTTTAATTTTTGTCTAACGACCCAACGACTGTCACCAAATTACATTGCTTTAACGACGCCGCTTAAGCTTAATCCTTCTCAATTCAATTGTCATATTTATCTAGCATGAAAATTTATAGTTTTATAGACCAATTTCAAAAACCAGTGTGGGTCACCTTGTTGATACAAATTTGTCGAAATTGGTTTAAGGAATCGTCCGTTAGCGTGTCCTAGACAAAGACACATAGACATACCGGTTCCATAAGCGCTGACTCGGGCTAAAAGCTTTTTACATCACAAACTGCTTATAAGTTCAAGGATTTATTGACTGACAACCGCACTAATTAGATTCATGATTGTAATTAATTTAGCTTGATTTGTTCCCTGTGTCGAATTTTGATTTTCAACATATTAAAAAAACTTTTGTAAATATTGTCTTGTTATTTTATTTAAGAATTAAATAATTATTTGGCAGATTCTCATAACGTCATTTGTTTTAAGTGGAGTTTAAGTTTTAAGTTTAAGTTTTAAGTGGAGATTTGTTTTCAGGGCGGAAATGTGTACCATTTTTGGGGAGGGAAATGCGTCCAAATTACGCATAAAATAGTTGTAATTAATTTGAAAATTATTAATTACAACTATTTTAACTCAAGAGTTAATGGCTTGTAAAGTCTTTTATATTAATTTGGATATAAAATTTTCTCCGATAACCTTTCAAAACAAAAACCTTATAAAATCATTAATCCATTTTTCATCAAAATTTCCAATTTGGCATTGACATTGCTCATCTTGCTAAAAAAATCAGGCATTTAAAAATACAACCCATGATCCACTTTTTACCCCATAATTCAACCACTTTCATCCTAAATGCATACATACATATGTACATACAAATCCCCACTAATTGGCTAGCCTTGAACCCCATTAAAATATTACCAGTTAAATCCGCCCCACTCAAGATCAACAAGACAGACGAGTCAAGGCAAATCTCATTTCATGTCTCACTTTCCCATGCAACTTTCACTCTTTATCAGTGGCCGCGGAAGCCGTGGGGACATCTGGGGACATTGCCATTGTAGGATAGGGGAGGGCGGGGTTTATATAAGATGAGCAGACGATGGGGACATCGAACAACCGTGGGGACATTGTCCCTCTGTCCCCTCAAGCTTCCGCGGCCACTGGGCTTTATCAGGAGCAGCAAATCTCTCAAAACTTATTCGCCACACCAAAAACCAACAACTCTCTTCTCCCAACTAAATTCTGCAAGTTCCACACAGAGCAAAAATTAATTATGCCGAGTCACCCAGTCCGTTACTTTACTTTCACTCCATCCAGCACTTCATTCTGGGTAGAAAAAAAACGTTCTTTTTGACTGATAAAGTAGAAAAAAACTATTTTTTTCGCTTCTTCTCTTATCTTTTTACTTTTCCACTTTGTCCGCACACGACATGTAACAACTTTGTTACTTATTATTATAAATGGTGGTGGTGGTGGTGGTCTGGAAGAAGAAGAACGAGAAATGGCCAGAGTGGGGGGCAGGATGACAAATTCCGGAAGTAATGCAATTCTCCATCCTAGAGGAGAAGAATTAGGGAGATTTTCCTCCCCATTTTCTTGTTACATGGCCAATTATACAGTTTTAGGTTGTAAATATTAATCAAATTCTTGCACATTCGGAGAGAAATGTTTATATTTAGATGAAAAATGTACGATTTTATTGACACTGTGCATAATTAATTGAAAAAATAAGAGAATATTATTGACGAATTTGAAAAAAAGAGTGGAGGAGATAAGTTTTCGGAATTGAATACAAATTTGAATCAGTTTCAATCCAATTTGGAAAATTTGAACGATTTATTAATAATTTAGGCATGTTTGGTAGATGTGCATGCAGGATGGATAAATCTGTAGTGTGGTTTTGTTATTTTATTAATTATTTTACCATGCTGAAGAACCTACTGTTCAGAAACATTATTGACGCATTAGAAAAAAAGATCAGTTTTCAAAATCGGAATCGATCAGAAATCAGAATCGGAATTGAAAATTTTTTCATGATTGCATGAGTGAGCTCAATTTCGGTGAGTCGAGTGAGTTCGATTCCAATTTAGAGAATTTAAAATATTTATTAATTTATTAGACATGTAGATGGAAGGCAGATCGCTAGTTTTAGAATGAGTTTTAATTTATTTTATTAATTATTTTACCACGTTAAAAAAAACTTACTCTTCAGAAACTTAAAAAAATAACGAGAGAAAAGAACAACTCCAAAAAAACATGGGAAAGACAGGAGGAGGACACTTAAAGAAGGAGCAGGACAAGAAGTTTACTACCGGAGGACAGTAGTGAAAGTGGGGATGATAAATGAGCCCCTTTTACCCAACCACACCACTCGACTTGACAACTATCATCCACCCAGGGAAACGAAACCACTGCTGCTGCTAAGTATTTACTGCAGCAATGAATGTCCTTCTGCTTATTTGTTCTTCAGGTCTAGTGTTTCTCGTCAGTGGCCGCGGAAGGGTGTGGCCAATGTCCCCACGGTTGTTCGATGTCCGCATCATCTCCCCATCTTATATAAACCCGGGCCTCCCCAATCCTGGGGACAATGTCAATGTCCCCACAGCTTCCGCGGCCACTGTTTCTCGTCGTGTAAAATGCATGTGATGTGGAACCATAAATTATTCCGGGGGTCTGTATCTATCCACTACTCGCGAACCGTGGGGTAGAACCTGTACCGCTCTCTCTTCCTTCCTCATAAATCTGACAAATGAATCTAAATCCAATCCCTGAACACTGCGGAATTAATCTGTAATAAGGACAGGACAAAAGTAGACCTGTCCTCGACCTGGATTTGCATAGAAAACGGAAATAGTTACACATTTTCAAAATTTTCGGGGATAAAATAATGGCACAAAATTTCCGAAGTATATAAAAAAACATTTGTCATTATTATTTACATAGTGTAGAAAACCAAGAAAGTTACACATTTTCAAAATTTCGGGGATGAAATAATAACGCAAAATTTCCAAAGTATATGTTTGAACAACACTCGTCTTTATTTCGCCACTTGTAAACCGTTATTTTATTACAGGATGAAATCGTCTCTACGATCACGACAGCCCGTCACCTTAAAAAACCCTTTGACATTCACGTTTCCGTAAATAAATGAAAATGAAGACGGTACAACAGCGAGGCAGACTTTCGTCCCACTTTCACCAAATTTACGGAAACATGCCTGCATGCCCAGTAATAACAATTCTTCTCCTTCTTATCATCATCATGATGACAACTTCAACAGCAGCAGCAGAGACACCGTCACCCATTGACTTTCTCTCCACCAAGGCGGCATTATCCGCCAAAAATGGACAACAACCGTCATCACCTCGTTTTACTGGGTTGGATCCGACAACTTTTGCAGAAGTGAGAAATGCAGTGCATGTGGCACCAGGGAAAGCAGATGGTGATCCAGATCTAGATTCACCATCATCATTACAGGGTCAACGAGGTGGATGGAGCGATTCATCTCGTCGTCGTGTAAGCAGCAGTGAAGCAGGTGGTGCTTTCTCCTCGTTATTTCATCACGAAATAGATTCGCAGAAATATTTCAGGAATGTGAACATAGTTGATTTCACTTCCGGAGAGGAGGAGAAAGTTGTGCAGATCAGGAGCAGATTTAAGAGAAATGCTCTGATAACGGCGTCCTGTCCGCTGGGGACGTTCGAATGTGCAGCCGATGCTACGTTGTGTGTTCCACAGAATGCGATTTGCAATGGGTGAGAGGATTTGTAAATGTAATAATGACGGGAAATGTTGTCTAAAATTGTTATGTTGCACCGTTTTGAGCTTATTGCCGTTTTAATTTTTTGAATTGTAAGTTTCGAATCAATAAGTGGTAACAATTGGTTAAAAACATGCAGTTTTTAACAGTTTTTGAGACAACCTTCAAACATTTAATTTTTACTTTTTACATTTTGTTCTGGTATTGTTCTTCCAATTTCAAAATGACTTTCGAAAACGTAAACAAATAAATAACACAAATTCTGAACTTATGAATCATTCTTTCTTTCTAAATTTTGTCAAAATTTGTTCATTATTTTTGCACGGTAAATTGTACTAACTGTTTTTAGAAAGCTATGTAAATATGCAAATAAGCTGTGAAAAGTGGCAAAACCAACGATACATATTTGCTTGTCTAAAATTTTGTAGAGCCCTATCGTTATTTTATATGATTTTTTTGTGTTCCATTGATAACATCCGTATTAATTAATTGGATCAAAAGATTGCACCTATATAGTTTAACTATTGCTTATTTTAACAGTTACAATTAATTTTTAATGGCGTTAAACTATTTTAAAAATCCATCAATTTGCATGATCTGATTTTTAAAATTTTGTCACAAATTGACACACTTTCTTTTTACCAACAGGAAACCAGATTGTCCCGATGGTTCCGACGAGGATCAGTGTGGTAAATAATGTCTTGAGAGAAAATCTTCTCACAAAATTCGCACTTCACTTCCTCCTGTCCTTCCCTCTTTTTACACTTTCTCTCTTCGTCCTTTGTATGCAAAATTTAACATAATTTTCTCATCTTCTTCCAGAAAACAAGCACGATAAGCAATTTTGGGATAACTTTTTCCAAAAACGACCAGGAGCCGATGCCGGGAAGAATGATACTTGCAAATGTGAGTGAGCCTAAAAAATATGGGATTCAGATTTAACTCATCGGCCCAAACATTACCAACTTTCTCGCTCTTTTACACACACGAAACGACCATTTACACCCCGTAAAAATCAATTACTAACTTCCCCCATCAGTGGCCGCGGAAGCCGTGGGGACATTTGGGGACATTAACATTGCAGGATAAGGGAGGGAGGGGTTTATATATGTAACATGGGGAGATGATGCGGACATCGAACACAGGTGGGGACATTGTCCCTCTGTCCCCTCAAGCTTCCGCGGCCACTGTCCCCATAAAAACCCCACGTCAGTGGCCGCGGAAGCCGTGGGGACACTAACATTGTAGGATAAGGGAGGCCGGGGTTTCTATAACATGGGCAGATGATGCGGACATCAAATAACCGTGGGGACATTGTCCCTCTGTCCCCTCACCCTTCCGCGGCCATTGTCCCCCATAAAAAATCTACATTTCTCTTCTCACCCAACACTTTCTTTCCCCCCCAAAAAAAATGAAAATGAAATCTTAAAAGCTTGCAATGAATTTCAAATAGGATTCAATTTTTTCCCCTTCCTCTTCTTGTAATCAGATCCAACTCTTAAGAAAACCGAGGAACATGACAAACACCCCGAAGAAGAATCTAGCAAACTACCCAGTGAAAGTGAATGTCAGTGTTCGGGTGAAAAGTTATTTTGCCATAATCTCCACCACCTCAATCTCTCCCTGATTCCGGACGGAGTCATATTTCTGTAAGTTTCGCAAATATTATTATTCTTGGAAGAGAGACCTACTTTTGGCAAAAGTTTACATAGATTTTCTCCAACAGCCTGTGTGCTGGGTGGGATAGATAAGCATATCAAACATACATGTAGATAATCCATGCATATATTTGCATATACGGAGTCATGTGAGGTGGTAAGAATCAGGCCGTAAATCAATTAGCTTAATGGCTCCACCTTGGTTTCCGCAGGTGGTAAAATAATTAGTCGGGCTGGTCGAGGTCTTCATTTCTTTGCTCAGATGTGATCCGAATTCGGATGAATTGTTGAATCGTACAAAATTTAGGGGAGGCATTAATCTCACGGAGTTTTGGCCCTTCGGGTTATTTAATCAGGGATGCCACAAAATTAAAACTTTCGCCCACTTTCTAGTGTTCTACTCTAGTGCAGTTTAATGTAATGAAATACTCTGTGTGGTCAAATACGTAAGTTTTGTCCGTATTTTGAAATTCTGATTCCTTTGATGACATTAAAATTCGGATGAGTGAGTAAGTATAGAATGTCATAATTTCGGAAATTGTCTCAATTTCCCCGAGTGAATTGCCTGTGAAATTAAGCCTGTGGTCAAATCTAATATCCGTAATTGGTCAAAAACAAATGATTTATTGCAGATTTAACAATTTATTATATGCTCATGCTTTGATCCATCCAACAGTGTCGAAAATGGTGAATTTGCTGAAATGTTTCGTGGAAATGGTGGTGGTGGCTGGTTTATTCTGAGAATTCTTCGTGTCAGACTAGAATTTAAAGTAGGAAAGGACTAAACAGACGGCGGGGGAGAAGAGCTACTAAAATTTCTTGTCCTTATTGCAGCGACTTGAGTGGAAGTGGAGTCGACAGTGTCGATTTCACGGGCGAGGGGACACGCTTTCACCAGCTCAACACTCTGTAAGTTGAAGATCTCAAGTTTCTCTCTTCGGGCTGCTTTAACTTTTTTCTGTTCATGTTAAATATGTGCATGTGCAAATATGTACTTTTATATACCTTTCTCAGTCAGCTATTGGATATTATTTGTTGAAGGAAAATCATGTCAAGGATAATTTAATAAAAAATATCAATTTTTTTACATAAATTGTTTGATAACTAGATTATTTGTAAGAATTTTGGTAACTTGATAGGGTTTTTGACTACTTGGAGAGTGTAAAGAATGGATTTCTGGTCATGTTAAATATGTACATGCACAAATATGTATGTACCTTTCTCAGCTATGGGATATTATTGAAGGGAAATCATGTCATGGATAATTCAATCCCGAAAATCAATTTTTTTAATAAATTGAAATTACTAGATTAGTCAATTATTGAAAATTAGGCAATTTGGTAGGATTTTTCACTACTTTGTGATTGCGTAAAGTATGAGACTTTATATTAAGTAAGAAATACGTTGAATTTCAGTATCAAAATTAATTTAGCTGAAAATGCTTGTTTGGGACTCCGAAAGCTAAAATTTAGAAATTTTTAAGTAGCTTTAAAATCGACAGATTTAGTTTTTGGAAGTTCGATGATTCCAAATTAGTTACAAACAATTACTTCGAATACTCTATACATTTCCTTAAAAAAATCTGAAATTTTCCAAAAATTATTTTCATCTGCCCAAATAGTAGGGATCCAAATCCAGTTAGCAAATTAGCAAGTTAGCAATCCAAGCTCGTAAATTAAGCCTCAAATTTCCGTAAATTCTTGTAAGTTTTGAAGGACGAGTTTGAGATTACATCTTGCACGAAGGAAGGAAGGGTATAAAATATTTGCCTCTCAGAAGCTTATCCTGTGTGCCTATCGAAAAGAGAGGACAGGAAGTTGGCAAGTGCATTTCTTACTGCGATTACTCCGTTACTGCGGTTTCTCTCTAATGCAAATTATGATACGACCCAGAGTCTCCGTCTTCTGCTCAAAATCATATTTTGAATTTAGTCAAGTTTTCGAGCTTGTAAAATTAGGTCAGATGTAAACATGATGTTGGACGAAATGATGTAAAATGACTAGTTTGCCGTTATTTTGTGTAGGAAGTCAATTTTGAAAAATTTATGTTTCGAGATTTTGAACCTTATGATTTAATTATCTAAACTAGTTTTAGTTATTATTAAAATTCACTTTTATCAATTAATGGCGTCGCATGTATTACATGCTCATATTATTTTGTTAATGTCTAAAATATTATAAAGAAAGGTTTTTTTAAAAAAATACAGAATCCTGTCGAGCACAAATCTTCAAGAAATACGACCCAACGACTTCACCAGTTTGATCCTCCTACAAATCCTGTAATTCAACCTGCCCCTTTATTAGCTCTCTTAGCTCTCTCTTTATTTTTAGCCCGAGTCAGGACTTATGGAACCATCATATGCAGTCTGCCCGTCGGTCTATCTCGTGATAACTCTCGCTAAACTCATTCCATCGACTAGAAATTTGAGGACAATTGAGACAAATGAGGAGTTACATAAGTTTGAAGATGAGAATGAATTTAGAAATAGATTGTGACCCTGACTCGGGCTAACAACAAGTCAAAACTGCACACTATAGGTTTTTAAAATGTAATAATCTCCCCTAAATTTATAGCCACTTGACCGGAAATAATTTAAAAACCATTCCACCAGGAGCATTTTCCACCACCAAGAAATTAAAAAAGTTGTATTTGGGCTACAACCAGATCGCAACCCTTGATCCTGGATCGTTTCACGGTTTAACAGAACTGGAAGAATTGTAATCAACATTGAAAAAAATATATTTGGCAATAATTTCGCCAAAATGCAAAATCTTAAACTTTTATTCACAGAGATTTACGCCACAACAAACTCAAATTCGTCACGACGGATCAAAAATCTCCAACTTATTTCTTGGGACTGTCAAGTCTGCGAATTTTGTAAGAAACAAAAATTGCAAATAAAAAGTTGGCAAAAATTTCCAAGTAGAATTTCCAAGTAGAAATAAATATTAATGTCTGTTTCAGACATTTGAGTAACAACGAGCTGGAATTCTTAGGACCGGATTATTTTCTCGGGTTGGAAAATTTAGAACTGCTTTCACTCACGAGGAATAAAATATCTTCAATTTCACGAAACGCGTTTGCCAATTTGTCCTCGTTAATTCATCTGTAAGATTTTGTTGGAAAAGTTAAAATTAGTCATGATTTCCATTTAAAAATTTTAAAATTTTGAAATTTTTTCTTTTTAGATATTTAGCCTACAATAGATTAGAATCCTTGGAAGATGAGCGATTCTGTAGTTTGAGATCCTTGCTGAACTTGTAAGTCAAAAGTTTAAAAAATTAAAAACTTGCATATTTTTATTTACTCAAGATTTGCATAGGAATTTATAGAATCATATTTTTGTGAAGTTTCCGTAAATCAATTTTTTTGCCAAAAATTTCCAGAAATTTAAACAACAACGGGATTAAACATATTTCTCCTGACTCGTTCGTCTGCCTGGATTCACTTCAATCCTTGTAAGCCTTATTTACTCGCATACATCAATTTCCATCAAAAACGACACAGTCCTATTTTCCATGCAATTCCCTCGTCTAAAACTGCACATTAATTAATTAATCATTTCATTTCATCCTTCGTGGCCAGAGTCCTTGAACAAAACAGATTTGGTGAGCTGGAAAATCCATCCCGGATATTTGCTAATCTCACCGAACTCCAGTACATGTGGGTTCCGTAAACACGTTAATAATCAATAAATTTGCATAATGCTTATCTAATTGATACCCACGAAACCAGCTACTTTGACCAATTTTGGATGTGCGCCTGGGCTCCGCATGTCCGTTCATGCACGCCAAAAGGGGACGGGATATCCTCCGTGGAAAATCTCCTCGATAACGTCATCCTCCGAGTCTGGTACTTGTCACAATTAGTTAAATATGGCAATAATTACAGTAATTAAATATGCAAATAATTAACTACTTAACCAGCGTATGGATCATGGGCATCGTTGGCGTGGTTGGGAACGGTTTCGTAATCCTGAGCCGTCTCCTCGTCCGAGAGAAGAATCGGGTGCACTCTTTCTACATAAAAAACCTCGCTTTTGCCGACCTTATCATGGGCTTATTCCTGTTAAGCATTGCTTATCATGATGTCCTATTTCGGGGCAATTTCCTTTCTCAGCAGCATACGTGGCGACACTCGTTGACGTGTCAGTGGTCAGGTAAAAATTGACATGGAAATTTTCTCCAGTCCAGGATTTCTGACCATCTTTTTCTTATTTCCAGGCCTACTGTCCACCTTATCGTCCGAATCGTCCGTCCTGATTCTCACCTTGATCACGTTGGATCGTTACCTGTCCATCATCAAGCCGTTCTCGGAGCGGAGAAATGCCATGCTGCCAGCAATCAGTGTCATCTCGGTGTTATGGACGGTCTCATTTTTGCTTAGTTTTGTCCCACTTTATTCACTTTTTGAGGGTTATTTTGGCCCTTATTTTTACACCTCGAACGGACTCTGTCTTCCGCTTAATATTCATAATCCGTTCGATTCAGGTAACTCAATAAAATGGGAAAAGGAAGACATGATTTGATGATTTTGTCTCAATTTTTGACAGGTTGGGAATATTCCTTTTTTCTCTTTGTGGTCATAAATTCCTTCGCGTTTGCCTTCATTTGCTACGCGTATTATAAAATGTTGAGGATTATTCAGACTTCGACGACCTCGATACGAAGGTATTTATATGCTTAATAAGTAATTAATTGTCGCAATTATGTGGTCAAATAATAATTACGTCATTACTAAGCACGCAACAAAAGCAGGATGGCATGTTAGCCATGAGATTTGGGATCGTCGTGTTGACAGACTTTTTATGCTGGGCACCTGTCATCGTGTCGAAAACGTTGGCAATGTTGGGTAAAAAAGTGACACATTTTTTTTTTCAAAATTCAATAAATTGATTTATTATTTTACATAAATTTGTAGGTGTTCCAATTCAGTCGGATTTTTACGCGTGGCTCGCCGTCTTCGTCCTTCCTGTAAACTCGGCCATAAATCCGATAATTTACACGTTAACCACCAAACTTTTTAAGCAACAGGTAAAAAAATATCAAACTTACGTCAAAAATTTTGACTCGAAATTCAAAATTCTGAAAAAATCATGATTTTATTTTTTCAGGTGTCCCATCTCACCTTGGGCGTTCGAAAACGCTTGGGCATGGCCACCGATGACTCTACAACTTCATCGCTCTACTATCGCAACCGGATTTCTCGGGTAATCATGAAATCGATACGTGCTTATGCGTATATTTACATAATCGATAACTTTTACTGCATTTTTGTTTCTTTTCAGACCCTCAACACTTCTCTGTCTGGATCCATAATGCATTCGACGAAGGGTCCTCCAAACGGCTCTGTGACGACACGACATCAAGCCAGAAATAGGAACAGATACACCGTCAGCGCCATAAATTCCGTGATTGCTTCATCTACCGGGATCCAACTTCCGGCCGGTGGCGGCGGAGGTGGAGGTGCTGGTGATTCCAGCATTTCTGAGGACGATGGTGGTTATCTGAACGGTGCTGGTGGTGGTCCTGCTGTTGGTCAACATTTTTCCCTGCAAACGTTACGAGAGGATGATGATGTCGACAACGTGGAAATGTGTGACCCAAGCGGGCTGCCCCCATACTTTACAGATATTGATTTGACCTCGCACACGAACCAGGAAGAGGAGACTGTGACGTGAAGAATGAAATACACCTTATCGGATCATGACACTACATAAATATGGATAAGTTGGTTATCCTCCAGAGGGTAATTTAATATTGGAGGAAGAAATGTTTATTGTTGTGTAATCTTGGACTTTCTCCCAATCGAGGGAAGGAGAGAAACTAATCGAGTGCAAAGTAGAAGAGAGGCCAGGACAAGTTTTTATCAAATCGGATTAAAAGTTGGGTTGCTTTCAGTCAATGAGGGCTAATTTATAGGGGAGGGAAGTAAAGCTGGCTTGATTTAGGAAATAATAAGTGTTGATTTCTAGAAAGGTAGTGATTCAAGTTATCAATAATCGATAAGCCAGGATAAATTGTTAGCGCTACTGAATTTAATTGGTGGAAATTTTAGCAATTCGTATTAGTGATTGGCGACATGTTTCGAAAAACTTTTCGAAATTATTAACAGACTTTTTTAATTTTTGAGAAAGCTGTGCATAACCATTTATTATGATGTTATTGCGAAAATTAGTTCGTATCATAATTGCCCTCAAACCTCGCAAAAAATAGAAAATTTGGTTTTTGCAATAATAAAACTTGAAAAATGTGTGATATAAAACCTTGCGATAAATCTTTAAAATTTCCGAAATAAAATAAAATAAACCAATTTAATCACCAATCACCACAAGTCAACTAATTAATCATCATCCCATCCGCTAATTATTATAATTACCCATTGCGTAATCTCTTACATAACGTTGCATCAAAACACACCATAAATCCTTCCAAAAATTCATCACTAGATTTAACTCCATTATTTACTTATCAACAATTTTCTCCGTTTTGTCATCTCCAAACAAATCTTCATCATCATTTGGACGATTAGCGCAAAAAGTGAGGGACCATAAATAACAATAAAAACACGTAAACAAGTGAAGCGTAGTAGGAACCAGTGGCCGCGGAATGGTGTGGGGACAGAGGGACAATGTCCCCACAGTTATTCGATGTCCCCATCATCTGCCCATCTTATATAAACCCCTCCCTCCCCCATCCTGCAATGTTAATGTCCCCACATATCCCCACAGCTTCCGCAGCCACTGGTAGGAACAAGCAGGGAAAGTTGCACACCAACAATCCAATTGTTCCCCGAAGAATGATGAATGATTTCCTCACCGAAAAAACTGGCAACAAAACATCCTCAGCAGAAAAAAAACAGTGACAAAACACGGAAGATTTCCCCATTCAGAAACTTCAATCTCATAAAATACGTAGAAAAAAGGGTTCCAATTTACGTAATGAAAATTTCCCATTGTCATCAAATTTCCAATTTCTACCTCTGTTCGCGAAAAAGTGGCGAATTCCTTTACTTTTAATGATTTGTGTCGTGTGTGCCGACGATGCAGTTTGTTATCCTTGTTTTTTGTCTGTCTGGTCTGGTCGGTTTGGGTCAGAAAAAAATGGATGTCACCTTTTTTTCAGGGTACAAAAGTCCTACCCGTAGAGTAGAGTAAGTTAGTTAACCATTCTATTTAGTTTGAGCAACTTTCTCCATCAACCATTAACCAGTTTTTCAGAGAAATGCATGCAAGAGAGGGCAGTGGCCGCGGAAGCCGTGGGGACGTGTGGGGACATTGCCATTGTAGGATCAAGGAAGCAGGGATTTATATAAGATTGGAAGATGATGCGGACATAAAATAACCGTGGGGACATTGTCCCTCTGTCCCCTCAAGCTTCCGCGGCCACTGCAAGAGACGACCTCGATCTGGTCCACGTTACGTACATATGCATCCAGTGGCCGCAGAAGCTGTGGGGACATTAGTATTGTAGGATGTTGGGGAGGAATGGGTTTATATAAGATGGGTAGATGATGGGGACATCGAATAACCGTGGGGACATTGTCCCCCTCTGTCCCCACACCCTTCCGCGGCCACTGCATGTACCTCCGTAGGCCATGTTACTTACTTTCTCCCCCGAAAACTTTGTCTCTCTCCTTAATCCTTATTGTCCTCTGTCCTCGACAATATCAACTCCTTCTGGACCTTGTCATCATTTGTTAGTTTCGTTTCCTTAAATCACCCCACTTATTTATTGTGACGGGCTCCCCTCGAGGCGACCAAGGGGACACATCCACAGTGTCAGAAACAAATGTAAACCACATGTCCTTATTTACGTCATAATTCTTACGTAATGGGAAATTTTTGGGAACTATGATTCCACCCCTTTTGCCAAAAAATATGTATGTAAGAAATGGATTTATTCGTGTGTGGTCATAAGTAGTTTACGTTTTCTTCTTCTTCTTCTCATGTTTACAAAGGCGGAATGGAGATAAATGATCAAAACCTATGTAGTAATGGAGGAGTTCCTGGTTGAACTTGTAGTAAAATCTGATTTATGTAGTTGCACTGCACTAAATTTAATAAATGACCGCTCTCCAGGCATGTCAAGGTTTGGATTAGTGCAAGTGAAATTGTGGGAGGCAAATAAATATTGACGGAATTGATGAATTGCGGTGGAGTTTGGCGCCGATGATGCAATAATGGAACCGTAATTTGCATTATTTGCAAAATCGATGAATTGCAGAGTTTGGCGTCGACATTGCAAAATTCGGATCAATAAAATTTGTAAGGGAACCTAATTTGCATATCAAATTGCAAATTATTGATTTGCTAGTTCATGTAAATATGTCATTTTCTACAAATTATTACCTTTACGTCGAGTGATCCATTACTGCTGATTGATAACCATCGACCACAACAATTGTCCTACTTATCCTCTCGATAAATCTTCCCCGATGGGACACAGACGTAGGTAAGTAGACCACCACCGGAAATCCCGTCTCTTCCTTCCCCTCGCGTTAAGTTAAGTGATGTCACAACTTTTACTTACTTACCTTAAGAAGGATGCAATAATAACGATGGAGCCACGGTTCATTAAATCTCCGTCTCGCCCACCCAGCAGATTATGGATAACGTGCAAAAAAAAAGTTTGCGAATTTTTTTCCCCACAAATCCTTTGTGAAGATTATCGATTTACAAATAAGTAATTGCGATAAGTACTTACTTATATTTAATACCGAGATTTGTTAACTTATCGTCGGATGATTATTATAATCCGTGACATGTCGTGACACAAAAGAGGAAATTACGGGGTCCTAAACTTTGCGAATTATACAACTTATTACTTCATCACTTACTTAGGTTTAGGTCTTTTCTCAGCAAAAGAAGAGTGAAAGCTCGCTCTTCAACATCGAAATCGAGTCGAATATGAGGGAGGAAAATAATATGAAAAAGTTTTCCGTTTCGTGGATCAAGTCTTTAGTCTGGTTGGGAGTGAGTGAAGAGGTCATAAATCAAATTAGTTATCATCTTTCACCCAAACTCACATCATTATTGTGGTTTTTCCACCCACAAATCCAGTGGTATCCAGTAAAATGCGGCCAAATGTGGGCATTGTGTTTTGTTTGTGTTCTTTCTCCTACCCGGAAATAATGGATGTAACGATTTCCATTGAGTATACAATATTTTATATGTTTTTATCGTTGTTTTGTTGTCCTCGATTTTGGGTAGAATCGATAATTGTGACTTTATTTATAAAGTGAGGGAATGTTTGTGGAAATATTTATTTGGGAAATATATTTTTTGGGGGTGAAACATTTCAGGGTTAAAGTTGTGGAATATAACCTCACCATTTTTGTGGTGAAAGTGGAAACAGAGCTTTACTTTTTGTCCGTCTCATTTTTCCCAATTCCTACCTCCTGTCTCATTTTATCAGTTTCTACACCTCTTTCTCCGTGTCTCACCTTCCCCACCTTCGAACTGGCTCACTCATTCTCGAATTGTGTCATAAAATACACTGCCAAATAAAAAAAGTAGCGATTTGGTTTCTTTCTGTATGACACGTTCTATATATGTAATGACACGTTACAATGCAATAAATGTCATCATATTGACGCCTTGATATTACTAATCGTATGTCTATAAACATTTGAAGTATATCTACTTTTATTAAAGGTAGACAAACTTTTGAAAATGTAAAAAGTTTAATCTAGAGGCATGCTAAAAAAACTTTGAGGAATGCATGTCCCACTTTTATAACGGGTCGTAATTCGGGAAGTGATGATGCCGATGCAGTAAATACCTGTCAAGTTCAATGAAACACTTCAGCATCAGCAAAAACAATTATTCGAGCATTATTTTAATTTTTATTTAATATCCATCTCACGAAACTGGAGTCGTACGGATCTAATACTTTTTTTTAAAGATTTTATCATCACATTTATTCCTTTTCGACGTTATTGTCCCTCAAAATACTAAACTTTAACGTAAAATGTAAATATTTTTTAAATCGTATGGTAAGCAATTAATTAATTATTTATTTATCAATTATCTACGACTGCGCCCTAGCCAGCCCTCCCCGACAATACCCGAAGGCACACCCCATCATATATTTAACTAAGGTGGCCATCCTCTTCGGATTCGAGGACGTCCCAAGCGCCGTGTTCACCTCGATAAATTCCATCGACACAATGTTCACCGTTTCCTGCACTACTTCAAAAAACGTCATCGCCTCGCGAAGCGTTAAACCACCGGGTTCTATAACAAAAAATATCAAGCTTAATTTTTTTTCAAAAAATTTACCAAAAAAATAAAATTCCTAATTTACATACCCGGTGTCCCAGTTTGTCCCCCAATTTCCAAGTCGTCGAGGACATCCACATCAAACGATAGATGGACAGGGCGCTCCCCATTCGGCGAAATTTTAGCCAAGGCGCGTTTCGTAACTTCCATGATTCCCAAGCGATCAATATCTCGCACGCCGAACGAGTTGGTTTTAAACTTGGTGATAATTTCGCTGTAAAAATAATTACATGTAATTAAATTCCTGAATTTATACCTTGTTTTCTTATTCAGTGGCCGCGGAAGCTTGAGGAGACAGAGGGACAATGTCCCCAGGGTTATTCGATGTCCGCATCATCTACCCATCTTATATAAACCCATTCCTCCCCAACATCCTACAATGTTAATGTCCCCACATGTCCCCACGGCTTCCGCGGCCACTGTTCTTATTACATACGTTTCTCCCGGGTCGACAGATCGGAGTCCGATGTGCGCCACGTTTTCGGCAGCGACACGCGGTTGAATGAAGTCAAAGTCCTTCATTTCTGGCGTTTTCATGTCCGGGCTTAATTCCTTGACGGCGAAGGGGATCGTCATCCCGTGAAGGTTGCCGGAAGGAGAGGTTTTGACCGTGTTGATATCTGCGTGCGCGTCCAAGTATAAAATCGCCACGTTGGGATGCACGTTCGAAATCCCGTTAATCGTTCCGATCGTGATGGAATGGTCGCCCCCGACGGAAAGAACGATCCGACCGTCCTTCGCGATGGCTTCGGTTTGATCGGAAATCTAAGAAAAGTGCGAAAGAATGTTAAAATTGTGCTTATCAATTCTGTATTTCGTGGGTAAAATTGTGCTTATCAATTCTGTAATTCGTCGCTAAAACCGTATCCCCACCTTTTTTGCCGCCTTTGCGACATCGACAATGTTCCAAACCCCCTCCGCCATCTCTTTTGTCTCATTTCCCACGGGGGTTCTGACTCTGGGTCCAACGTCGAAAATCATGTCGCCATAATCCTTCACGTCGACGCCTGCCTCGTCTTTGAGATATTCAATTATTCCCCCGTTTCGTAAGTACATTGGTCCAGTTTCTGTTCCTGGGCGAGGATTCCCACGCCCAAATGGGAGCCCTTGCAGTCCTACTAACATCTCTTTTGGACCTTTTTTCACAAATGCGGCAGAATTTACGGTGGCGATGAGGTAACTCGTCAGGAAGGCGAGGATGTAATTATTTCGCAATTTCGACATATTAAAAAAATCAAAATAAAAAATACTTCAGAATTTTAAAAACAATTCAGAATTTTTTTTTAATTTGCGGAAAAGATTTGCAAATTTTAAATCAAAATCGTAAGTGATACCTAAACCGGAGAAAAATGTGGCTTTATATCCATTCCACCATTGTCACGGGGACTCCAATTAAAAGTTTCTTTTAATTGGAGTTAAACTTATTCAGGTTTTTTTAAAACTATTTCACAATCAGTTTCAAGTTCATATTTAATAAAGTTAAGCAAGTAATTAATGAAGACAATCCATAAAATTTACATACAGACAGACAGACTTGTTACATATTTAAAATGTAGACATTGCCAAGGTCAGTTTATTGTTAAAACCCACTTGTGCAACTAAAGTGTATCAATGGTAAAAGTGAAGTCGAAAGTGAAATGATACCTGAATCATCGTAAAAGACAATAGGTATTGTTTTAAAATGGGAAATCTTCATTTAAATAAATTGTTGCGCAAAGAAGTCATAAAAATTAATTAATTAAAGCGTTAAAACTTAGATATCAGTTTAAGCAACAATGAATTCAAGTATCTAACACAAAGTTTAGTAACAATGAATGAGTTGCGGTACGGGTTTTTAACTGAATTATGTAATCATAAAATGGGATTGCGATTTTCGGGAAGTTTGTTTAAAAAATGACAATTTTTATGGAGAATTTTGTTTTTTTGAGAATGATTTATTTCCAAAATTTATTCAAACATTTCATTCAACATGCTATTCATTCCATTGCCTTTTTGTTTGAAAAACGGTTCATGAATATTACAGAAAACGTGTGTCTTCATTGTTATCGTGAATTCATGCTTTTATTTCCACGTAATAAATACAGTACAACAAAATTTCCATGATTTATTGGCGAGTTGATTTATGTCTTGTGATTTCAGCATGTGTAGCCTGTTGTTGTGTGTGTCACCTTATCGTACTCATTGTCCTCCTGAGTTTTTTCTTGTGTGTAAAGCCAACAAAACGCAGAAAACGAACGTTGTTGATGATGAACAAACATTGAATTTATGTAGTATTACAAGTCAACAAAAGGATGACAACCCGGTGAATAAATAAACTGTGAATTAAAGTTTAGGAATGCAATTTAATGTGGGATTTTCTGATGCATTAGTTATGCAAATATTGATAAAATTCGTGTTTATTTGCCCAGTTTTTGCGGAAAATTTCATGACAAATGTTAAATCAGTTTCAATCTTGAAATTCGTGTTTTTTTAGACACATACAAATTATTTGCTGTTAAAAAACATTCATCCAAAATATGTTGCATTTTGACAACGAAAGCTTGATTTTTATAAGACTTATATTAACGTAATAAGCAAAGATTTTAAAAGTTAAATAGTAAGAATGGGCGATGAATACAATTATTAGAAAAATCCATCGAGAAATTATATTTTTTATTTCCAAAAATTATTTTAGAAAATAACATTTCATTTTCTCACATTTGTTCCCTAAACGTTCCAACTTTCTCCCGTCTCTGGTTCTCATGTCTCAATCGGAGTGGGAGAAAGTTGTGACGGGACCAGACCACCCGGAGCGAAATATTTTTCACTAGCTAATTGGTCACTTAAATCCGACTTGGATAAATTTCGTCTCTATTTTTTGTGTGACCCTGAGACAAGGTAAATTACCCTTCTTATAACTAACCTATAGGACATCGGCTAGTAGCATAGCTTACGTGGTGGAATGTGCTATCTCACGTTTTTTAGGGTGTTTCATCTCTCCCAAGTTGTAGACACTGGCCGCGGAAGGGTGGGGACAGAGGGACAATTTCCCCACGGTTGTTCGTCCCTCCATGTTATTTAAACCGTTAGTGTTAATTTCCCCAGAAGTCCCCACAGCTTCCGCGGCCACTGGTTCGCAGATATGGGAAATATGTACAATGGGATAGCACACAATGCACCTCTCGTCATATTCGGTGAAAACTGAAAACCTCTAAACCAAAAAGCCTACCCGATTTGTCCCGGAACTAAAAAATAACAGACGTGTTCCTTTTCTTGTTCTGAGACATTACTTTCTACGGAATTCGTGGTCACATTTTCGTGATTTGTTTTAAACTGGGAATTCATCTTCTTGGGACAAAAAAGGCCTATCATTCGTGCTGAAATGAATAATTTGAGGGGCAAAAAAGTCATTAACCCTTTCAATAAATTGTTACTGGTCAATTTAGGTTATATTGTTTGAAAGCTTGGAATAATGTTTTGAAATTCGTAATCTGAAAATATTACGCCAACGTTTTTTCTGTTGGAGTGGGCGGATTGGCTTCGTCAAAGTCATGCTGCAGCCAAAAAGTCGGACAAGATTTCATTGAGAATTCGGTAACAATGAAGTTGCACGGCAGATTCACTTCCTTCTTTCCAAAATAACACATTGTTAGAAAATATATTCCTCTTTTTGTGTAAGAAAGAATCGATCTTCAACTTTGAACGCAGTTTATTTATGTTATGAGCGGGTGGGATGGAGCTTGTTTATCTCGTGGCGTAATTTATCATGGCATCATCAACCACTCAAATCCTCCCCCTCTCCCCCAAAAAATGAGGATATGAAATGCAATTCAAACTGAATTATTGACATTTAGCTATTTCTCATAGCTTTTGTTCCTTTGAGTGAAAAAAATATTGACATGACGGAAGTTTTTTTTATCCCGTGAATTGTGCGAATTTTTTGACCTGATTTCCTAATTTTTACAAAAAATACCTTAAAATTTGCTATCGTTAATTTGAATATGAGAAATTCAGATTTTTAATTAATTTCAAGTATCAACCAATTTTTCTGCATTATTGCTTCAACGGTGTAATTTCAATGTTGCAAAAATCCTTCTCTTTCTTCCCAGAGAGAAAATTGTCCTTGAATTTTGTAATCGATTCAGAATCAACCTGATCAAAAATTGATAAAACTAATTCATAATTTCTTAATTAATTTTATGTAATTAATTCCTTTACTTGAATAAGCCCCGAAATTTTGAGATGTTTCAACTCTTCCAATCCACTGAATCCATACTGAAGAGAAACACTGGTAAATTTTGGCCCGACATATTCCAAACTGCAATACTGCAAAGCTGAAAGGGCAAATTTGTGAAATTCAATAATATTTGATAAGTAAATTAGATCTTAGATCAAGCTTTTCATTCGTTGCACACATTTTAAAGAACTGAATGAAATTCGCTTATCATTATTTTTTTCCGTGGTCCGATCATCTGACGCCGGTGGCGACACAGTGTCGACATCATTATTAGGAATATTTGCCACCTTTTTCCCTCCTCCCAACTTGCGAACCTCCACCTCCCCCTCGGAAAATCCAGTAATTCCACAATCCGTGACGAAAAAGAGGTTTCCTTTCACATCGAAATGTTTCAACTTGTTCAACTGACCGAGGATCAGCTGAAGACCGAAATCGTTCAGGATTGCCCATCTTATCAAATCTTGTCCCGATGCTTTTAACCCGCTCGCACTATCGCGAATGATAAGCGTGACCAGGTTTGGGTACGAGGCGACGAGTTCGCTCATGTGGAAGAGCGCTTTGTGCGAAGAATTTCCCACGGCAGGGGGTCGTTCGTCAATAATCCATAAGTCTTGGACTGCTAACGGAGACGCGGATGCATTCGTGGTGGTCGACGTGGCGGCAGAGATGCCATACTCTGGGAAGTATTTTCCAATGGGGCTGACACAGTGCCCTTTCTGGATGGGAAAAAGAAGAGAGTTAGCGAGTCATAGAGAAGGAGCGAGCGCTCAGTTCAATGTCGGACTGCTTCATGATCATTAGTCGTCGTTTTTTGTGTAGATATTTTTAAACGTAAGTACTTATCATACAATTATTATTAATTCACTAAGATTTCTTAATACGTGTGTGACACAGTTTCTAATTTAATCGTGTATCTTATTATTATGCAGGTAAACCATGAGTGATCACTCTAGCGACGATGATGATGATTTCGTCAACCCTCCCTCTTTCTCGAAAGAAAAGACTCCAGAAACGCCATCCACTTCCTCCAAACGGAAATTAACCACTCCCACCAGTAGTAAAGCAAAAGCGCCAAAGAAGAAGAAGGTGGATGACGACGACGACGATGTAAAGGAAGAATTGCAAAGTTTCAAGTAATTTTTAAATTAATGAATATCATGCGTGAATATGACAGCATTCACTTTGATAATTTCAACAGATATCTCAAGCTGGACTCGGTTGATGATGACGATGAGGAAGAACTCGTTTCCAAAAATGAGTGGCGAATGGTAGAGGGAGCAACGAGATATTTAAGAGGTCAACCTACCAGTCCCCCCGAACGAGGTTATGTGAATAGGAAGATTGATCTGCGCGAGGATAAGAAAGACATTGCGTGGTGGCAAATTAGTAAGGCTCTGAACACCAATAAGAAGTTGTCGGATAAGTCTGAAGGCAAGAAAAATTACTTCTAGCTCCATATTATTTTGAAGCATACTCCTTATTTAATGGTTTGTTTTTCTTTTTAGATGAAGGAGATCATAAACTGCGAGAGTTTTTCTGTACATTGGCAAGAGAGGGTGATGAGGAAATGGGATCACAACAGTCGACCACTTCCAATCTCACTCCTCTTACTCCCCCAATTATTACAGGGAAATATCCCCCTCTTACTGCTGCAGAGAGATTGATTGCAGAGACTAAGATAAGACAAGCAGGGCCAAACGGATTGGAGATTCCGGGGACAACGTCGAGGGTAGCGTTTTCACCACCAAATCAAAACCGGCAATATGGGTTGTTCGTTTATATATATACAAACACAAAGAGGTTTATTTGTTGCGGCATACCTAGTAAGTTATTCTTTTACATATATTACGAAGTATGTAGTAATATACAACATGACATGTTTGCAGATTGCGTGAGAACAAAATTCACCATTATGGACCCGACTCCAAAGTGTTACCTCCATAAAGGAGAACAAATTGGTTTCGTTTTGGCTCAGTTTACGGATGGGGCCAATAAGAAGAACGACGTCGTCATCCATACCATTGCCTCTTTTACATACATATACGGGGATGATGAGGGGAGATCACAAAACGCAACACGGGAAATAAGGATCGAGAACATCCTCAAATCAGATTTTCCGTGGAAATCATACTCTAAAGAACGTGAAACAGCCAAAAAACCAGCCGCAAAATTAGTTGAACTAGAGGATCGTCGCCTATACTTTGATGACGAAGACGAACTGATGAAAGTTTACGCAGCACGTCAGGTACAAGCAATAATAATGCTGTGAAATATGTAACCCTAACTGTTATAATCAATTGGCCAATCACTTTTAGACCGTGACACTCTTTCAACTACTCTTATGGCCGGATACAACAATCAAAATAATATGTCTCAACTTGGATATTAACCTTCCAAATGGTGCATATAAGGAGCTGGTAGAGGAGATGAATCTTTGTGGTCTGGAATTGAAGATTCATGATAAGTTGACACCATCAGCAGCAACAGCAATTAATTTAGAAGAAACTGAACAGATTCCATATCTTCTACATGCAGAAAAGGATGAAAGTATTGGGGCATTGTTGGCGAGAGGAAAAAAGGAGAAGAAAGAGAAGGTCGCTGCATTATATTTTGTCTCCAATCCATACATAATTTATGCTGGACAAGCACTAAATAGTGGCGTGCATAAAAAGAATCTGCATCAAGACCCTGTATTTCTTTACAAAACTAACAAACCCACCACCCACCCTGATTATAAGATTGTTCCAGAAGGACTTGTTCGTGAGGAGGAGCGGTACAAATGGGAATGTCATCTCCACATTTGTGCCTTAATAGCATCTCTTTTAAAACTAAAAAATTGTTAAACTCCAGACGATTTTTCTGGCCAGTCTCACCCTCTTTGCATAAATAAGAAGATCAATTCAAGTTTTATAGATAAGAAGTCATGGGGAATTGTTCATGGAATTATGATGAAAAAGTTTTTAGTTGATGTGTACTTAGGGCCCAGGACGTCCGACTAGTAGTAATGTTCAGAATAAATACCAATTTCTAAACCAGTTTTGTTTGAATTGGTTTTCGGGTCTTTGAAGATGAGATATTGAAGTGTAAATAAATGAATCTAACCTTTTAACCATAACAAATCAGATTGTCTATGTCCCTTTCATTTTCTTACCTTGGAATCGGGAGCGTCCTATTTGGTCAAATAAAGACAAGAGCTTATTATTTCACGATCCTGGACTTAAATAATAATTGTATGGAAAAGTAGTGAGCATGGGAAAATTAAGAAGTGCGTACACGGCAGAGAAAGGTGGACGTCGTGGGGGATAGTTTGGCCAAGACGTGTCTTGACGAGGAGGATGCAATTGCATGTCTGCTCCAGGGAAATAGGGCGAATCTGTCGAAATTATGTCGCCCAATAATTGAGGTCAATGTCGAAAAATGTGACATGTCGTTGACCAGTGGCCGCGGAAGCGTGAGGACAGAGGGACAATGTCCCCACGGTTATTCGATGTCCCCATCATCTCCCCATCTTATACAAACCCCTCCCTCCCCCATCCTACAATAGAAATGTCCCCACAGCTTCCGCGGCCACTGTCGTTGACCCCACCTGACATCCATGTCGTGAGAGTGACAAGTGACAATAAGAGATTTAACATTTCCATAAAACAATTCTAGATTTCCGGGAAGTTGGTCGCGATCTTTTGAAGACTGCGAGAGTTCCTCAGTGTCCGAATTTCTAAGTGAAATTCCAACCGAGACGTCTAACGGCTTAGTTTTTGTCGTCGTCGTGCTGGGTGTGGCAAGTCCGGACTCGATTCGGTTGAGGAGGAGCGGCATGCTCAACGAGTTGTACGACGTGAGCAGAAAATGGGACAGGGACAGAGTCGTGAGATTGCGGAGAGAGGAGATGAACGTGGTCAAATATTCGATTTCCTAGGCATAAAAGATTGACAATTTTTTAGGGTGACCTTTGTTGACCTTTCGTGACCCACCTCAACCGTTGGAATCTTTTTGTTCTCAAATTCCAGCCGTAAAGTTTCCAATTTATGCAAGGAAATTGTCTCGTGCCAGCGGTGATGTTTCATAAAGAGGATAAAATCACGCAAGTCCGGTTTGTACAAGACGCCATCGACGTCTTCGTACTTCTCTTTTGTGTATTGGTCAAACCATCCCGCGATGGTGGAGTGTCTGGTAAAAGTAAATGGCGAATTTAAATTTGCACACATTTTTGCAAAAAAAAATAATTATTTTAGGTACCGAAATGAAACCCGCAAACTGGTCAAAGTTTCCCTATTCCGATTCATTATTGCCCCCAGATGGGCAAAAAGGACAGTTTTCGGTTCTTGTAACCGCACATTTTTCTTCTTCGTTTTTGCACATGCTTTTAAACAATCTTCCGCAGAGATTTCGAGCCTCTCCAAAGCAGCGCATTCCATTCCGAGGAAGATTTTTATGAAAAGGATGACCTCTTCTAAACGAGATCGGCGTATTTTGATTTCCTAAGGAAAATTGCGAATCAAAATTAGGCGGATAAATTTATCCGCCTAATTTTTTGCATAACTTTTTTTCATTTTCTACCTTAATCTTCATGGAGTGATAGATAAGATCCGCATAATTTGCACTATGCGGACTGTACATGGCTTGATAACCCGTCGCCGAGGTCAGCTTCTCATTGAAGACGGACCCCTTTTCAAATTCTTCCCAAATCCCGGAATCCACGGAGGTGGAGGTGTCATGAATTTTCGATAAGCCTTCAAGTTCCCTGTGATATGGTATCGAATTAGGATTTATTACTTGTTTCTCACCCCCAAAAAAGATAACCTCACCTAAAAATTAATAAATATTTCGCCCAATTAAGCCGAACATTATGCAACTGGAGAAAAGACACGTTCGGCGTATGGATTCTCGCCACCCATTGACGAAGCTCGAGATAATTAGCGTCAGTAATTCGAAGCGAGGACCACTGGATCAAGACCGGGATGGGGAGAGCTTCTTCCGGTTTGGGGTACAACGCTCTACAAGATTCGATACATACAGGGTTGAGAAAACCTTATCGATAACCATATATGTGCTTATCATTTGTTAAATACTTGAGCATCTTCCACTGAAAGGAATCCTTGGGGACGACGTTCAGCCAGGTGGAGAGTTCTCTCGCCTTTGTCAAATTGGTGGGCGTGTCCAGCCCCACGAACGAGAAGAAAGTCTTCTCCTCCAAAAGGGGAAATATTTCCTGGTGCCATTTTCGACACGTGGAACGAGCGAGTTTCAAGTCGTCGACGTCGAGAAGGGCGAAAACCATTTTGTATGCTTTCGACTACAAAATTATGCAAGGTGTGAATTTTGAATGTGCAAAATATATAATTTTTTAGTGAGATTCGAGTATATACTGGAACAGTTTCGTAATATGGTAACTCTCCTCCGGCGGAGAAGGAGGATTTGTTATCCGTGGTGGCTTTTTTGACCGAATTTTCCTCTTTTTCAAGAGATGCTGAGAGTGCTCTGGGGAAAAAGGGGGATATTTTTATGTTGTAATGTTTCTGAAGTTGTGGTACTTACAGCTTTGACACGGACGCCATTTTTTTGGAGGATCTTAACATGATGGTGAAATTTAGGTAAATATTAGGAGTTGATGAAAAAATCGAAATTTTATTATTTGTATGAAACTTTAATTTAATTTAAATTTAAATTTGATTATGCAGTGATACATTTTTCAAACGATAAGCAAAAGTTTGTCGTTACTAAAGTGTCAAAATATTCGAAAAATTTGTTCTTTCACTCACTTGGTAACATTTTCAATAAAAATTTTTAAAACAACTCGAGCCAATTTTTCGAGCAATTTGCATATTTCTTAATAAAGCCAACCTAAAAATTAACAACTGCATCTTACTTATTTACATAAAAAATTATCAAAATTTTGAATATGAATCTTCACTCACGACGCAAAATTTATAATCATATTTAGCAAAATTATGAATGCAATCGAGGAATAGCGTGAGGTCCGATTTTCCCAATGGATAGTAAGTCGTCTTATATTTTAGAAACCGGAAACCACACCCACAAAAATTCTAATAATTTGCATCCTCCATTTAAAGAATTCCGTGGAATACGGAACCTATTGAAACAGGCACCTCTCACCATTGAAAATCTACCATCTCGCGTGAACCACGTGCGAGTACGTGTCCACAAATTATCTAGTTTCTTATCCAAGATAAGCCCTTATACTAACTAATCCTCCTTCCCATCCTGAAAAGTGCCTCCCAGCACAAGTCATGAATGCCACACCGGCCGCCGGCCTTGGCGGAGGAACCTGTTTCCTCCAGCAACGACCTTGTTGCCCTCCGATCATGCCACCGCAAATGATGTCGCCACCAATGTGCACCCCATTCCCGCCGCAGTCGATGTGTTATCCACCTCAATTAAGCCCACAGGTAAAGAAAATCATGGAATGCAAACCATGTTCAACCCAGATTATTTTTTGACCATGTTAGTTTGAAAGAGTGATTCTTTAGAAACATTATTTATTGCAGGACTTGCGCAGATGCGAAAAATCAGCAAGTTTAAGTTCGTGAAAACGCCCGGTTTTGAATCTGGGCCTTGCGGCAGCAGTTGTGCGTTTTTGCGAACTTGCGGCGCCCAAAACTTGCTGAAATTTTTGCATCTGTGCAAATTCCCTACTAAATGTTGTTCCAAAAGAGTTGCTCTTTCAAACTAAATCCAAAAATAATCCGAGTAGAACATGGTTTGCGTCCCCATTATAAGATAAAGATAACCCGTCTCATTTGCATATTTTATTATCAGGTCTTCTGCTGCCCTCAACCACAACCCTACTACTGCCCTTATCCCTGCATGCCGCCTCCGAACTGCTGCCCCCCTCCGCCCTGTCCACCTCCACCGTGCTGTGCTGATCCCTTCTCTGGGGGTGGGGGGAAAGGTCAGACGGGCTGTTGTGGGGCTGGAACGACCCTGGTCAGAATACCGAAAGGTTATGGGAGAGGTCAACGAGGTGGAGATGGCGGTGGTGGCCAAGGCTCGCCTCCTTTCCAGTCTGGACTCCTGGACAAACCTGCGTCCTACAATAATTGTAACTTTTACGTGTCCGAGTTACCCAAGGGGATGGGGAGAGGGGCCGGCAGTGGTGCCAGTAATGGGGGGACGGACAGGTTAGAAGCTAGCTGTTATCTTATCGATGAAAAGCCATTAATCTTAATGTCGATAGTTGCATTGTTGAGGATGACGACTGCTGTTACCCGGATCCACAACAACAGCAAAGATTACGAGGTTCTGGAGGTCAACGTTTCAACGGGGTCAATTATCCTGCCGGAGATGGAAAACCGGTCCCACCACCGATGGGTTCGTGTAGCGTGACGTTTCACTAACCTGGGTCAGGAAGGTGACAGTTTTGATTTTACCAGGTTATCCAGGTTCAACGAGACGCGTGTCATGGGGAAACGATGAAGATCCTGCTGTCGGTTCGGCTGGTGGAATGATGGAAAAACGCTACAGTGGAAATCATCAAGCATCTCAAACCATTTATGGTGGTCAGCAGCAAGATTATCGTCGGTAAAGTGTTGATAAGCACTTATCGTTAAGATATGCCTACTATATTTAATTATGTATGTATGCATAATTATTAATCTAGAAATTCAAGCGAAGAATACACCTCAAGTCCGTACACAACTACGACAACGACGTCCACTTCCACGGATCATGGTCACCACCACCATAATCACCGAAATAGTGCGGACAGCAGTCACCACAGGGGTCACGACCACGGTCATCAAGGTCAAGGGTCAGCTCGCTACTCGTTCGAGTCGAATAATCAAATGACGCCCTATTATGAGCAAGACTTTACTCGACATCCCACCCCATCCGCGACGGTGACGCCGATGAACCATTCTGCCCCGCCTGGCGGAGGTGGAGGTGGTGGTCATGATAGGTCAAATGTTCACCTGATGGTGCGAGACACGGGGACAGTTCCGAGTACGAGCCATTTCGATAGTCATGGGAGCCATCGTGTCCCCTCATCGACCGTATTTCTTCCTCCGACCGCTAGTCGTTCCCATTTCGAGACTGACGTGGGCGGAATTCATATCGACATTGATACCGATGAGGCTCCCGGAGGACATGGACATTATCAGGG